GGGTTTTTTTTAAAGCAGAGGGAACAAGGCATGTTCACATCCTGTCATATCCTCCAGTTGTCTTCTGTGATAATAATAAAAATAACAAACTTGCATTAGGATGGCCTGTCAGGGAAGAGGGCCAGTTTCCCCCCTACATATTTACATTTCAAATCTACTCGCATACCTGTGCTTTCTGTTCAGGGGCAACCGCTTTCAACACTTTCTGTGCTTCCTTAATTGTCAATCTATCAGCCAAGTTTGCAGACAATAGCTGAGAGGCAATAAATGACAGCATAAACTACCCCCAAGCTTGCCCCCCACCAGGTGGCAAGCAAATTTAGAAAACGTTAGGATAAACATAATTTTATTTGGCAGTTTTCATTCTACTGAGATTTTTTAAAATGGGGAATTGTTGTTGTCCCAGCTCAGATCTAATTAAAATTACAGACGGAGTTTCCAAGACACTGGGAAAAAACACACTCAGCCTGCCCTGCCCCTCCGTCTCTGACGGGAGTTGGATCTGTGGAAATTACCAGACTGGCGGCATTTGCACATTGTGTCACATTGGAGTGGTTGTTGGCTAAACAACCCATGGTGCGCACAGCAGACGACTGGGCTCAGATGGGTTGTTTCTCCAGCCCCTCAGTCCCTTCAAGGCATCCACGAGGCCCACTGGAGGAGCTGTCCGTAGTTTAAAAAACTGCACCCATGAGTGCAAATATTTGTGTGTGTGTTTGTGTTAGACACACTGGCATAACTGTGTGGGTGCACAGTTGCACAAGTGCAGAAGTGGGAAGCCTTGGATGGGAAGTATTTTGGGGGGCAGCTGAGGTCAAAATCCAGTACCAAGCCTGGACATTGAGCCCAAAGGGCTCTGCACAGGGGTTTTCTTTACTTTGCTTTTCGTAACAGCTGTCAAAACACCAGCTGTAAAGGGAAAGTAAAGGCACAAGGGATCGTCATTTGCAAAAGGAGGGTGGCAAGATTTGTATCCCCTTTGTGCTGAGATCTTCACCCTGCCTATTCTTAGGGTACTACACTTTTACACTTTCCCCCGTGCCAAAGTACATCCCACCTCTTTTCAGCCTCTCCTTCCCGATGGGATTTTGATAGGGCAATGGGGGCTTGGCTTGGCTGACAGAGACTTATAGCTGTATGTTCGATATATGGTGTATTTCCTTTTAGTTTGGTTTGACAGCTGTCAAAGGCAAGCTGTTCAAGCCAGACCAAAGTTGAGTGTGATCTGTGCTCATTAACATGGTTCAATGGGATGTACACTCCATTCACAGCAAGTTTCTCTCTCCCACCCCCAAGTCTACTGTTCTAAGTGCTTGGGAATGTGGAAGAGTGTGAGGCACTCCTTTCTAAAGGAAACCAGAGTTTTGACAACTGGCAGGTCTATGTCCCACCAGTTCCTTTAGTCTGCAAAATAATTAGAATTTTTCATGTTTCTGAGCACCTGGGGAACAAGGTGGGAACAAGTGGAAATGTGAGAGCACTTTTAGGACAATGGCGTCCCCCCAAGACAAAGAAGAACTTGCCATGAAGGACTTGTAAACCCCACCACTTCCTTTTGGCAAGCACAGATTAGTAACATTTTTGGTTTGGCTTGACATTTCCCCTTTTGACAGCTGTCAACCAAGGAAGCCCCTCTGGACCAATGTCCAGGGTTAGAACCTGTTGCACTTTGCCAGCAGGGAGCTTTCTGGGCATTGTCTAGGTGAGGCTGCCCATTTTTAGTCCTCTATACATGTGCAGGTGCACACTTGTAAAAAGACCAATTAAAAGAAATGGCATGCATCAGGGGGCTCAAAGAAATGAACCAAAGAGTGCTTGGGCACTTTCCAGAGGCTGTCAGTGGCTATGAAAGAGAGATTGCAAAAATGGCTATCGAATTGGAGATAGCGGTAGTAAAGGGGCAAAAAGCGGTGGCAAACTTAAAGGGCCTGCAGTTGTAGTGGGGGATGTCCAGCCAGGGCCCATTGCTCCCGTGCTGCTGTCCCTGGCAGTGGGAACGGGCTTTTGCTGCTCTTGCCAAGTGGCTTGCTAACCAGTGGCTGATACCCACAGTGGGGCCAGTTGCCCAGGTTCAGATGACACAACAACCCACCTTGTGTACAATAACATACGGGCCGTTTGGGTGGTTTGTGCCCTCTGACAAGCTATTTTGCAGGTGACAGTCTAGGTTCACAGGACATGACAGCCCACTGCAGCTTATCGCCCATGATGGGTTTTCCTCTTATGTGAACCCGGTCAAATATCTAGTTTAATCTAGTAGTTGTTTTTCTGCGCACCAGATACAAATAGACTAGAAATAAACTGCAGTTCTAATTGCAATTGTGTCCCAATCCAATTAATGTATACTGGGAAGTAAACCCTGCTGAATTCAGTGCGATGTACACTTAAGCAAATATGTCCAAAGGGTTGTAGCCTATGATGCATTAGCACTTAATAGACAGTAATTCTGTATTTGTATGTAAATTGGTGTGCTTGTGCAAAGTAGGAAGATACTAGTTCACAATGGTTTTGGCGCACTCTGCTGTCTGTTGTCGAGAGAGAGTCATATTCACTTTATTTCTCTATACAGTGTAGTAACGTGAAATGTTTGTCCATATTAATAAAGAAGGACTACCTGTCTGTCAGCATCATGGCCCCAACACTGCAAAACTCTGACACCTAACACTTGGCATGGGATCTTATGCCTGTGCACCTGTGGTTGTTTGTGTTTTGTTTTAACAGCAGGTTAATTTTAAGGCACCTTTGTGTTTGAAGCCTGAAGCACCATCTTTGGCCACTAGATGGCAGACTCCCCTTGAACTAGCACATAGCTTGGCAGTCACTAGTTGGAAGCCTGGTGTTCTCAGAGGAACAGGGTGGGTTCAGAAAGCATGACAACCCTGCTATGGTACAAGCCACACCATGCAGATTATCTGCCCAAGGGCCTACAACGTGTCCCAAAGACAATCAGGCTTGCAGCAGGTCCTTGCCCACCTTCTCACCTCTTGGTCTTCCTGCAGGGATCCCAGGGGAACCAATGTGAACATAGGACCAGGTGTCAAGCTGGCAGGAGCGATGTCCACTCTGCATCGCCACTGCTTGGCCTTTCAGGTTATGGTGGCTGCACAAGGCAGGAAGGCAGCATCGGGCTGGTCAGCTCCTGAGCACATGGACCTGGTTCCTGCTGGAGGCGTGGGGTATCAGAGATGGGATTGGGTAGGCTGACTTGCACGTCAGTCAACCCATTCTCCACCCTGTGCTGTCTCCATGAGTCCTTTTGGCTTGTGGTGGCAGGAAGGGGTGGTGGAGTTGGGAGTTGGAGTTGACTAGGAATCTAAGTCAGCCTTGGCGTGTCTTAGACCTGAAACATTAAATTATGGACTGCATTTCAGGGCTGTGGCCAGCTGCTCTCCTCACCACCCCTCAAGCTGCAAGAAAGCTAGGGTTAGAGTTGATCTACAGCTGGAACGTAATACCACTGGAGTACATTGCAGGATTGTTTAATCCATCCTCTTAGCCATAACCCGAGCCCCAACCCACTATAATCAGACTCAATGACAGAAAGGGCTGCTGTACACCATCCCATCTCAGCCATATCTTCTTCACCTGCTATATGGAAATAATATTCCCTGGCACGGAAATTTGTATTATAGATTCATAGAATAGTAGGGTCGGAAGGGGCCAAGAAGGCCATCATGTCCAACCCCCTGCTGTTGCAGGACACCATGTTACACCACCCCACTCAGATGTCTGTCCAGTTTCACCTTGAATGTCTTGAGTGTGGGAGAGCTCACAACCTATCTTGGGAACTGGTTCCACTGTTGTATTGCTCTGACAGGAGGTTTTTCCAGGTGTCTAGCATGAATCTGGTATACTGCAGATTAAGTTTCTTGTTCCATGTCCTGCACTCAGGGATGAATGAAAAGAAGTCTTTTCCTTCCCCTTTGTAACAGCCTTTGAGGGACTTGTAGAGTGCTATCATATCCCCTCATAGTCTTCTCTTCTTGAGGCTAAACATGCCCGGCTCTCTCAGTTTCTCATCATAGGGCTTAGTTTCCAGACTCTGGATCATCTTTGTTGCTCTCCTCTGAACTCTTTCTGATTTTTCTGCATCTTTTAAAAACCTGGGTGCCCAGAACTGAATTCCAGGTGATGCCTGACTAGTGCAGAATAAAGGGGAACTAGTACCTCTCTTGTTCTGGAAGTGCTGCTTCTCTTTATGCATCCCAAAATAGTGTTTGCCCGTTTTGCAAGTGCATCACATTGCTGCTTCCTATTTAGCTTGTTGCCTGCAACAACTCAGAGGTCTTCTTTTTCAGCGCCGTTCAGCCAAGTATTCCCCATCTTGTATCAATGCATTTGGGTTTTTTCCCCTAGGTGGAGAACTAGGCATTTGTCCTGTTGAACTTCATTCTGCTGCTTTCTATCAAGTATTCTACCTTGACTAGATGACCCCGATCCTCTTTTTGTCTTCCAGGGTGTTTAGCTATTCCACCCAGTTTTGTGTCGTTTGCATATTTAATTATCATTCCCTGGACTTCTTCATCTAGATCATTAGCAAAGATTTTGAAGAGCACTCCGAGGTGAACCCTGTGGCACCCCACTCCTTACCTCTCGCCAGCTTGATGAGCACTCCCTGTGACCGATTTTGTAGCCAGTTGTGGATCCACCTAATAGTACCTCTGTCGAGCCCACCTTTTGCTAATTGGTTTATCAGAATGTGGCGGGGCAGTTTGTCATATGCTTCACTAAACCCTAGGTCATTTTATGTCCACGGGTGGTTTCTAAAATGTTCGCAGAGATATTTTAAAAAAGCGATAGCAGCAACAAAAAATGCTTTACACGAAATAAGGCCCACATTGGAAAAATTAGGAGCTCCTTTCTTAGTAGCAAAACGGAACAAGTTTAAAACGGGTCGGACAGGGCCGATCGAGAGATAGCCCTCTCTACCTGTTAATAGCTCCGTGGTCACGAGCGTCCGTAAACGTCACACTAGGGAAGACCTGCCCCTTAGGCGCATGCGTACACTGCTCAGAGAAGCCGAGGCGCGCTGTGTCATCGACGCCTGGAGAATCGCTGCGCCCGTCTCCCTTTTGCAGGTGGGGCGCGCGGGGCGGAGGATCGAGGGGGCCAAGGCGAGGGAGCTGAGCCGGGGAGGCCAGGGGGCGCGTGCCCTGCTTTCAGGGGTGGCTGCTCGTCTCTGTCGTGCCCAAGCCAAGCTGGATGCTCCCGTTTGGCAAGCCTAATTCCGGGAAGTTTTAATTTTGGTGGTGGTTTTTTTTTTGGTGTGGTTTTTGTTTTTAGCCATTATTGTTGTTGTTATTGCTGTAGTTATTTCACTGTTCCATTTTCTTTGCAACAAAATCTCCTGGCTGCCACAGGGCTAGCAGCGTGAGTCTGTTGCAGCAAAACCCAGGAAAAATCCCTTTGCGCTCTTAAAAGATCGAGGGGGCGTCCGGCCGCCCAGGCTTTCGCGGACTCGAGCCCTCGTTATCAGATGCACGGGATGTAATCTCCAGGTGGTAGAAACAGATTTTTTTTTTTTAAAGTTGCATATAAAGTATCTTCCGACTGAGGCTAACACTTTATGCATCTGATGTTGTTGTCTGTATGTAGTCTGAAGAAAAGCTTATGGCACAATAACTTGAATGATATATACCTATTTTTGGACCTGTTTGACAGGTGCAAAAGACATCTGTTGTCTCAAGACGTCTGTTTCTTGTGTTTCTGCTTTACTATTTGAGATGACCATTAAAAATACAAAACCTTAGATGTACTCCTAAGACAGTAATGCAGGAAGAATTTTAAAGTTAAGGATAGGATCTGGCAAAGTCCTATTCATTTCATGATTACATATCTCCATGTAAGCAATTTGGTTTAAAACTATTTAACTTTTTGTTTATTTAATTTATTTGGGCTGTCGTTTTTGGTACAGAATGTCTCGAAGTGGCTTAGAGGGGAAGAGTACCACAAGGATTAGGATTAATAAAAGCCAGTGAAATAATAAAACATCCCAGGTCAAAAATGACAAAATAGACAAAATCATCAGCAAGGCCATCAAAAATACATCCTGAGAGTACCCTAAAATAAATGAGCCTTTATGGCTTCCTGAAGGTCAGCAATGATGGGACTTGATAGATTTTCATGGGTAGTGCATTCTAGAAATGTGGGGCCACTGCAGCAAAGACTCTCTCTCTCTCTCTCTCTCTCTCTCTCTCTCCCTCCCTCCCTCCCTCCCTCCCTCTCCCCAGAATAATATTAAAATGGTCCACCCCCGGAGTCTTATGGATCCTGATGGATCCTGATTCCTGGGGGCTCTGGGGGATTTTCTGGTGGATAAAGCTGGCGCTCCTATTGATGTCCTGGTCGATTTGTGGAATAGGCAAATGGCCAGGGCAGTCAACACGATTGCTCCTAAGCGTCCTCTCCCGGCTAGCAGTGCCTGCTTGGCACCATGGTATCCACCGGAGTTGCAGGCGATGAAGCCGACTGGGAGACGATTAGAATGCAGATGGAGAAAATCATGGGACAAATCTGACCAAACACACTTGTGTGCTCATTATGAAGCCTATACTGTGGCGGTGAGGGCGGCGAAGAGGCAGTTCTTCTCCGCTTCCATTGCTTCCTCACAGTACTGTCAGTGGAGCTTTTCCGAATAGTGCGAGGCCTAACATGCGCTGGCCAGGAAAATGATGTGGTCACACCTTCGGCATTCCGCTGTGACGACTTTGCCCAGCACCTTAAGGAGAAATTTGCTTAGATTTGCCATGAGCTGGACTCCACAGTTGATATGATTCCGGAACGGGAGACATTCAGCATGCTGTCTGGTCCATCATTGTTGGATGAGTTTCAGTTACTGCGGCCTGAGGAAGTGGACAAGATACTTGGGATGGTATGCCCAACCACCTGTTTACCCGACCCTTGCCCTTCTTGGCTGCTTACAAAAGCCAGTCATGAGATTGGTCCCTGGGTCCAGGAGGCCGTCAACACCTCACTGAAGGAGGACCGGGTCCTTGCCCCTTTAAAGGAGGCAGTGATCAGGCCCATCCTGAAGAAAGCATCTCTGGAACCAGAGGTGCCGCCAATTATAGACCTGTAGCCAACATCCCATTTTTGGGCAAGGTGTTGGAGCAGGTGGTGGTGGGGAAGCTCCAGGCACTCTTGGATGAAACGGATTATCTGGATCCATTTCAGTCCGGTTTCAGACCTGGTTATGGTACTGAATCTGCCTTGTCGTCCTGTACAATGACCTATGCAGGGAGAGGGACGGGGGAGTGCGTCCCTGTTGGTTCTCCTGGACCTCTCGGCGGCTTTCGATACCATCGGCCATGGTATCCTTCTGGATAGGCTGGCCGGGTTAGGAGTTGGGGGCTCTGCTTGGCAGTGGTTCCTTTCCTATCTGGCCAGTCGATTCCAGAAGGTGGTGCTGGGGGACTATGGCTCTGCGCCATGGCAGCTATGCCATGGAGTACCGAAGGGTTCCATTTTGTCCCCCTTGCTATTTAACATCTACATGAAACTGCTGGGAGAGGTCATCAGGAGGTTTGGGCTGCAGAGTCATCAGTATGCTGATGACACCCAGCTCTACCTCTCTTTTTCAACTAATCCAGGTGAGGCAGTGGCTGTCCTGAACCGCTGCCTGGCCAAGGTAACGGGGTGGATGAGGGCCAATAAACTGAGACTCAGTCCAGATAAGATGGAGGTCCTGTTGGTGGGCGATTTGGGTTTTCAGGTAAGTGATTTTGGTCCTGTCCTGGATGGGGTAGCACTCCCTCTAAAGGACAAGGTCTGCAGCTTGGGAGTGCTCCTTGACCCAGAGCTATCCCTGGAAATTCAGGTGCCAACAGCGCCGAGGAGCACCTTCCTCCAGCTTCGGCTGGTTCATCAGCTGCGTCCTTACCTGGATGAGAACTGCCTAGCAAAGGTGATTGATGCCCTGGTAACTTCCCAGTTGGATTACTGTAACACGCTCTACATGGGGCTGCCCTTGAAAATAGTCCAGATACTTCAGTTGGTACAAAATAGAGCTTCCAGGTTGCTGCCAGGGGCCAGTCGTTATTCTCATATAATGCCGGTCCTCTATCAGCTACACTGGCTCCCAATTGAAGTCCGAGCCCAATTCAAGGTGCTGGTATTATCCTATAAAGCCCTAAACAGCTTAGATCCAGAATACCTGAAGGATCACCTCCTTCCCTATATGCCCTCACACCCCTTAAGATTGGCAGGGGAGTCCTTGCTCTGGGAACCCTCTCTGAAGGAAGTACAGAGAGTGTCTACCCAGAGGAGGGCCTTCTCCGCAGTGGTGCCCAGACTATGGAATGTGCTCCCCAGAGAGGTCTGCCTGGCACCAGCATTATACTCCTTCCTGGTACCAGATAAGGCCCTTAAAATAATCAAACCATTATTTTAATAATCAAGGGTTTTAGACATTTTAGGATTTTTTCTTTTCTCTCTTTTCACAGTTGCATTTTCTATTCTTTTCCTCCTTTTTTAAGTTCATGATGTGTTGTTCTATATTGTTATAATAATTGAGGTTTTATATTGTAATTTTATATTTTGTAAGCCGTCCTGAGTGCTTGGTGGAAGGACAGGATATAAATGTCTGTAATAAATAATAGTAGCTAAACACTTCCTATATATTTTTAAAGGCTATCAGAATGAAGCAGGATTTTTGAAGAGAAAATTTCCAGTTTTGTTTTTACCTTCATGGGGGTAGCTTGCTTTCACTCTTCCGTTATTAGGAACTAGTAGTGTTTTGCATATCAAAAATAAATGTATCTGACTTTATCTGACAAACGTCAAGTGCATTTGGGCCAAGACTGGTGATAAAGAGAGACAAGCGTGCGTGTAAAGCACGTGCCAAGGCATGTAATATGCGTGTCCTGCAGCCACACAAGGCCCTCGCTCTGTCACGTGGCCCACGTGCAGCTCTTTCGTGACCGCATGCATATGCAGTGAGCACACATGCACAAATGCTTTGGACTCCAGCACCCAGCGTTCCTGTTCATTGGCCGCAATGGATGGGGCTGATGGGTATTCAGGTCCAAAGCACCTGGAAGGAGCCAGCTTGGGGAGAGACTGGCTGATGGACCCTTCTAAGATGGTGATGAAGAGGCCAAGGTGGGAACACTGGTATCAAGAAACGGGTCTTGGAGGTGTTTGGTGAGTGCTGGCAAAACACAAGAGACACCAGGCCAACGGGCGTTCCCGCGCTGGGTTTGGGTCTTCGCTGGTGTTGCTCACTGGTCTCGATTGGCACAGCATCCAGAGCAGGATGCTGGATGAGGGGACCACGGACAGGCAGGTGGGAGGAGCTTTCTTCCTGGAGGTGATCATCTCTGTGGAAGTGGCATGTTTGCCCCACATCTCAGTAGCAAGGCCCCAGCCACAGTCCACATGGGGAAGCCGGTGCGGGGTCCATCCTCTCAGCTTTTTTCCACTTCTGTTGAAAAGAGCAAGGCTACAATCCTCAGCTTCCTTTGTGTGACAAGCTATGTCTCACTTGTCTCATTGCTTTGTTTAAGGTGATGCAGGGAAAAGGGTGCAAACAGGCTTCCGCCCCATAGCTTAAGAACAAGTAATCTTCTTAATTAAAAGGAGGATGCACAAAGATACTGAGTTGTTTGATGTTCTTCTGGTGCATTTTATTTTTAAAACATGATTTCAGTATAATTTAACATCAAATCCTACCAGTTTTACAGAGGTCTTCTTCTGGGTGATCCTTCACAGGTCTGAGATCCACTTGGAAACCAGCAGGGGGAAGGCCTTTAATAGGACCGCTCCAATCCCATGGAAGCTTTTCAGGAAGTTGAGAGATGAATAAATTCTACCCTATTTTTATTGCTCTGCTGGCTTTTATTGTATTTTTCACATTTTGTTTCAATTTATTGTACTCAGATACATCTCAGTGTGAAGTGGCTTCTACATTTCATAAGAAGCAATAAATAAGCCCAGGATACTTGGCTGCGTGGCATTTTGTTGTTTTTGTGTTGACTTGTGTCCCACCCTCTGGCTTGCAGGAAGGAGATACTTGTGTGGCCACAATAAATTCTCATGCTTCATGGCATTCTGGAAGCCTGGTCACTTTTGCTGCGATAGAGTACAGCAGCTACCCTGGCCGCCCACCCATGGTCACCTGTGGGCCGCTGGGGGAGGGCACCCCTTTGGGCTGTAACTCATTGCTCTCCCTGCCTCTTTCCATTTCTAGATTTCTGACTCTGAGCCCGGCCATGGAAGCAGCTGCTTCTGAAGGGGAGAAGCCTGCCCTCTCTGCAGCGATGCGGGCGAAGATCGAGCGGAACCGCCAGCGGGCGCTGATGCTGAGGCAGGCTCGGCTGGCTACGAGGCCCTACCCTTCTCCTGGTGAAGGTTTGCTTTGCAGGATGGGCCATGGGGCTGCAGGACAGAGTGAGGTCCAGGTAGATTGTGTAGTTCAACCCACAGCTGTTGCATAAGGAAGTCAAGGGGTCTTGACCTCCTGACCAAATGGACGTTCTCAAGGGCTTCTCTGCTGGAACTTTCTCTAATGAAGACTTCGCAGTTGGAGTCATCTGCACGTACATCTACTAAATGTGTTTTGGGAAGGAAAAGATAGAATGCCAAAACAATCACAGGCTCCCTTTAGGGTAATGTGATACTGGAGTTGGTGAGCATATTATGGGGCCAAAACAACTTCCCTTAAAACCATTGATGTTCCAGACTGACCCGGAAATCACTTGCACACATGGACTAGGGTAATACAACCCATCATGGCTTGTGTCATGTGAACCTAGACTGTTTCCCACAGGGAGCTTGTTTGTGGCTGCCCTGACAACCCATAGGGTGTTCTAGAGGTTGCTGTACCCACCATGGGCTTTTGTGCCATCTGAACCAGGCTACCGGAAAGGTGCATGGGGAAAGTGGTAGAACCCCTTGCCACTCCTGCCATGGTTGTCTGGGCCATCACCAGTGCTATTCACCCAGCAAGGATCCAAGCAGTACTTTGGAGAGGCGGGCACTGGCTCAGTAGCCTCTTCTGCAGTTGAGGGCTTTCTTTCGTTTGCTTTGGCTTTTTCTGCCCCGCTCCTTTCTGCAGAGAACACAAAGTGCAGCTTGACAGCCCAGCTTCACAACCTTTAACAGTCACTGGAAGCCCCATCAAAGTGCCCAAATGGCTAACATTCTTTTGGCACAGCATGCTCAGATCTTTTCATTTTTCGATTAGCTGCATGTGCATAACTGAGTGGGCACACCTTTTTGAGAACATTAAAATTGGGAGACATGGCTGGGCAATGGCCAGGGATGGACCCCTGCTGTCAGAGTGCAGCAGGTATTGACTTGGGACATTTACCCAAAGAGGCTGCATGTAGGTTTTTTCTGTACTTTGATTTTTCTCAACACCTGTCAAAACCCTGCTGTTGCAAAGATCCAGGATCCCTTGGATCTTTGCTCACAGAAAAGGAGGGTGGCACAGGTGGGAGTCTCTCTTTTTTCCACTTGAAAGTTCTTATTTTGCATATATAACCATGATCTGGCCAGGGCAACTTCTTCTTCCTTCTCTTTTCTCCTCCTATATTATTTATTTACTTATTTTATACTGATAATTTTAATTTTATATTATTATGTTTGTAACTCAGTGTATTTTTTGTATTTTTGTATTTAATGGTAATTTATTATGTTCTATTGTATTTCAATGTATTTTATTGTGTTGTAAGCCGTCCCGAGGCTTCGGCAAGGGGCGACATAGAAATGTAATAAATAATAATAATAATAATATCCCCAGTCAAAAAATCCCATTGCCCTGTAAAACCGTTTTAAGAGGAATCCAGAGTTTTGTCAGCTAGCTAGCTGTCAAAACTCCTTTTCCACAGAAAAAGGGCTTTTTCAAGCAGGTAGAATCTCAGGAAAAAGTGTAAGATGTGCATGAGAACTGCCAGGACAATACATGTTGAGATGAGGTTCTCATTGTAAAGGGCTTGTAAATCTCACCACCTCCTTCCATCTTTGCTTTCCCTTGACGTTTTGCCTCTTCATAGCTGTTAAGGGAAAGCCAAGTATGGAGGATCCTTATTTGGAGGTTCTTTGGGTCAGTGTCCAGGGTTGGCACCTGCTGCATTCCAACAGCAGATGCCTCCCCTGAGATTGCCCAGCTCCTGATTTCGGCACGCATGGAACTGCACAGCTCTGCAAATGTGGGTTGTTTTAAAAAGTGTGCACATTGTACGGACAAAAAAGTTTGCTGACCTTTCAGTTTGTTCCTCAGGTGCTTTGAAGGGGCTATTGAATGATGATCATGAAAGCCAGACTCAATTAACTTGGGTGGGGTGGGGTGGGGTGGGGTGAGAGAGTGGAAAGTGGAGGAGAGGAAGTGCTGGTGATCTGAAATTGACTTTCAGTTGTAGCATGGATGTCATTCTTGCCGTGAAGTTTCCTGGCACAATGGGGGAAAGGAGTGAAGATGCGTTGCTTGCATAACAACCAACCCCACTGTGGTTTATTGCCAGAGCGTGTTGTTGAGCTACTTGACCTTGAGCTGGCTTAACAAAGTCTTGTTCTATTCAGCTAAGAGAAGACAGCCTTCATTCTGTTTTAATACAGAATAGAAATCTTTGGTGGGTGCCTTCAGGTTGGCATCCTGGAGTGGAAATACCTGGGTGGGTCTTTAATGCCGAAACCCAAATCTACTATAAAGGAGTAGATTTAAGGAGCAGAATTGTAGCTCATGATATCACGTATTTCCCCAGTTCATTTTAACAATTAGGTCCACTGGTGCCTTAGAAATGTGTGCGCATGTTGGGGGGGGGGGCAGAGGGAAGATATCTAAATGTATGTATTCCTAAAACAGGAAGCTCTGTTTTTGAAGCCGACACCTCTGCTTCTAGAAAAGGTGTCAAACGTAGGACACAGAATAATCAGTTCAAGTTGCGACAACTCAGATTCAGGCTGGACATCAGGAAAAGCTTCCAGTCAGAGCAATACGACAGTGGAACCAGCTGCCTGGAGAGATGGTGGGCTCTCCCACACTGGAGACATTCAAAGAAACTGGACAGCGATCTGGGTGGGATGGTGTAACATGGTGTCCTGCAACAGCAGGGGGTTGGACCCAGTGGTCTTCATGGCCCCTTCCAACTCTACTCTTCTATGATTCTGTATCTTTATCTTGGCCTCTTAAATTGTTTTGAGAGGGGTTAATGATGGATTACATGTTTGCATTTTAGTAGGTAGAATAAAAATTCAAAATAAAAATACTGAATAATATTTCTTTAAATAACTAAACAGATTGCTGGATGTATGGGTTGTTCCCATTCAGAAACTTCAGATCAGGGAGCTCCACAACTTGTACCATTATGGAAGTAGCAATTCCTTGTGTTGCAGTAGTGAATTTTCCTGTTAAAAGAATGGTTGTTATACAAGAGCAATGTGTTTAAAGCCGGCAGATTGCCAGCACTGGGGCAAGGTTAGACATGAAAGTCAACTTTTCTAATTAGGTTTTTAAAAATCCTTTCAGGTGAGGTTTCTTTCACCTAAGTAGGTGGCCTTGAAACTGTTCTTTATCTTTTCAGGCAGTTCTAAAGTTAAAGCACCTCCAAAGATAATAGATACTGGGGGAGGATTCTTTCTGGAAGAGGAAGAAAAAGACGAGGAACATGCTGCAGAGAAAATTGTGCATCCCCCTGGTAAATTATGATGAATTCTGATGTACCTGTTGTGACCGCTTTCTTTGAGTCAACATGCTGTGCATAGCCACCTGGACTGAAGTCCTGTGGCTCTGTGCATCGTGCCTGAAATTATTTTGCATCTCTGTGAGAAGTCTGAACTTTTTAAAAAGAACATTGTATGTTCTTCCAAAGTAACTGATAACAAAGGACTGTGTTACCTGTCCATAGTTGATTCAGTTTAATCAACTAGGTCAAGGAAGATGAAGCTAGCTAGAAAGTAGAGTTTAGACATCCTAGTCCTGATTCACAGGATGTATAATGATGTGTTTTCTGCCCTAGAAGCTCAGTGTGGCCATCTTTATCACCTGTTGTTGGAAAGAGGTCTCTTTGATCAGCCCTCCTAAATCCAGATAGCTATCTCAGCTGATAAGCCCAGCCACGTGAGCAATGTGGGGAATTTCTTCCCACAGTGTATCTTGGCTTGAGCAGGACTGCCTCCAGAAAGGGGGTTTCTATGCAGGCACTGGTTGCCACAGGCTGATTCTTCTTCCAGGACTGAATTGCCTGCCTTTGTAACTTACAGTCTTTCATTTTTGTTAGAAAAATGCTTTTATTTGAGTGCATACAGCTGTTCAGAGTAAGATGTGCTTAGAATGGGAATTTAAATGGTTGTATTGTATAGTTAACAGCCCTTCTTGTCAGGTGCAGAGAATGAGGTTTTCTCTGGAATGATGGATTTAGGTAACTGGAATTGGCAAGAAGCTGAGAGGGCTGATAGAAGGCCAGCCACGTGTGGACAGGACTAAAAGAAAGGAACAATGGGAGAAGGAAGGATTGTGCCTTTCTTAGATTTAAAACATTTTAAAGGGACTTGTCTTGTCTGGAGGGATGGGGCAGGAATAAGATTTGTGGTCTAGTTCACCTTTGTTTCCTTCCAATCTTGTAATTAGCCCATTTTCATAATTTTTGCAAAAGACACTGCCTCATGGATTTTATGTTTCATGTTCTATCCCATTTGTGTTGTCTCCCCATTTCCTTAAAAATGTGCAACAAATATAGCTTCCTTTCTGGTATTTTGTTTTACTTTCAGTCACTTTACATGTCTTTTTTGACCGGTTTGCATTACACTGCTTGTAAACTGCCTCATATGTTGACATATTTATTCATTGATTAATCTGTCAGTGAATAAACATGTCAACAAATGGAAACTTTTGTTGTTATCCTGATAAAATTATTAAGCTTTATTGGGAGATTGATAAATACTTGAACTGAGTATTAGCTTCCAGGAAAGCAAAATTAAATCCCTAGATAAAATCTTCCAGAAAGTTATCTTGGACAAGCCTCACTTGAAATGAACCAATGCTGTTCAAGATCACTGCTTTCTAGTTCCCATTTATTTAAGCAAAGTGCTTGCAGGAGATTATGCAGGAGAATTTTATCCTTAGGCTATTAAGACGCTGACTGAGTCCCATGAACCCATGGGAAGCTGTACCATCCAAAATGCCAGGTTGTGTACCAGCCCATGCTTTCAGATTGCAATTTTGTGCAAATTCAGCAGGTGTGGGTTATGTAGGTGTTAAACAAAGGTTCTGAAAGTATTAATAATCTGCTTTAAGGTTATCTGAAGTTGAGACAAGCACCTGCAAGTGGAAGCTACATATTCAAAATGGCAGTCACATGTACTTCAAAGGCATGGCAGCCTCACAGTGAGCTAAATAGCTCATAGTGGGCTGCCATTTTGTGAAAGCGGCCCCAGTATATAGTAAAGGGAATGTTCTTCTTTTAAGGGAACAATTTTTGATTGGTTATTTCATGCTCTGCTTCAAACTTAACCTATCTTTGCCATTGTTATACATTTAAATAAATAAAACAAGGTAAAAATGAAGATTCCATCTGTCTCACTTGCATTTCTGTATCAACCTTAATATTGTTATTTGGCTACCTTGAATATAATTATTAATCTAAATTGTTTTGTTGTGTTGTTTGTTTTTGTAGGACCTGTATTAGAATTTGATTACCTTATTTGTGAAGAATGTGGTAAAGAATTCATGGATTCCTACCTAATGAATCATTTTGACTTGGCAACATGTGATAATTGCAGGTAGAAGGAAAAACAAAGGAAAATAATAAGTGATAAATGTAGTCCATATTTAACTTATTTTGATGTTATAAACATGCACAACTAATGCTGTGCAACAGCAGGGGGTTGGACAGGATGGCCTTCATGGCCCCTTCTATGATGTGAAATAACTGTTTAACAAAATATGATGAAATTCAAGTAAAATTAGATGGAAGCACAGGTGTTATGTTTCCATTAAGCAAGAAAGGATCTGATTTTTTTCCTGAATTTGTGCTGTAACATTTAAATACTTGTTACGTAATGCTCACAAAAATATATTTGAATATGTACTTCCCATCCAATCCCCCCAAATCAGAAAGTGTTAGAATAGAAATAAAGTGCAAAAAATAAGGAATACGAAAACTCAAAGTATAAATGTGAAGAGATGGAGACTGTAATCCTACTCACTTAACCTGGGAGTAAGCCTCTTTGAATTCTGTACTTAGAAGAGGACCATTGATTTTAGTGGGAGAAATTTAAGCACATGCTCAAATTTCCACTGAATTAAATGGGCCTTTAATAGCACAATCCTGTGTCTTCTTACTTGGAAGATAGTCCCACTGTGGCCATTGTGTTTAGACTGCAGCCCAGTTTCTGAATTCTGGCTGCATGATGCCCATTCATGTTTCTGCTTCAGTGCAGATACTGAAAATTAGGGCAGGAAGTATTCCTAAAATTGAAATAATGCTAGTGTTTCAACTTAATTTATGGCTAGCTTAGGTGACTTGGTTTGCACACTTGCAGTAAGCCCTAATGAACACAGCTGCACTTACCTGTGGGTATACATACGTAAGATTAGACTAGTGATGGAACATATATAAACTGGATATAGAGCAATTCTGTGTACAATAGACCTGTTTCCATTTGGACTGCGATCTTGTTTCAGAGATGCTGAAGATAAGCATAAACTCATAACAAGAACTGAAGCAAAGCAAGAGTATCTTCTGAAAGACTGCGATCTTGACAAGAGAGAACCGGTGCTGAGATTTATCTTGAAGAAAAACCCCCATAATTCACAGTGGGGTGACATGAAACTTTACTTAAAGCTGCAGGTACTGAAGCTTGTTAACAATTATTTTTCTCCCAACTATGTGGTTGCTGGCCATTCTAAGAACATTGCCACATTTTTTAGTTTCCTTGCTTGTACTGTTTCTTACTTGTAAAAATGTTTGAGTTATCTGCTGAAGGCATTCCCTTGGTCCAGCAGAATCTTCTGTCAGTGGAATTGGGAGAGATGATGTTTCATCTCCCTCCTTCTTGCCATGCCCAAAGTCTTCTCCTGACTCCAAATCTGCTCAAGGGGGTTGAGAGACCTTTTGGAACATCATGGAAGGTGGTCTCCCTGGAGGGGCACCAATAGATACAACCCATTATAACATTGATATTTTCTCTTAAAAGGAAAGAGTGAACATTCGCTTAAAATGTCTCATGTGCACAAAACGTTTCCTATGTGGACCTTTTCTAACTGCCAGTTCCACGGAATTTCTGTGTTGCTATTGCATTTTATTCATGTTTAAAGGTCTCTTTTCCAAGGTGTAAGATTAAGGTGCTGCTTCTTAAAACAGATGATATTTTAAAAAGTAAAAACAGGATTGACTTGACTGATCTTTTCTTTCCTCATCGAGGCTGGTCATAGGCAGATCTGGGAACGGGGGGTGTCCAGTGAAAGTAGTGCAGGCATTCAAAGCATCCAGTTTTGGAAAAAACGAGCCCCAGCAGGGCAGGGAACTCATCCTACTTTCAGAAGAGACTTCAAAGCCCCAAGTGCCTGATCTGTATGCTGGCCATGAGCCTCAAGAACGCCACCAGCAGCCGTGGGCTAGTTAAGAGCGGGAAAACAGGGCCTACACTCCACCCTGTCTCCACTCTTTCCCTGTCTCCACCCACTGTGGACAATTGGGCAGTGCCATGTTGAGGCAGCCTTGCTTGGGATGCTGAGGTCTGATCCAGTAACAGCTCTAGAATATTTTTAAAGCTCCATTTATTCTGAAGAATCACTGAGTAGGAAGAAGCAGTTCAGATCATTCAGACCGACCCCCTTTGTTGTGCCGTTTCTGCAGTGCTGGCTGCAGCTACAGGTTCCCTGACAGAGGGCCACCCTCTCTTGAACACCTCCACTGAGGGAGAAGGCGCCATCTAAGGCCGTCTGTTCCGCTGTGAACCAGTTCTTGCTTTTAGGAATGTTCTTCTAATGCTTAGCTGAAATGTGCTTCTCTGCAACATCCACACGTAATTCTAGTTCTGGCCTTAGGAGCAGATGACAAACAGGCTCCAGCTTCTGTGACAGCACTTTTCATATTTGGAGATCCCTCTCTTATCTCTTCTGGTGCTTAACATAAAAGTGAATATTGGAGTATCTGAATGATACTGAGGCTGTACCGTTGAGTGTGTGAACTAATTTCTAATACTCTTACATTTCATCTTGCGTTACTCAAGCAGTAAATTACACTTGGAGTAGTTGGAATGTGGAGTTGGAAGTATGTATCCTGCAGCACCACTTGTATATTGGATGAGGAGACTCCAGGACAGCCTGTACCTTTGTTGGCCTGGAGCCTGTATCTTTAGTAGAGCAGGACTGCACCTGCACCAGATATGACAGGACAGATGTAGAATTGACATAGGAATCTACCAAGAGTTTGTGTCTCCTATTTATTAGAACAGTTTTTTGACTGAAGAGTCAAAGGAGCTAGATGGTGATCTAGTCCCTGTATCTGGACATAAGCCCCACGTATCAATCCTTTATTTTAGACCAGTTCAGATCATTGCACCCCAGTACAGTAAAAATTTAGTGATGATTTCTGTATTTATAATTTACATCAATCTGTCCTTCTGCAGGTAATCAAGCGTTCCCTTGAAATATGGGGCAGCGAAGAAGCGTTAGAAGAAGCCAAGGCAAGCCGCCAAGACAACAGAGAGAAGATGAAACAGAAAAAATTTGATAAAAAAGTTAAAGGTGAATTTGTACAGCTACTTTTCACCCCACTAGTAAAACATGTTTACACAGCACTTGTTTTTTGTTTGGTGAGCTGCTTTATTGGTATTTGTGCCCAAGTTTAAGCTGGAAGAAGCTGGTCCTGTCTGCAACATGGACTTAAAAAAATACTAAGTTGACAATCAAGCAGTGTCATTATGGGGCCTGCGATGTCTTTTTTCTGACTGTATGAGCTGATGGCTATTTTCTAAAATTTGGGCTTCTCATATGAATTTCTATTAAGAGAGTTTAAAGATGGCAAGATATTCGTAAACAGTCTTGTCTCTTTTGCTTGCATGCATATGCACAGACTTGCAGCTGTGTGTGCACAGAGAAAAGGTTCTTCTCATATGCTGCCAGGACTAGGTGTGGCTCGATTAAATTGACTGGCAGTAGATGTAAGACAGAGGAGGAAGTATTGTGTTACACAACTCAACACGATTGCTCCAGTACTCTAACTACTAGGCCATAGAGCCCTTTGAACTGGATCCCTGCTGGCTGCCTCTGTAAATGATAGGGTGGAGCTGGAATTACTTCAGGTTGGGGTGACTGAAAACATAGCTGGTACCACCATGCAGTTCCTGAAATGGCCTGAACAAAGCACGTTTGGAATATGTAAAGCCCCACAAGGTTCTGGACTAGGTTACCTGGACAAACATCTACCTGGACCCTAAGGTCATCATTAAAGGCCCTCTCCCAGTGCTCCTAGCAATGCTGCAAGAGGGTTTTTCAGCAGTGACATCCTGGCTGTGGAATGTCCCTCTCAAGAGACTCATCTGGCCCCTCTGTTGCCGTCTTCCTAGTGTCAGGTGAAGAACTTCTCCCAGGCATTTTAAGAACTGTTTTTAGATTTCTGCATCGTTGTTTTCCACTGATTTTACTTTGGCAATACGTGCTGTACTAGTTTTACCGCTCTGCTTACTTAGTGGTATTTTACTTTGTGCCATTGTATTAATACCTTCTGTTTTATTTACTTCTACACTGACCAGAAAACTTCAGCTGTTGAACAACATGCAATAAGTACATGAGCTGATCCTCTCCTTAAGCTTCGCTAGTTTTCTTGTAAGACTGGGGGTATACACCTATGCCATGATAATGCCATTACTCTTTAATGTGCAACATGTATTTACATAAACGGAGCCCATTTTGCAAGCTTCCTCACTTCAGAATGGAGAAGCATGACCATCAAAGGCATCCATTCCGGCCAAAAAAATCAAAAGCCTCTGGGTGTTCCTTGATTTTCCCACTAACAGTTAATGGGGAGGCATCTGAGATCCGGCTGGAAGGAGGAGGTGATTTCCTTCCCTTGCCCCCTTCCTCTGTGCAGATTCTTCCCATTCAAGTCACAGCAGGCCCAAAAAGATAGGATTTGCTTCATCTCTGCCTTCTAAGTTCATAAACATCTTTTTGAGAGAGAAAACAACGTAAAACAAAACAAAAAAATAAAATGTTAAAGGCACAGTCCCGTGAGGATGCCCAGAAGTTCCTGAGTACAATGGACATCCTATGCAGTGCAGGAGGAGCATGGACGCAATGGTCACCCCATGCTTCTCCTTGCCCTGCATATCAGCCAGATGGCCAGCTGCAGCTATCCAGCTGAGGTGTTTCTCACAGGGAGGAAAGGAGACTGGAGTGCAGCCATGATGCACTGCTTTCTGGGAGACCTGGCAATTCCCCCAGAACAAGTTCCTTTCTCCTTCTCCAGGGTTGCTCTTATGACCCTGAGGACACAACCAGTGGGAAATGCTTCCACGCCCACTGCAAGAGGGACGGCTGGATCCTCAGCTTAGAACAAGGCCGGAGCTCTTTTCTGAACAGAGCTGGAAATCTGACCAAACGTGTGATCTCCCAGGGTTGCTCTACCTAGGAATCAGGAATTGGCCCTGGCTATGTTCCTAGAATAATGAGCTCTCCTCAGCCAAAAGCAGGACAGTTTGGGGGCCACTTGGTTGCCTTGTAAGTATTCCTTGTTTTCTGTTTTGCACTAGAACTACGTCGAGCTGTAAGGAGCAGCATATGGAAAAAAGACACAAGTATCCATCAACATGATTATGGAGCTGAAGAAATGATTGATGATGACCTCTACAAAAAGACTTGCACCTCCTGTGGGCATGAACTAACCTATGAAAAAATGTAGCATGTTCTTGGTTTTTATTAGATGCCCCTTTTGTAATGTTAAACTTTTGTATTCAATAAAATGAAGCTCATTAATTGCACCATGACTTTGCATACAAGCATACCATAATCCTTTACCTCAAGCAGTACGTTATGCTAAAACTCTGATTTTATGATGGGAATAGACAGTGCTGGCTTATATAAAAAGCTGGAAAATCTGTTGAAAGATGAAAATACTTACTCTTGTAGTCCTATGCAACCTTAATGGAAACTTTTCAGAAGCTGCTTTACAAATGACCTTCACAGTTTTTACTGGGGATGCATATCGTGTGAAGATGGAACCACAACAATACATTGCACTGATCGGCCAACTCTGTGAACAAGTATCGTTTAGGCACATCAGCTTCCATATTCACTTCAGGGGTGTTCACCAACGGGTAGCCATGTCCTTTACTGACGTTAATGGAGCCTTTATTTTTAGAGATTATCTTTATGCGCATGTGAAGTAGGGGCAACACCAGTCCTGCCCCACTACATCCTGCTCGGTGGGTTTTTAGTTTGCACAGTAAAGTTTTACATTAGCTATCAACACAGGATAGACAGCTACACCAACATGTTGTGAGCCGCCCCAAGGCTTATTGCGATGGGGCGGCATAGAAATGTTTTAAATCAATAAATAAATAATAAACATAATTTGAAATGAAATAACGTTAAGCCTAGGCAATCAAAACATCTAAAACTGAAAGAGTAACATACATATGAGGTGGCTGATTCAAGAAGAACGGGTGGGTTTGGCATGGGGTGAATCAACCCTGAGGAATGAGTGTGTTTATGACGGCCTGAACTGGAACACGACAGAAGTGACCACAAGCATATAATAGAAGATAATAGCCAAAAAGGCCAAACAAGGAAATCATGGGAGGGGGGAAAATAGGCCATGAGTTACTTCAGAATTGTTCCCTCTCTAGCAAGTCACGTTGCCCAGGTTCACGTGACATAAGAAACCACACCCAGGTTGGTGATTATGCTAATGAGCCAGGTACATGCTATACCTCAAACGAGCAACCATGGCTTGTTTAATTCAAGGTGATTATAGCAACCAATCCCAAGTTACAGTTCTCCCCCTCTCCATGTGTCCTCCCATGGTAAGAGACAGACTGCTTTTTAGAGCTGCCTGAATGTAATTTTTTTTGTTGTTTTTTGATCTTTTATGTTCTCAAACTGCATTTGTGAAAGCCCACACATTTTATTTTTTAGGTGGATCCTGGCTCTGAACAAGTGAGCAGACTACATCTTTACAACACTAAAGACACAATAGGCTTCTGCTGAGAACAGGAAGCCCTATTCCTTCTTCACCGCCTAAGGCATAATGAATACAAGGGGTAATCTTTTCTACTGCAACTTTTTATACATGTGCCAAATTATTATTTTCCACTTTACTCACCTCAGCTCTGCAGCTCCCGTAAACTACTGTTTTCCCCCCAACAGAATAGGAGGGAGATTTAGATCCATCACTTTCCTAAAAAACAAAACTAAAATACTTGTTTCTAATATGAATGAGAAACTGCCTTCTTATACCAGTTTTGCCTACCTTTGAAATTCATGGTGGAAGGGGCCATGAAGGCCATCAGGTCTAGTTCTTCATGGCAAAACCAACGAACTGTGAAATATGGACCCTATCCTCAAACTAGATTTTTATATAAACCAAAAACTCTTCACACATCACATCCTGGAACCTTGGGAAGGGAAAAGAGCAGCTCTGGGTGATCTGTTACTTCCCAAAGCAAGAGGAAGATGCCCACAACATTTACAGAGTCAGATTCAAACTGGTACCTCATTCTACCCAAATTCCCGAGCAAGTATGGCTATTTAGGAAGAGCATGGCAGGCCAGTTCATTTTCTCAGAAGGGGAGAAGATCTGGAACTAAAAGGTGGTAAGAAGCAGAGCTCTTCCCCTGAACTATCAACCTCAGACCAGTGGGAAATCCTCAGCTCAACTGTTACCCCAGTAACAGTGATGTTATAAGTACCCCAGTGATGTCATAAGTAGCCTCAGGCAATGACTCAGCCCCTCCCCCCAGATCTGCATGGACTGGTAAGATCTGAGAAGCACTGTGAATTCTCAAGGCATACTAATTAATTTCTCAGAATTACTACCTCTTCTGGGCTGCATGAATCAAAGACATTTTGCCTGGTTTTTATGATGCAAATAAAACACTAGGCAGATTTAAAAAACATATTTTGATTGTATTTCAACTGGGTTTCATACAACCATGAAAATTAATTTTTATAACAAACATATACTCTAGGCTACTCTGTAGGCTTGACCATTTAGCATTTCACATGTCCTACACGTCTGTTCATTGAGGGATTTAATGTTACCCACCAGAAAGCTGCTCCTTAGTCAGATTCACAAGTCTTGAGACCTGCTTCACATTATTATATCCGTTCATATGGAAGAGCCAGACAAAGGTAACCAATCCTATTAGTCCCCATTTTTATACAAACAAGAAGGGGGGAGAAAACAAATGCTGTGACAAAGCCAACATTCAAACCATTTCAAAATTAGAAATCCACACATTATTCCATCCCAATCACCTAGCAGTCGTAACTAGTGTAAGGCCTCTACTGCAAAAAAAAAAAAAAAAGAAAGAAAGAAAGAAAGAAAGAAAAAAAAAAGTTAACCCATTTGAGTACTGTATAGCTTATCTAGGACAGCACAGTAAGCTCGTTTTCAAATTAAAAGGTTCTTTCCCCTCCCTTGTTAAATTTTCCCATTTTTGTTTAAAAAGATGAAGTCAATTCAATCCTATACAAAGAAGTCACTCAGGCCTGCAGTGCACAGAACTGCTGAAATACAGCCAATATGTGATGGTCCAATTCTGCTGTGAACAGAAGGTTCTCCAAGGTCACCATGTACTGCTGGATGATCTGATGGTGCTGTGGATGGAAAAAAGCACCTCAGTTACAATTTTTATGCATTTTGACATGCTATATCAAGAGAGAGCTCAGAGATAAAGCTCAGAGATCATGTTTTGCGTTCAGTTTGACCCCCCCCCCTTTATTCATCATCTATCACTAAAAAATGGCTTCATGACTAGATGCAATGAAGCTACACTGAGAACACAGCCCGCTATTCTAGTCAGCCAACCTAAAAAGGAGGGGAAAACAAAGGTCTGGATAATCTTAATTAGGAAAGTCATTGACAAGAAACAAAGTAGGTTCAATACATGCATGCTGCTTTTCTGTACAGAATGAATAAATGAAATGCAATTTTCTTCCACAGAATGATCTCTAGTATAAACCACTTTTGGAAAGGATTTATTCATTTTATACATATATGGGCTTCCCAGAACAGTAATAAAATCAATCAAAGCACCATATAAAGTCAGGAGAAACCAAAGCAGCATTCAAAATGCAGTAACCATTTGTAAATCCATCAAGTCAAGCACATCACGACACACGTACAACTGAGGAGACTGCTTGAGCAAATAAAATCCTTTGCCAAATGCCAAAAAGAGATCCCCATTAAGGGCAGGTATAAGCTCTGCTGGGGAAGGTATTACATGTAGAGGGCACCAGAACCCCTTCCCCAGTAACCACACAAATAGATTTAGATGGTGTGGAGGAGCGGGCCTACAGGAGGTGCTCAGATGAGTTTTGGCAGATTCAAATAGTAGAAGGTGATCCTTCCACAGCCAAATCCCAAGTTGTTCATGGCTGAACCAGTAATAATCAGCACTTCGGTTCTGAGAAACGGAATGGCACCAACTGTGGCTGTTTAAGTATTCACAAAATACTGCTTCTGATTAACAGCTTTACATTTTCCACAAAATGACATTTCCAGGAAGTCTTAGAAGGCAGCCCTACACCTAAAACATTATAGCAGTCTAGCCCAAAGAGATTACCAGAACATGGCTAACTGCGGTCAGATAGTCTCCAACCAGGACAGGTTACAGCTAGGACAATATTGTAAAGATTGGACAGAACTTTAGAAACTATGTTATACAGACTTTCAACTGCTTCTTCTGCCTTTCCAGTAGTTATGAATGTAAAATGCCAGGGAATGATGAAAAGGATCAACTGAGGTTAATTCCAGCTTAATTTTTATAACCATGAGACTCACCTGTAAGAAGATCTGTTGCAGTCTCTCTATACAGTTTTTGTACCAAGGTGTAATTACATCAATCCCTCCTGTTTCACATCGGACCAGGTGCTCTGTTAGGATCATAATGAAACGCTGGAGAGGAAGGACAAATGAACATCACTGGCTTAGCATTGTCTTTAAAACATTTCAACCTCCTCAGACAAGAAAATGAATACAGTAAAAAAGAAATGAGAGCATAAGAACACCTGAGAAGCACTACCTCTGAATTAAGTATCACCACAAATATAGAACTGCAGCATTACTGAACACAGAAGTCACCCATGTTTTCCAGAGATCTTTTCCTCAAATGCATAAAATCTCTACTTCTGACTTAAAGGCAGAACTGTATGTTCTCGTATTTTCCTAAGCAGAGTTTGCCTCCCTTACAGTTAGCAACTGAGTTCCCATTAGTTCATTTTCTAATGGTGAGTGAACATTCCTGCTTTTACCTGGAATATTACAAGAAAAAGGTTTTTCTGTTCGCTCTGAGCTGATTCAACTTTTTCTTGCAGGCGCTCTATCTGTTCTTTCAGAGGGCCATCTTCCTGATCACTGCTTCGATCATCATCGTCGTCATCGTCATCACTGTTTCGCTGCAGAGGAAAAGTCAAAAAGTTATTTTGTGACCACATATGCATATGCACTGGCTGAAAGGTCAGTCAATAGCTCCAGCAGAACCCAGTTCTGGCTCTTACAGCTGTTTTATCGAATGCAAGCCAATCATGTTTTTCCTGAGAGGAGGAATGAGGTCTTTGTTCCCACACTTGTGATTTGAGACCTGACCCATCCAAGTGCTGCAAGCTTGCATCAGAGAACCAAAGTGGTGTGCGATGAGCGTGCTGGCTCAGAGATCCAGGTTCAGTTCTCCACTCAGTCATGAAGCTCAGGGGTGAGTTTGGGCCAGTCACTCGCAGCCTAACCTACCTCACAAAGTTGGTTTTGTGAGGGTAAAATGCAGCTTTGTAAGCCATCTTGGGTCCTCACAAGCAGAAAAAACATGAAATGTAGATGCAATGTAATAATCCGCAGTCGGATCAGTTATAGGCATGTATAGTCAGCAACTGCATTAAAAAGCAACAATTTAACAAAGCGTGTCTCGCTGCACTTACTTCCAAGAGCATGCTCTGAAAGCACACGGCACAAGTCCTGCTGCTAAAGCTAACCTGACTACCTGGCCCAACAAACCTTTGGTAAGCTGCCTTGAGTCCCTCTGTGATAGAGAAATAGTGGTACACTGCAAAGCTCAGTTACTGTGAGCACACCTGATCTCTAGGTTTTCTCAGACATAAGCCCAGAATGACCTGAAGGAATTCACTACCACGAGACATGGTGACAGCCACTAAGCTGATGGCTTTTCAAGTAAGGAATGGGCTAATTCATGGACATTTGATATCATAGCTGATAGCCATTGACAAATTATAACTGGAATGGAGATGCTCAACAGCAATATTCTTCTGCCCCCAAATGCTAGGGGGCAATCACCATCTTTATCTCTCCCGATTAGCATACAGAGGCCCCTGGCTCACCACTGCTGAAAACAAAATACTGGATCTTTGCCTGACCAAGCAGAGCAGTTTTTGCTAATAAAACACAGCTTTAAGCAACTATTCTTTCTACAACCATGGACAAAAAATCACCTACCCGTTTGTGTTGCTTGGCTAATCTTGCTTTGGCCTCTTCTAGCTCCTTTTGGATCATTGCCACATGCTTGTTCATTTTACGAATTGTTGAATGTAAAATTTCCCAGATATAAAACCTAGCACGGAAAGAAGCAATGAACGCTTGCCCTGCCGACACCTTTCCTGATGCCCAATAAAGTGCCCCACTCCTCCCACTTCTTTTTTCCCCTCTGGTAACACGGTTTCGTACTGGCAGCTGGAAGCGCTGTGAAATAGGTTTCTGTTGGTGCTGAAAACTATGGGCTTAAAGGAGCTGTCGAGGGTGTGGGGGCTCAGACCACAACTCCACCTTATACTCAGGTCATGTGTGTATTGCTACACCTCCCACGGCAGCCATTCAGAGGTGGTGCCCAAGGCATTTCTCAAATTCCCAAAGGTACCCATAGTTCCAAAAGTTTGCCTTCCCTTTACTGGGCTTTGCACCTCCCCTGCCCTCTCATAAATCACAGCTCTGAGCCCTTCCTCGTAAAAAGAGTGTCACTGTGCTAAGGGCTGGTTGAAAGTCTGCTTACTCAATACAAAGAGTGGTTTTGAAGACATCACAGAGAATGCCCTGCCAGCAGCATTCAAAGGACAACTGAAAGTTTTAAAATGCTTAGCTACCTTGTAAAATCATGAGCCAGCTCTGAGGAGAAAATCCAGTTGGCTACTGCAGCACAATCCACAATCTGTGTGCGGATCATCTTATCCACCAGCACAGCAATCATCTGTGTTACGAGAGAAATACAGGCCTCCTTATCAGTTTCTCGGAAGCAAATATCTGCTTGTTGCTCTAGTTAAGTGCAAGTGAGGCAAGACAAGGCAGCTTTGCCTTTCCCGCTCAACTATTTTTACAGTGGTGACAATTCAGGAGATACAATCTTATGCTATATTTACTAAACATCTGACAACTCCAACACACTTTATTCTGAATTCCACCTTCTACCTCTTGCATCTCTTTTATGTATGAAGAGTGTGCCTCCTCTAAAAGGAGCCCACCTGCTGTTTTTGAATGACTGTTTGGTGTTCAGATCATGTCCTCTATGAGGATTGGAAATTGCTGTGCCTCTGCTCTGGGGATGACTTCATGCTCCAAACATACAAGTGACTGATCAGAAGCAAGAAAGCAAGGTTGAAGCAGCAGAGTACTTAAGATATGCAAAGGCAGCAGCCTCTGTGCATAGGTAGTTTGGGCCAGGCTTCTGGTGTTATCCATAATCACAGCACATCCCTGCACCCAGTGTGGGACCTAATGGAGTGGCCTTCTGTCTAGATGCCATCTTGACTACTTGTTACCACTCAGGGCATGCCTGGATGTTATCCCCTCTACTAGGAAACAGAAAGCCCCTGGCTTCACACACTTTCCTTACTCCAGCGGGTTTAATGTCACTGGTTCCAGGGCAGGAGCAGGAAGCCTGTGGCCTACTCGGCACCCCTCTGCCAGAGAAAATGAGTTTCTCTGTGCTAAGAAAGGTGGGAGTGATTTCTCTGTGCCACCCTTTGCACAAAGACGCTCCCTTATATCAGGGGGTGGGGTTTCAGGGGAGGGTCTCTCCCCCACCACTGTACTGGGGGGTAGAGTGAACCAAAAAGCGATCTGACTTTTGGAAGTTCAATCATTTCCTCTTGCAAACTAGGCATATGTATCTGAACAATGAATTCTTAGTCTGTTGCCTCACTCATGAGGCACAACCTGCTCTTGGTGCCTCCCCAGGAAAAATCTCAAGGGAGATTTTAAAACCTGAGCAGACCCTTCGGGTCAGTTCTGATTCTACACTTGCGAAGATACTGGCAAGTATATAAATGGCCAGTTAAGAAGAGGGCTAAAGCACCTAGTTGTATTTAATTATACTTTATTGTAAAGCACCTAGTGTCCAAGCTTATAATCAAGTCAAACTGCTGTAGAGGGATGACAATGATTTATTTCACAGTGTTATTATTGAGATTACAGATACAAGATACATACTCAAAAAATATTGCTAGATGTTCATGAAACAATAGTTTTTGAGTTTGCATCTTATTTCTCTTGACCATTCTAAATCCACATCAATCTAGTCAGTATATAATAGATCAAATTGAAAAATCTGGACTTTATTCAGTCTACAAGACTAATAAGAAAAAAATGAAATGAAACGGGAAGAGGAAAGTATAAAAAAGATTTCGGATGTGAAATAACTTCAAACCTGGCCAAATATTTAGAGATAAATGTAACGGGACATAATGATACGTTGTTTCAAGATAATTAACAAACATGGATGAAGATGCAAAAAGATCTGCAAAAACAGACCAAATTAAAAGTATCATGGTTGGGAAGAATTTCCATTATAAACATGAATGTAGTACTCAAACTGAATTTTCTATTAAGAGGATACCAATCTGTATGCCAGGAAAAACTGAGTGGCAAAGACAACTGAATGCTTTATTTGGAATGGTAAAAAGCTGAGGATTAGAATCAAAATACTTCAAGATGCAAAGGAGAGAGGAGCTCTCGCAGTACCTAAGTTAAAGCTATAGTTTTACGCAGGTGGCCTGGTTCAGATTTCAGATTGGATCATAAATCTTAATGACAGGCTAGTGAAGTTAGAAACAGCTCTTCTTGAAGAAGGAATACACCATCACTTATGGACTAAAGAGTCAGTTAAAAAGGCCTTGACATCAAATAATAATTATGTATTAAGAGTTGGCCTAATATAAATTTGGTATCCTATAAGAAAAAAAATCTGGCCTCCAATTTCTCCTTTGGTGTGCCCAACTGAAACATATAGAAAATACTTAGAAGAAAAATAGTAACTATATGGATATGAGTAACCAACAAGGACAGTTAAATTTTGGCAACAACTAAAAGATGAAGGGAAAACTATTTTTCAAGGTTTCAGAACTTGGTTCAGTGTGTATGAACATGGACACAGAGACCTTTTTACAGTAATCAACAGGATTCTGACACTCCCCTATCCCAGAAGAAAACACACTTCAATTTCTTTTCTATACTGAAAGATGCAAAATGGCAACCTCCACCTGAGTGAGTGAAGAGAGGAAGGAACCCTATTCACTCTTACCTGTGGATGATTCTTCCATACGTCGTACATAACTCGGAGGACATGGAGCTTCCCTTCATCACTCTCTGCCAGGGTTTTGAAGACTTCACGAAATCTTTTTTGAACAAAAAATACAGTGAAGGTAAAGCAGTGTCCTCTCTTTCCTTGAGCACAGCATGGCTTTCAACATGCGACTGCTCAAGCACTAATACAGCTTGGAACTAAATGGTTGAGTGACGAGATCGGGAAGACTGGTCTCCTATGATCATTCTTGTCCTGTGACCACACAAAACCACCGCTGTGGCACGAACACTCTGCATTTTCTGCCGACAACCAGCAAGATGAACTATGGACACTCTCATCTCAAACATCTGCTCCAGAGTCCAACTACTGATCAGAGGCCACCTGAGACAGTGCAGCAGTGCCACTGCCTCTATGACAAGGAGTTTGGCACAAAGGCAAACCTCCTGCTTGCTTCAGTGCCAACCAGCTGATGGACAGTCAGGAGAGAAGAGTGTATCACATATCTCCTCACGTGTTTATTCCTAAATATACATTATTGTGCAACCTAGTTGACCGCTGTTTCTTCGCAGGGCCAATGTTTTAAACTGAATGAACTGGAATCTCAGCTACACTGAATAGAACAGTCAGTAGTCGAGTTGGAAGGGGCCTATAAGGCCATTGAGTCCAATCCCTGCTCTGCTTCTGCACGTGGTCACCCATCCAGCTGCAGGCCTGCACCTTTCCAGGGCAGCAAAGGCAACTCGGCACACTGGCTTCGTGCATAGCTATCCAGACAGGCAAAAGGCTGCAACTAGTCCTGAACAAGCAATGCACGGGTAAAGGGTTCCTGCCTAGGATGAACAACAGAAGTCTCCCCTCGTGTATCACAGCTGTTCATTCTTGTTTGCCTCTGCCACAGCGTTCCTGCACAGGAATGAAATGTGCAGAAGAAAAACGTTCAGCTGCTTTAACACCGGGATGGGAAGATGAAGCACCCTTTCCCAGTGACTGAGCTGAGCAGGCTGGTGCTGGGCTGCAAGGGTGTGGAGGAACATCTTGGAGTTTTAGGGTCTTACAAGAAGCCCCTGAGCTACCAACTACCATTCCCTGTCATAGACTGCTTGCTGGAGAGAAACAGACAGTGTGTCATAACAGAAATCAAATTGGTCTATAACTAATTTGTGGATTTTGCAAGGGTATCAACTCTTGGCTGTTTCTTCATAAAGCTATGAAACAATTAGAATGGGTTATATGAAACAGCAGTGAGTTATATGCAAACATATAATGATTATACTTACTTTCCCAAAGCACTGAAGGAGTGACTGAATGACTTTGAAGCTAAATGCAGCAGTGTCTGGACAAATACCTCTATTTTTAAAGGATTGAAGGAGAAGCCTTCATCTGGAAAAAAAAATTGGTACATTTGGGTCAGCATTTCCAATAGAAGGTTCGGGCTCTGAAGGACTGCATATTTTTCTGCCTCTCTTAAAAATATTTAAGCCTTTGCCTACAGTAACCAAAGGCAAATATAATCTAAAGAGTCAATGTGTTTTCTAATAGATTTTTCTTAAAACTTCAGTAATGATTCAAATGAAGTTCAACTAGGAGTACTTTCTCTCCAATATGAACAGGTTTGTGCTATCGTTCTTAGTTCTTCATAGTAAAGATTTGCTGCCCAGAAATTTATAAACTGATAAATTCAACTGATAAAGTCAGTATATTTATATGCTGGAGCATATTTATATGCTTTGGAGCACACCTATAGGGTGTGCTCCAAAGATAGAAGAGCCTTTCACCTTCTTTAAGAATTAAACAACCTTCACATAATGATCCCATAGCCTGTTTTAGGGTTATGTTTAATCCTCAAAGAACCTGAGCTTGCTGGGTTTGCAAGACATGAGAAGCCATGGTAACCTCCAATCAGAGGTTGAATTTGCATAATGGTACCTGGCATGTATCACAGCTCCTGGAAGGTAAATTAACCCACAATGGGCTATTGCATCAAGCAAATCAGGTTACTGTGTTTGCACATGTTATGTGTGAAACATTGGTGTTAGACAAGCTGGGCCATGTATCCAGACATGACAACATTGCAATTACTAGCTTTATAGAACAGAAAAGTAATCTTAAGTGCATAAAAAATCAGAACTACATGATGGTAACTATGAAAACTCTTACCATCATCATCATCCTGGTTAGGATTGGGCACATCCTTCAGAATAGTGAGGATTTCATCATTCCCTGCTTTGTTTTTAATAGCAATGTTTAAACAGAGTGCAACATTGTATCCTGGAAGAGACTCTACAGGTAAAGAAAAGTTAAAAGTTATCCTCTTGAAAAAGTAGGCATTACTGCTTCATAAAGCTTAGAAATGAACTTTCCAAGGAAACTGACTTAATGGTAATTGCATTAAGATTCAGTGTAATGAACATTAAAAGCTTTCCTTGAAAATTGCAGTTTCAAAACAAGACATTAGCAAAACATCCAAGTCAGAAAACAGATTTCCTTCTCCTATCAATGTAAACTTGAGTTTTGAAAGTACACGTTGTAACCTAGGCAGTGTGCCTACAGAAAGTTATATAAGCTCTCTGTTCAGCAGTTAACCAGATCTGCTAAACTTTTTTGAGCTCCTCAGAATTTAGAAAATGGCTCAGACACTCAGCACTGTAATATAGGTTAGTATCATTATTCCCACATTGCAAATAGGAGGCTAATAGGTGGTTTGCCCTGAAATCATACAGCAAATATATAGCAAAGAATCAAATCTGATTCATAGCTCAATTTTTCATCATCTCGACAGATGGATTCAACAAAACCCATCTTCAGACAGGTTGTTTATTATTTTCCCCTACATCTCAAACTGTAGGAAGAATTTATCTTTAAACACTATTTGAACTATTTTTAAGAATAAAAGTACACCATAAGCATAAGTGATATACATACTGTTACTTTCATCTCCATATTTATAAATACATGCTGGATTTGCAGGAGTTAAGGCTGAAAAAACAGCAGGAATAATATCAATTATTTGCTGATGGTAGGAGAGCCTGGAAAAGAAAAAGTGATATTCTTATGATACAGAACTGTGAGAATAATCAGATCAAGCATTAATACATTCCAGTACCCAACACTGGTTGAATGCAGATTATAAGCAAAACCAAAGTTCATGCTTCACATTCACCTTACGTTCAGGATTGTACCTATGCCATAATTCTACAGGAGAACTACTGAATGCTAGACTAGGGCAGCGGTGGTGAACCTATGGCAAGTGTGCCACAGCAGGCGCGCAGAGCCCTCTCTGTCGGCACGCAAGCCAAGTCGCCCCAGCAGCCGAGCATTGGATAACAGTGCACATAGGGGCCATGCGCATGCTCGGAAAGGAGTAGTGGTGCCAGGTGATGACGTCATGTGCCACGACACTTTAGCCGTGACTTGTCCGAGCTTTCGCATGGCTGGTCAGTGTGCTGCCAAGAATATATATATCCTTGGACTGGCTGTTTTCAGGTTTTATTGTGGTGTTGCCACTTTGCGATAAATAAGTGGGTTTTGGGTTGCAGTTTGGGCACTCGGTCTCTAAAAGGATTTTACTGGACTAGGGGAATGGTGATTCCTGAGAATTGTAGATTAGCTTATTGCTTTAAAGTTTTGCAACTTTAGTTGCAAAAGCATGCTTGAAAAGGTGCAAAAAGAAGCCCTTACTAAAACCTCACAATTCTGAGCTGAGTATGTTTTCCAGTAGGGTGGAGTTTCCGTGCCCTATATGGTTTCTTGTCTCTTTCCATGACTAGCAGAAGACTAAGTTATGCAGAATACTATACATTTGAGAAGTTGGAAGCAAAATAAGAGACATACACACTTCCAAGATTTACATAGGCCACTGGTGTCAGCTTTATTTGCCTCAATTATCAGTAATGCCTGGATGCAGAGCTTTATTAGCAGAGAGTACGCGAAGCCCTGGGCCACACCGACACACAAGAATGAATGTTAGAAAGCTAACATTGTTTAAAGTGCACGATACCATCTGAAAAATTTAGTTTCCCTCCCTTTAGAGTTACTTATCTCATTAGTAACTCTGCAAAGCAGTTTTCTAGTCTTGAGTCCTAGATACCTTTTAGATATTAAACCTAACACTAAAAACAATATGATAATTAAGGGAGACATAAGCACTGGTCATGACTGGGGAAGAAAAAGATAAAATATGTGCCACCATTTTCCTTATAAACAAATCTTGAATATAATTACATGGAATTAAGTTCCACAGATCTGAATAAAATTTGCATCCAAGTGTCTGCTTCGGATCAATTTTCCACTTCATCATTTGTTTTCAGTTTTTATTGTACAGCTATTAAGTATTACAGATTACAAAGGTTTTGTTTTCACTGAGGCACCTATAGATCTAAAATTGGACATTAAAAACTGGACAGAATTACTTTCATTAACTAAGTTTCTTCTAACTGAAGACCCTCCAGATTTCCTAACAATAATTTCCTTCCATGTATTGGGGAAAAACCATCTCAACTGTGTTTAATAAGTGAAAAATTTGCTTTTCACTCAACTGTATCACTTGCTCCACACTGATGACATATTTATTGACATATTTAGGAAGACTAGGGAAACAATGCTGATTTAAACTGGGAACTGTATTTTATATAAAATGCCCTGTTACAAGTTCTGACATACTTTATCAAATGCATTCAGCTGAAAAGAACCAGATACCATTTTCTTGACTGTTACTGCCCCATACATATCAACACTGATATTTTGCTTACCTCATGCTTTTTTCCAGTACTTCTCTAACAAATTTCGGTCTGGGCTTGTCAAGGTCCTCAGAAAGACAATCTGACCTATTGTTGAACAGCAAAACTTGTTATTCAGAAATACCCAGGTTATTATTCTAGTAGACACTAATTAGGCACCCTTGTGCAGAATTCCTCTTGTACTTTGAAGACAGAGAATTCATGATAGGAAATTAGTACTGGGCTAGGCTTTACGATTTGTGGCTTTGCAATCTACAAAATCTGCTTTAGAAGGACATTTTTAGCTACAGATGTGTGAGCAGATTTTTCACAGCAGTGAACAAAAACATCACTTATACAATAAGAATTACTTGCAAGATTTAACACCATTGTGATAAGTACTTTAAAAGGAGTTAAAAAATATACTGCTAAGAGAATACAATTAGACTCATTTTAATAATTAGCTAGCTGTGTGCATGTAGAGAGAGCCAACTAAAAAAGTACAAGAAAATATACTTACCAATCTTCCCAGCTCCAACGGAATTGAAAGTTACTTAGATGGTGGGAAAACCAATTAATGAACCTTCATGGGGAAAAAATAAGTTTTAGTAACTCCTTGACATCTGAACTATTGTAAATTACAATAGAGTTATTCTACAACCTAGACCAGGGTTGGCAGCATGTAGCCCAACCAGTAAGGCTACTGCCATGCTGATTAAAATGTTTCACTTGTTATTTTTTAACCGAAAATAGCGTCAGGAGCACTACAGAGTGTCAAAAGGGCCCAATCTAGCCTGTTTGCTCTGGTGATAATTTTTTTTCTAAACTTAAAAAAGAAAGAAAAAAGAATACTGAGTTGCCCAGCAAACAGTAACCCCAAGTCATCTCAAAGTTGTCCACTTCTGTTCGAGCCATTAACATCAAAATTAATCTGTTGAAATAGATTCATGGAAATACTGGTTGCAAAGTTTAAGGGACTAGAGAAAGGTGAATGAAAGTAAGGTTCAGAATAATCAAATATGTTAACTGACTGTATCTTTTGAAGAGCTGCCTAGTACGGATCAGGTATCTTATTTCCAGATTCTAATTTATATAAAGACATTAGACATGGTTATCTAATTCTGTCTTTAAACTTGTATTCATGAGCTACTTATATTAAGGAAGCTTCAGACAATAGTGTTAAATAGGGAGCTGCTCTTTGATGGTCATTGTGGCCTTAAAATGAGAAAAGCAGCTTGTGTTATATATGCATACATGCATTCAGTCTCTCAGTTCAAAGGGGGTGAAGATCTCAGTTCCATAAACTACTAAGAAAAACTAGATGTGGGTAGACTTACATACCTGTCTATACAAATCGTATTCATCGTATCCAAGCGCATGAACAGCATTTCTGTGGCTTGTGCAAGCTGTTAGTTTCTATGTAAGGTTTCAAATGGATTAAATCTTTGACATATGAACTTCCTTTTTTTCTTGAACAAAGAATACATGCTGCATTTGACTTAACATTTGTATCTTGGGTTCAGGTAATAAGGTAAGGCAATTATCTTATTTGGGTTTCCTCTGTGTTGTATAGTTAATCTTCAAAGTTGTTTTCGTACTGTTGCTGAATGAATAAAATGACAGGCCTGCATTCAGGAAAGTACTTTTCTTAATGTCTCAGTAGGATTAAGTAGAAAGGACCCTCCCGCTGAGGTCCATGTTTACAGTGAAGGGCTTCACATGTACAGTAATATGCACAGAGGCTTCTATGTAGCAAGTTGCACATTTGAGTGATGAAGAGATGATACTGAATGCAGACCTGCTTCTGAGCTGAGGCAAATACTTCCTGTATCATCAAAAGTAACTTAGGACTGGCTACAAATGCAAAAAATGGGTAACCCCGCTTCTACCTCAGAGATTACCCAGTATACCTGCATTCAAAATTAACTGTCTTCTAATACAGCTGGAAAACAGTAAAGGCATTCATATTTTTTCCCTACAAAATGCATCAACTGTTACAAGAATCTTAGAGTGTTTCAAAAAGGATACAACTTGGGGTAAAGAGCCAGGCTGAAGTTTACAAAGCTCAATAAAAAGTGTTGTGTACATGACTTCAGTGTGGGGTGGAAAAGGAAGCTGGAAGAGCTCAGAAAAGATAACCTGGAAAAGAGATATGACAGGGATATGCTGAAAAGTATACTTATCCTCTGTGCACACTATGGATATCAGCTGGTATTGTTCCTAGATGCTGGAAAACTCCAAGTGCAATGGTGATTACTATGCTTTCAAGACAGACCCCTACCAGCCACTCCCCTTTCTGAAATGATCCCCATATAATACCTGATAGACAGACCTGCATATCTGTGGAAACACGACGCACAGAAGTTAAATGGCTTTAAATTCTCTTCCATATTAAGCATATTTGTTATGTGAGGCCTTAGCTGATACACAGCAATCACAAGGGAGGATCACCAAATTTCAATGTACCACTCAACCCATAGAGACAACCATTTTACTACATGTCTTACTGCACATCTGTACCCAATGTGTGACAAAATGCAGGATAGCTGAAAAAACTGATCTCAGAGGCTATCTAGTATGGACACACTTTATCCTCAGAAAACACACACAAACCAATTATATATATATATAAAAGGCATACAGGCAGAAGCCTAGTATCACTCTTCTGATGCTATCCCAAGAGCTCAGTCTTAAGACAACAGGTCATGAGGGAAGTCACTGTCACTGGTTAAAAGATGACATGCACTGGAGTTTATTATATAGGAAGCAAAAGTATTTTTAAGGGGAAAAATAAATGTGCTAGGTGAAATACATACCTCAACTATGTGGTAGTTCAGAGGGATCTTGTTATTTCCTGGGTAGCTCAGTAACTGGGCAGCACTAGAGAAAAATACATACTCAGATATATAGCTTAGAATGTAAATACATTAAAAGGTTAACTAGGAAGCAAATAAGAATGTTACTATAGAACACATTTTTACTTATGTGTGGTTAGAGTTGCATTTCACAAGCAGTCTTCTCTCTCTTCTTGGACAAAAGGGGACTGCCTCCTCCTTGCCTGGCCAGGGGAGACACAGGAGGAGCTTGCCAGAGGCTCCAAAGCCAGTTTGCCACTTCTGCTTCAGACAAATGGGAGTCAAAAGCAGAGGTCTGGGTGCCATTTAGAAGCAGGAAAGATAAATAATTCAAGACAACAACTGTACCTGACATGGTATGAAAACTGAGGAACAGAAAAAGACCTGTATTATTTGTTTTAGTATGGTCAAAATACAATTTGTGGAAGAACATTTTCCACTTCAGACTAAGCAGATCAAGAGCAATCAACTAGGATGCTAACCATTTTCCTTTGCAGCTAAGTCTTGCATTTTACTTTACTAACTCATTTTTTTCAAATATGAGGTCTTTAACTGCACTCTTGTATATGAAAGCAGTCCACAAAAGGCAAAATTGTAAGTGCAGCTCTCCTTGTAGAGCTTAATATTGAGACAACTTCAGCCCAAAAAGTAATTCACCCCCTACCCACCCACAAAGAAGGTATTTCCCTTGTCAAGGAACTGTACCCACATGCTGCAGTAGAGCTCTCTTCCTACTCAGTTTTCAACTGGATTCTTGACAACTGGAGTTTCTACTTCAAAAGATATTTTCTCTTAAAACTTTTCTTGTTAAAGAATATCCTACAATCTAACATTTGTTTTAAGGTATTCACTTTTTGTAGGTTTCTTTCTCCCAGATATGCCAAATGCCTCTATCAACAGTTTTTTTTTAATAAAATCTTGCAACTGCAAGAGATACGACACTTTGGCAAAACGGCATCACACCTAAGTGCGTTGCATCCAGAAAACTCAGTACTACTAAGAGAATTCATTTTATACCTATCCTGATCTTTGACAAATACTTAGAAAGTGCAATCTGTAGCAGCTAGATACACATGCAGCTGAAGAATTTCTGTGATATTTTCATTGCAGCAGATGGCTGAAGAGACAAATTGCTTTTTGAACAGATCAGTGGCTTGTCTTTGGCTATCGGAAGTATTCTCACCCCATGTGCACATAACCCTTGTTAGATCATGGACCAACTACTCAGAAAATATAAGGCCGCAGAGGTAGAAAACAGAAACCATTTGACTACTTGATGTATGTGCTGCATGAAGGCAAAACCCCTTACCATGTTTTCCTTTCCTTCCAGTGAGATTTGATGATGCAATGAAGATTTTCTTCTATCACAAATCTCTCAACGGAATGACTGCCAGGCATAACAGGACCCTAAGGAGGGAATTAAGAAACACTGGTGCAACATGAAAATACACTTTCATAAATGAAACTAAATGACAATGTTTGGTCACAACTGCCTTTATAGCTTTGTCAACAGTTCTAATATAGTATATAATGTATATGAGGATTTAACATTTACAAGAAACATTTGCAATATGCTGTAATATGTGTGTGCTGCAGTGAATTTGGCTGTTTAAAACAAAAACAAGCCAAGAGCCAAAGAAGTGTGAAACTAGTTCCATGCACTTAAAGAGATGTTAGGGGGTTTTTTCCCCTTTGTGAAGTAGTCCTATGAAAAAGTTGCTGTGACAAGATTGGGCGGCATGCAATGTTTTAAATAAATACAACAACAACAACGGTTATTGATATAGGAAAGATATGTGTTTCAAAAAGCGGTTTTGTATGCACAGGTGGGACAGAAGATTCAAAGAACAAATCACTGAACTGTTATACATCTAAGTAGATATTTGGATTTCAGCCAGTTTTGGACTAATTAACACCCACAAAAGTCAAGTTTCAGACAGCAGCAGTCAATATCTGGAAACCACCAAATACTGGTATTATCTCCTAATTCAAACCAAACACATACTTGGCTTTCACACGTGACTTACCTCAGGATCATCGGTGTAGTCAAACATTCTGAAGATAACTCTTGGCACTGGGTAACTTGAATCTTCAGTGTGAGGTGGTGGGGTAAAAGGAGGCAGATTGTGCTGAAGTGCTTCACAGAGCACATTGTCAAATGCCAGGTATGGCCTTGGGATGTGCCTTTCTTGCCAGCAATCTTTTTTCAGCTTCTGAATCTGAGCCCAAAGGCAATCTAAATACTGAAATGGAAAGAATCTCCCAGTCATTTCCTCTTTTTTTGCACAGAAGACAGCTCCCTACAACCAGATAGGTAGATTTCTCACTGGAAGTCACCCATTCACTTCATTATCTGACTTGGAAACAAACTCCCCCATGCCCAAAACACACTGAAGGAAGTAACTCAGCGATTGAGAAACAGAGGGAAACAGCCAAGCCATGATGTCTGCCTGAAGGAATGTGGAGGGGAGAGAAGATAATGATGCCTTGAAAGAAAGTGTGCTACCTCCTATCTCATACTCCCAGCAGATTTTATGGGACAGAGGGTTGTAGGGCAAGGTGAAGTCACAGAGGAGGGAACTAGTGAACTTGTAATTATGAGCACGCGGGGGTAACAGGTTGATGAATATTAACTCACACACCTTAAGTAGACAATAGGCTGATTGTAACGCACATGTGATATATGTATATTCCATTATACATTATAATGGAACTGTATGAAATTATATGAAGTAGGCGGACGGAAAGACTGTACCTCCTTAGTACCTCATCCTATGAAGGAATTGGAGAGGGCTACGACGGGCAAGTTAGGGTATAAAAGGAGCTGCTTTGTGTGGCTGTACTTTGGAGAGATTCTGATAGAGCAGGCTCTCCCCGTCTATTGCGATCAATGAAGGAATAGCCTCACTCGGTTGGTAGTCTTGGTTATGTAACTTGAAGAGAAGTATTATCACAGCTGTTTACATAACAACACCTTTGCCATCTACACTACTTGAGAGCTTCAATATTCAGCTAGAAACTAAAAGATCCATATAACACATTTGTGGCTTGAGCTTCTTAGGCAACAGCCACTATGCTACATGGCCAGTTATTTTTGAAACAAAGACAACTTTCAAAAGTAGATTGTGAAGGGACACAGCAATCTATACCTGAAAAGAGCAACTAAGCGCTAACAGATCATGCCCAAACCCCCAGACATGCTAATGGAGAGGCTCTGGGTTTTGGTCAATGAAGTCATCATTATATTGTCAAAACAGATCATGGAGTTAAGCATGCTTAGAAACGTTTCCTGGGGGGGAGGGCAAAACAAAGAATTGAAGAAATATTATCTTTTTTACTGAAGAATTTTATTGAATGTTCTTTATATTTGGAAAGGAAGAGCAACTGGCAATACTCTTCTCATTGAAAGAACAGAGGCACCTGCAAGGGACAAGAATCAATAATTTCTTCAACATTTCCCTGGCAGCTCTAACACATACTAGGCAGTCACATAAAATTGCTCAGATGCCTGCAGTAGCCGAACTTTATTACCTCTTCTTGTGGATGTGGTTTATCAGCGGACCAAACCTGCAACATGGGCACGTGAATCTTCTGACGCCGTCTGACATGAAAGAACACAAACATCCTAAGTGCTACTTACATTTGACCAGCACTTTAGCTCTGAAATACTATGAGGAAACTTCCTGAAGTTATCCAAACATGAAAGTCATTCTCAAAAGGGCGGGGTACAACTCCCTAAAAAAGATGGAACTCGCTCCTAAAGAAGGCACACACATTATATGCCCTAATTTCCACCTTAAGTGTTTTGTATCAGTTTATTGAGCTGTCTGCATCAGGAGATGCTTGCATTTTGGAAATGCATATTGTTAAAAATTAAGAAAACGCACACTATTTAGAATTAAAATGTCAACCAAGAAGTTTTAACTCTAGCATAATAGAGGTATACAGTACAGTGTAGTAGGCCATTCCTCTGCACAAGTCCTATCAACATGAACAGGAACTGTAGAAGAATGCATTGGTAGTACTCCTCTGTAGCTCCCATTTCAATGGGGCTTGCACGTGAGAAATTTCTGCTGGCTTGTGACCCCAGTGCTCCTGCACTGTAGTCATGGAAAAGGTGTGGTTTGAAAAACAGCCTGTCCTGGCTCATAGCCTTGACACCAGTTTTTTGCAAACCACAGTCTGCATATCAGAAATCAGTCTTTGGAGTGCCCCTTGCATCTATTCCCTGCCTTAGCCACAGCTGTGCATTACATGTGCACTTCACACAAACCAAGATCCTTCATAACCAAAATTGAACTATGGGATAGTGAGAACCTCTGTAATCAAGCCTCTGGCTTCACTGTGGCTTATGAGGGATCCTGGTCAGCATCAGCCAGTGCTGGTGGAGAAGCATCACAACACCATTGTTAAAGCAAACAAGAGAATGGATGGGGTTTGAGACGTGAAAGAGGAAGGAACATACATTCCCACATTCAGCACATAGCTGGGTCTATCTTACCTCAGTTTTAACAGAGGTAGAACAACAGTTTCCACAACTTCAGATTATCAGAAAACAAAGAGTTTTTCCTACTCTACTAACACTTAATGAAGCAAAGTGGACTTTCACTTATTCTCTTACTTCAAATAGTTTTCAACACTGGCCAAGATGCGGTCCATTTCAGCATCCTTCTTCTCGTATAACTCCTTCCCCACCCAAGGTAAGGATGACAGAAATGCATACACATACCAATCACATCGCACCTAAGGCAAATGAAAATAATGTGCAGTCGCATAAAAGCAAGCAAGAGAAAGTGTTTCAGGTTTTTTACTACAAGGGAACTACCTGGTTGTCACATGATCACCACAGCCTACTGTGGCTGAATAGCCATGATGAGTTTCAGGACCCACAGACACCACGTTGCCAATTCAAGCCCAGCTACTACAGCTTCTCATTATGTGAAAACTTAGTGAGCTCAGAGTTCTGTGTGGCTTGTCAACCATCCCAACAGCCACTCCTTGCCAGGTTCACACATAACAAGAAGCTATGGTGCATCCCTGCCATGTTCTAAATGCCCCAGATGGTGCCTGCCACAATGAGAAACCTTGCCAGGAAATTCATCCACATATGAAGCAGGCTGATGTAAGGAACCTCAGGTCAAACAGTCTGAACCCAATGTGAAGACATATAGATGACTTTACGATAACTAGCAGTGCTCTAATATGACAGTTCAGCTTTTCTTTGCAGAAGATCTAGCTAAGACTGCATTTTAAATCTATGTTCTTGAACTCTGATAAAAACATCCTGATTATGCTGGGTACTCCCTCATGGGGGATGGGCATTTCAGTAGCCGGCCACTGATGAAGCAAAAATATTTCTTTGCTTACCTGAGGTACATCTTCCTCCTGAGTCACAGCAACAAAATTCTCAAACATAGCTACCATTGAAGGTGCAGCTATTACATGACAATTCACAAGATCAGACAGGAAACGGACCTGGGAGAAAACGGGGGGAAAACCCAGAATTTAAAGGAAAGGTATTTTGCTGACTTTGATTCTACTTCAACTGAGACTGGGAACTTTATTGGGGCCCTAAAATTCCTTCTCAGGTGCTCCCTTCTGCATAGCATGGATAAAAAGCAGGAGGATCTCTCATAAGACCAAAAACCTATCACATTCAAACAATCAGAGACTCTTCCATGATCAGTACCTTCTGTTCTTAGTGACAGAGCAAGAGAGGAAGTACACAAGGCCAAGTTCCAATCTTATCTGAACTGAAATCTCAGAATCCAAGTACAAAGAAAAAACAGCAATCCATTTGCAAAATAGAGAACGAACTGTGTTCTCCATGTATATGGAGGCACAGTGAATGAAAAAATATCTGCTGAAGACTTGGCTTGCCAATCCAATTTCTGGGTGTGTTCCTACACCCACGCTAAATCACAAAACATAACTTTCCACAGATTGTGTACAGTTCTACAGTAAAATTACAAGAAACAGGTCAGTCCAGACATTTGGAGGGATACATAAAAAATAATATCATGTGTATTTTCCACAATACACACTGTGTATCAAAGTCACTGGAAAGCAAAGCAGACTAAGAAGGATTATAAAAGGTGAAAAGAACTTACTAAATGCACAGCTTCATTGTACATGTTGACTTTCAAGCATTCTTTGAGTTGACGTATCATGGCTTCTATAAACTCTCCACCAAAATTGTAGTTTCTGGCATTCAGCAATCCAACCAGAGTTGTGTAAACAGTCAGCTTTTCTGGTAACAAGCGTGCACTTTTTTTTCATAAAGGAGAAAGGAAGCAATGTCAGAGCTCAACTCAGATTGCAATCACTCCTTACACATGGCAAATGCAACTCATGAGGTTGCACATATATTTGACCTCAAGATACTATGAAAAGTAAAGTGAGCATCAGCTCTGTCTATACCCAACTGTTATTTTTGAGGGAAATTCAAATAAACTCTATACAATTCTGCAACAACCTCCACTGTACTCATATCCCCACTTCCATCTCTAGAATAAGTTTCAGTTCATCTTCTTACACAGCATGGCATAGGTGAAAGGAAAGAAAAGTAGCACATAGTTGAGGCAAAGTTATGAACCTTTCTGGAAGAAATACCTCCTACTAACCTGAGATTGTAAACTGGGTCTCATTTCACTGCTGTGGTGAATAAGCAAATTATGAGCTGGAGTAAATGCAACTGCTTTCCGGGAAGTAAGCACGCTAATTGCAGTTGCAGGGCCAATGAGAAGTGCCATGCTGATGTGCTACACGCCCCACATCCCAAATAAGCTATCACAAAAGCGTGCTTTGCCCCTGATATTTTAATAAAAATTCAAGACATCTTTCCCTATTTTTGATCAGTAGTCTTAAGCACATTTACTCTAAAAGGTCAGTCACTGATTCCAGAATAATCCATTTCAAGTAAACTTGCTATCTAAGGTGAATAGAGAAGTTATTCTACACATTCTGCTAAATTTCTCTCCCAATTTCAATTAGAAAAAAAAATCTGCCAACATAAATTGTGGCCTTTAAAAAAAACTTATGAAAGTTTAAAAGCATTCTGTGTAGGCTACTTATTATCACCTGGATCCATAGATCTTTTGCATACATACACTGTACAAAGGAGTCTTAGTATCTTGCTTTTGTAGTTTGGCAGATCTGCTTCCAGAACTCCAGCCAGGCCTTCCAAGTTACTCTCCAAAGAAGAAGTATTCTAATGGGGTAAAAAAATAGAAATGTATAATCTTGCAGTGAGATTCTGTCAAGATGTAATTTGATATTCCTTTCAATATGGAAGAATATTAATTGATAGGAAAAAATCAGATACAGAGTGAAGGGTACCGCCAGATGGAGGGCTCCTAGCACTGCCAATTAGAACACATTGGACTGTGATTTTCTTCCATAATACATTTTCTATAGTTAAAAAAAAGGTAGACAGTAGTGGGGAAAACACAGGAGGGTTACAAATAGAAGATGACATCATCTGGATTCATAGAAGCCCATGAATGAGGCAGGGCATTGCATAATAAAAGCCTTATCAGGAAGCACCCTCAGTTGTAATCTGGTTTTTAAATACAAGTTTTAAATTGCACAACTACCAACAGCTGAACAATAATATATAGGTCCAAACATGTGGTAAGTTCCACATTTAGTCCCAACATTTAGAAGAGGACTGGTTTGCATTTACTTCTTAAGCTCCATGCAGAATAAAACATGAAGAGATCAGCAATCCTATGAGAACAAGAGCAGGCCATAGATTAGACATTCCCCTTTCCTGCACTAATTCCTCCCCCGCCCAAACTTAGCCATGCTTAAACAATGCACAGCGGCAGTGTCAGCCATGATAAATCCTAACCAGGTTTTCCTTTAACTAGGATTTGAAATTAAGGTGTGAAGTTAGCTAACAAACACCAGTGAAGAGGATACCATAGTTACCAGATTCTGGCTTGTTAGCAGAGCAACACATCTGGTATGAATGCAAAGCTAAACAAACCATGTACAGAAAAGCCATGCAGAAGCAACTGGCCAGAATGCTCTAGCATGCTTGCTCTTTCTTGATAAACCACCATTTTGAAGATTCCTAGCTTACTGTTATGCACAGACCAGTTCTAAAACATAAACAAATCAAAAGTGTGAGCAGGAAGTTGCTAGTTTTTCTTACCTTTTCTCCCACTCTACATATTAAGGATTCAAGACGATCTTCAATCTTTAATGAATGTGATGTTCTCCTTCTCTTGTGAGGCTGCCCTCCTGTTTCAATTAGACAAAGCAGAAATAATTCAGCTCATGTTGTTTTCTGTGCTCCAAGGTAAACACTCTAATAAGGATATGGCTACTGTTAAAGACACAATGGCAAATCAGTACTAAGATGTTGCATTTGTAAATCTGTACATCATTTCAGCAATTCAGCCAAACCCTGCCATATTCTGCACAACTGCACTGAACCTATATGATCTAGAAGAGATGATATTATTAGTCATATGTATTTAATTGCTGTAGCAATTTCATGCCCTTACCCTTTTTTTATTCAATGTATTTGGAATTTTGGTTTGGAAGACTGAAGTTGAAATTAGCCATTACAAAGTTTGTTTTTTCCTTCTCCTTCCCCATCCTGTTTTTCTCTTCTGTTGTGTCTTTTAGATTGTAAGCCAGAAGGCAAGGTCTGTTTTATTTCTTATTTGATTTGGAAACTGCATTGGCAAAACTGCTTTACATAATAAAAGACACAAAGTAAACAACTATCTGTTAATCTTGTTGGGAGAACTCAGTGACAGAAGCTGGAAGACTTTTTGATCCCCCTCCTTCATCAGTGTCCTTCTCAGTATTCTGGAGGCTTTGTTAACGCTCTAGGGTAGCAGGTGCAGGGGAAAGAGAGAATTGGGAAAAGTCACACTCACAAATGCTTTTCCACTGGCGGGAGTGCACTCAGAGCAGATGCTCCTGTGGGTGGAAGAGTATTCAGGATTCAAGCCATTATTATTAATGGGCCTATCCTTTATTTATTATTTATTTATTTATTAAAACATTTCTATGCTGCCCCTTGCCGAAGCCTCGGGGTGGCTCACAGCACAAATAAAATACAATAAAATACAAAAATAACAATATAAAATTAACAATGTAAAATAAATAACAATATAAAAGAAGTCGCCCTGGCCAGATAAAAAAGCAAATATTGTTAACAATTAAAATGACGTTTAAATAAAAAGGTCTTCGCCTGGCGCTGAAAAACTAATAATGACGGCGCCAGGCAGACCTCTCTGGGGAGCGCATTCCATAGATTGGGCACCACCGCAGAGAAAGCCCTCCTCCGAGTACCTACCCTCCTAATTTCTTTCACGGAGGGTTCCCGGAGAGGGCCTCTCCCGCAGATCTCAAGGGGCGGCCGGGCATATATGGATGTAAGCGCTCCTTCAGGTAACCAGGACCCAAGCCGTTTAGGGCTTTATAGGTCATCACCAACACCTTGAATTGGGCCCGGACTTCAATGGGAAGCCAGTGAAGCTGATGGAGGACTGGAGGCATGTGAACATAACGCCCAGTCCCCGTCAGCAGCCTGGCAGCTCTATTTTGAACTAACTGAAGTATCCGGACCGTCTTCAAGGGAAGCCCCACGTAAAGCGCGTTACAGAAGTCAAGGCGGGAAGTCACCAGTGCGTGTGTCACCATCGCCAGGCAGTCGTACTCCAGGTAGGGGCGCGGCTGATTAATCAGCCGAAGCTGAAGGAAAGCGCTCCTCGCCGCTGCTGTCACCTGAGCTTCCAATGAAAGCTCCGGGTCGAGGAGCACTCCTAAGCTGCGGACCTTGTCCCTAAGAGGGAGTGCAACCCCATTCAGGACCAGGTCATATCCACCCTCTCCGAAGCCCGATCCACCAACCAACAGGACCTCCTTCTTGTCTGGATTGAGCTTCAGTTTAAAAATACCCTTTGCCCACTTAGAATCTAACAACCAAAATCAAAAGGAAAGGGATAAAGAGAGAATAAAATAGGCAAATCAGAATCAGGCAAAAATAATACAAACGATTATCATGTGACTAAATTCTGAGAGCAGAAGCCAAATCACTGTCTCATTCAAACTACTGAGCTATGTTGAAGATAAGAGAAAGACGAAAACTACTGAGCTCATTTGAAAGAGCTCACTGTATTTAAAAGTACTCAGGGAATGACCCATCACTGCCAAAGTTCAAGTAGCCAAAGAAAGCATACAAAATTGAACTTGATGTAGCCAATCCTTGTGCACTGCCAGTCAGAAATAGAAATGTTAGGTGCTATGAAAACCCAGGCATGTCCCATAGTGTTTTACACAGCCTTAATTTTTATTTAGTGCCTAATGCTGCAAATAGCATTGACCTAATGCACTGTAATAAAATTAGCAGAAACAAAATGTCTCTTTCATATACAAAAGTGGGCTGGCAGATTTATATATGTCATTGCTTACAAAATCTGAATCTAAAGGAGGAAATACTGACCATCACAAGAATTGCCCTTCATTTGCAAAAGCATTTTATAGTATAGCCCAAATCCCCCTCCCATTTCCACACTGATCACCATAGGATTCTTTTATATAAAACAAAGGATTCTGGGGCACTTGCAGTGATAAAGTCTCAGGTTGTGCTGGACACACTGAGTGCATCCTGCCCCCAAGCAAACTGAGCAGGCCCAACAGTGCCAGCTGCCTGCCCTGTGTGGGAAGGTTACCATGATGGGCGACCTGTCTGTTGGGCAGCTTGTGTGTCCTAATTAATCTTCTTGCGATAAATAAATAAAATGAAAAGATATGCTCATGAAACAGCTTGGAAATCATTATTTCAGATTCAGGTTTCAAAATGCGTATGGCCTGAAGAGAACAACTTTCTCTTGCCACACTTGCTATAAAGCACTCAGGTTGGGATGCTGAAACCTCCACAGTGATGTAAGGTGAAAATTTAGGGCCTTTTACTTGGATTTTTACCTCTATGCCACAAACAGCAAAGCTGTTATGAGGCCACAGGAACTGGTTACAGTGGGTTTGTAGAATGCTTAATATATTTTTATTTTATTCCTCCAAGAAATGCTGATTTCATCCCTGCTAAATTGATTAGTAAAGAGACTGCTTTACCATCAGAACTTTTAAATAGTCTTTTATTCAGAACAAGAGGCAGTTGGTATAAGTCTTCTCTTTTACTTGGTTCCAAGCAAATCAGAATGAGAACTTGCAACCATAAATTACTCTCTGCTTTATCCTTCTTTATATGATAACCCTCCCTCCATTGATACACAAACCTTGCACCATTATTCCTTCTTAGTATGAACATAGAACAAGGATGGTCAACCCTTAGGCTGAAACCCAAAATGGGCACTTAGAAAGCAAAACAAATCTATGTTCTGTACACTTCTTGCAACTTCTTCTCTACAGTCTGAGATTGCTAGAGATCCATCATTAGGTATTTATGTTGCTATATTTGCTTTGTTGTTTAGCTATCTTGCTATTAATGACTGGGATGTGCATGCTGTAAAATAAACAATATAAACAACCATGTTCACTATGAACTACTACTACTACATGCACATACTTTCTACAAAAGAAAGGAGAAAACAACAGGCAACATCCAACGTCGGTCACACTTAGAGCAGATAAATTAAATCAATGTGACATTTGTGCCCACTCTAAGGAGGCCTCAGTTTGGATTTTAACCAATATATGGCCTAATTAAATAAGCAACAGTTACATTCAGACATAACACTATACTATAGTTTAGCTTTAAGAAAACAAGCCTAGGCAAGCTTCAAGTTCATGAACTCTCTACCCCTTTCCTAATGCAACCAAAGGCATTTAAAAGCATTCATTTCCATTTCAGATTAACAGTTTGCCATGCTATCTAAAGCTAGACAAAGTGGTCAATCTTAAACATTGTTAGCAGAAACAAACCAACTTCAAACAACAGTTTATGAAGCTGGCTTTTTTCCTACTACTATATTTAAGACTAAGGAGAGTTCATATGCAACACTAAACTACAGGCAGTCTAAAACATAAGTAGAAGCCCCTGATATCTTCCTCATAGACTCCCTGAGGGTGGGGTTCAAGAGCCTGAAGTTTGCTGCAGCTCACCCTCAGTGCTAAAATATAGTTTACCAGATAGGCAAATGTATCCTTATTTGAGCCCTAAAATCAATTTACTTTCTTTGTACCAAAATCTTCTGACTCTGCATGTCAATGCAAATTTTCAAAACCTACAAACATTAAGACACATTACTGCTTTACCTAAAATACTGAAATACAGCACAACATCCAACAGGATCTACCAACAAATAGAAAAGCATCTGTCAGTGAAACATAGTTCCCCCATTCCTTTGAAACTTCCCACTATAGACTAACCAGAAGGACTAGGAGACTGTCAAACAGATTTCTGGGAGAGGGCAGCAGGGAATGCCACACAGGGGAAGGGAATGCTCATGCCAGACTGGTTGTCATCCAAGATTTGTTGTTCCTGGACAGGATTTCCAATCAACCTACAAGCATAGTCTTTAAGGTTTATGTTTCTGCTACTCTTTAACCAGGTGCACAGCTTAGAAAGTATGTTTAAAATCAGGATTCTGGCCATTTTTTCCTCATGAAACAGCTGTAGAAAACTATGGAAGCAGTTTTTCCTTGCTGCATCAATTTCTGGGGATGGGGGGGGGGGGGAATGCTGTCTCTCAAAGTATGTCAGGAAATGCCCAAGTCTGACCATGAGAGCTTTCCCGGCCCTCCCAATCCCTTGGCAATTACTCATTCCATGTATAGCTTAGATCAGACTTTATAACTACTCAAAATATGCCAAGGTTGAGCTGGGGTGTGTGCATGGGTTCACCTGCAGAGTCACCACTGATTCTTGGCAAAAACAACTACATTTAGCTCTCTTTTCTGATGCCTACAACTGAATGCAAATTTGCTATTTTATTTGTATAAAAACTGGTTTTTCTCTTAGAAAATCAGAGTTTACACAGGGTATATGGAGCTGGACAAAGTTAGATGCTTTGAATGCAAAATAATTCCAGGATCAATTGTAACATGATTATCATCACACTTCATTTATATCCCACCACTGTTCCTCTTGTGAGGAAACGAAGGCAACTTCCATGGTTCTACTTTATCTCCGCAACAGCTATGTGAGGTAGGTTGGGATGAGAGTGAGTGACTGGCCAAAATCACCGAATGAGATTCATAGCCAAGCAGGGACTAAAATCCAGCTCTCCTAGATCCCCAGTCTAACCCTCTAACCACTACACCAGCTCACACATGAGCATCTTTAGTGGAAAAAAAAACACAAATCTGCCAATCTGAAGTTAACATTTTATGCATCTGATGATGCAACCCGCGTCGAGGTAAGCTTCTTCCAGATCAAACGTGTTCATCTCTAAGAAGCCACAAGCTCCTGTATAGCTTTTGCTGCAACAAGCTAACAGGCCTACTTCTCAGGAACTGGCTATCAGGAGGCCAAAATTACGAAAGCTACGTTTTCCTCCTACCCCGCCAAATTGCTGCCAGTCAGAACAGCCAACCGCGGAATTGGTGGCCCACAGGCCTGACTCTGTCTAAACGCTCTTTCCATGCGTGTCCGCACTGCACAGGACGGCCCGCGACAGGCCTGCCGTTGACCTGCACCAATGCTCTTTATACACTCCACCGCGCGGGGGTGCGTGAAGCGCGGCAATTCCTCTCCGCGAGGACCAGTCCAGCGCGGCCGGGCCGGGCCGAGCCGGGCCGGGCCGGGGAGGTGGGGGCGACCGCCTCCTCCGGCCCCTCCTCCCGCCCCGCTGCCCCTTTCCCGGCTCCCGCTCACCGTCGTTCTCGTCGCTGTGCCGCCTGCGCGACATGGTCGGGCTCCCGCTCCGCGGACGGCCTGAGGGCTCCGCCGGGGGTGTGCAGGGACGATGACGGGAAAGAGGCGCGCCGGCTGGGGCTGCGGCTGGAGCAGTTCCCGCGCCTCGGTCCTGCGAGAGCAGCCGCGACGGCGACCGGCACTTGCGGTCTGGCCGGGCCTCCGACTCCGCAGCCACCCACCGAGCGGCCCAGCCAGCAGCGCGCCCTCGCGGCCGTCTCCCGCCCTTCCTTCCGGTCCCTCAGCAGCTCCTTCCTGTGGTCCCCAACCGTGGGCAACAGCCAATCCCTATGGGGAGGATGCAAAGAGAAGCTCTTCCGGGTGAACGGAGATTGAGGGAGAATGTACAAAGTGGTAGCCTTCTCAGGGAACGAAGAAACGCTCTTCCTACGGATGATTGCGGGGATTCCACCCAGAAGGCAAAACGAGGACTTAGGAAAACCTGCTTTGCAATCTTTCTCCAGCTTATAAGAAAATACAATCACCCTGTGATCTCCCCTTGTTTTACAGAAGAAAAATTGGGATGAAAAGAATTATAGAGGATTGGAATGGGGATTCCCACACTTTATTAATTGAATTTTGTGGAAGGCGAAGGTGATGACTATAATGACTACAAGATGACGATGATAGTCAATATAATTAACTATCTCTTTTGTTTATATTATGACAGAATATATTATACTGATACTATTATAATATTGTAACTTGCACAAAAATACATAACATGTTGCGTTCCTGATCTGGAAAGAAATGGACTATGTTGTGATAGAAACAATCTGTGAACAGTGCTGTGAACGTGCTGATTCTGACAAAGTGAAGCACTTTTAAGGTTCAGTCCCATGCAAGAAAAAAGATTGGTGTATGCTGGGGGTTGTGGACCTTTGTTCCATTTAAACCTACATAGAACTGCACCCTTAAACCACCCACCCATTTAATGCAGTGCGACTTATTTCTGAGAAAATATGCTTAGGATCAAGCTGTATGTCCCAGTGCTATCAGGGAGAGAAGTGCATGTAATCATAAAATATGCAAAAGTGAACCCAATGAATTCTATTGAATTTACTGCCTTACAGGGGTACTACTCTCCTGAAATCAGGATAACAAAGTCCCATTGAACTTAACTGTGCAATCCTGTGCATGATGATTCAGAACTAAGTGTTGCTTTTATATTAGTGTTGCTCATATCTCAGTAATATTTCTGCTTAAACAAGCCATCTTTTCAATTTTAATTTCACTTGCACTAGCACAAAATTAGACTGGATGGGTTGCTGCAAATTATTATTGAGTATCCCAGAGATTAATGAAGTTCAATGCTGCCTTAGGGCCGTCTTAACAGCATTATGGGTCCTGGGTAAAGCAGTGTACTGGAACCCCTATGACAACTACAACTACTGTTAATTTTTGAAGTTTTCCAATTTTCCAAGGGTTAACATACACAGATTAGTATGGGGCCCACGGGCAAGTGCCCATCAGGCCCATGCGTTAAGATGGCCCTGGTCAAAAGTAATGTGCGGGCTGGAGAGATGAGTAGGATCATAGAATTAAAGGTGGGGTTTTGTGTTCAGTTCCAGAATACAGTTATTTTATGGTGCTTCCAAATTAGGTTTCTGCTATATAATCCCCTTGACTTATCCACAGAATTTTACAGGCAAGGTGAGGAAAGTTAGTGAATGTCATCTTTTATTTACAACCTTTCCATGTTTTCTGATCACTTCTATCTTTTTCTTCCTGCACATGAGGCAAGGACCAAATGGCTATACTGTTACCTTTTGCCTAGTAGTGCTAAGATTCATCTGCCCAGAAACAACTGCACACAAAACTCTGCCATAGCTTGAAAAAAGGCATTTCACACCTTTGCAAAAATCACCTTTAAGAGATTATGGTTAATGTACATATTGTCTTTTGATTAGTGAAGTTCCCACAGTCAGCTTAAACGTGTCCTATGGTACAATTCTGTGAAAGTTTACACAGAAAAAAAAGTCCTGCAGATACCAGCATGAATGCCTCCCTCAGTAATGCTGAGAGTTGTAGTCATTTTTCTGTCTAAACATACATCTTAACATCTTTGATGTACATGCCTTCTTTAAAATACCTGAATTGGGTAATTTCTTGAAACATTGTTCATTTTCCCCTATCACTCCCACTATCATTCAAATTGGCATTTCATAGAAAGTAGACCACCTGAGGTGTATTCTGAGTCAGAACACACTATAATGCAGTGAAAACAGACTTTTAACTCATTATCTCCAGACTATCTTGGGCATAGACTAAGACTGAAGTTGTGTGTGTGTGTGTGTGTGTGTGTTCTGCGTATAAGTTACCTTGTACTTAGAAGTCTTAGATCTGACTTTTACATCCGACATCTTACGTACATAGACATTACAGCAAAAAATGTTACTCTGCCGTAACATTCATTTGTCCCATTCTAAATAATTGTTTCCTTCCCTATGTGCCTTCCTGCCCCTTAAGATTTGGTGCAGAGGTCCTTTGGGAGCCCTCCTTGAAGGAGATTAGGAGGGTGGTTACCTAGAGAAGTGCCTTCTCAGTGGTGGCACTCTGGCTATGGAATGTGCTCCCCAGAGAGGTTCACCTGGTGCCCACTCTGTATTCCTTTTGGCACCAGGCTAACATCTTTTTATTCACCCATTATTTTAAGGTCGATTAGGTTTTCATGTGGGTTTTATTTATTGGGTTTATTGGATGCTATGTTTTAGTCAGGTTTTTATTGTAAGACCACCCTGAGACTGTTGTAGTCAGTATAGAAAAGCTTTAAATAAATAAATAATGTGCTGGTTAAACTAAGTTACTCCTAATGTTTGTGTGTTTGGGAGCTGGACTATTCTTACACACCTATGTTAGAAGTGCAAGATGATTTGTGGGTTTTGAAAGATACTGAACAAAATCGGTTTCACATAGTTGCCATCTATTTAAACCTTTTCAGGTTAGTACATTGTTACCCTTGAGGCCTAGTTGCCAAGCAACTAGGGATGGGCTTGGAAGTCTCTTGTTCTCCATCTGATGTCCTGGACTGCTTAGCACAGCAAATAACAGGCATATAACTAATGCTTTACAATAGGCCGTGCCTTTATTTATGTTATTACTTCTTATTCTTAGGTAATGACAAATCTGAATAAACCACAGACTGAAAAAAGCCTTATGTAGTCTGACTGAGACCTAGATATAGATAGGAGTAATCCTGGTTCTCACTAGATCTCACTTCCAATAAGCCTCTGCCAAGAGCTGCCCTTGCTATAGACTCTGCATTGCTGTCATGATGTGAGGAAGAATTGCCCATTTGTAAAGAACTCTGGGGGCTGCATCTCTGTATGAGTCCTTGCTCCTGACTTGCCTCCTTCCAATCGGGAAACACTCCTTATCTTCATGTTGCCACAATAAAGGTAGTTCACCATATGGATTGTTTTTCCTTGTTTTTTCCTTGTGTCTCATGCAAATACTCCAGAAGCAGGCTCCTCTGAGGGCAGCAGACAGAAGTTTGGAAAGCACTCCCCGAAGTGTCAAACGGGCCCCCAGTTTTAAGGGGCTCCCCGTATGTGCCGGTCCCATTGTGAGAGCTGCCGGCCCACCAGCATTCGCCGGCGGGGCGCCGCCACCGCCCGGCCTCCATCCCCGCAGCACTTCGCTCGCGCGAGCAGTGACCCCTCTGCAGGGCTGTGAATTGCCAGCAGTCCCTCACGCGGAGCGTTTCCAGGGAGGAGCCCGGGCGGAGGAGGTTACGGGAGAGTGAGACATGCTTTCCCCCGGCAGAGAGAGTCAGCACATTCAGCTGGCCGCCGAGGAGGAGGGGAGGGAGCCCGCGCGGGGGACGGCCGGCCCAGGGAGCGCCCGGCGCCGCAGCGCGCTCGTGCGGGTAAAGGGGCGATCGAGGCGCGGGCCGGCGGCGGGGGGACGGGAGGGCTCGCGCCGCGGTGTCCGCGCGGCCCCAGAGTGGCGCTGGGCTGGCGCGAGTCCTCACGCGGGACAAAGACGGCGGCTTGCAGCGGGAAGAGGGGCCAGAGCCCCCGCCCGCCCCCTGCCAAGGAAGTGGGTTCGCCGGGCACGGGTTTGGCTCTGGCCGTGGCTTGGAATGCGCCCGTTTGCTTCCTCGCTTGCGCACCGGCAGGAAAGCGCCAAGTCCTGCTCTTGGACGCAGTATTGCTTTGGGAGCAAACTTGGCAGCCGAGGCGTCTGTGTGTCCACTGGCGGAGCGGAGAGGTCCTTTGCAGTCCTTCCCTCCGCCACGCTGGTCAGTGATGGTCGTCTGGCATAGCTAGTAATTGTAAGCTACCGATATAGAGAGTAGTGATAAGTACTGATAAGTGCCGATAAGACACAGTACCTGAGCAGTAGCCTTTCAACAGCGCTGTAAAGGAGGCCAGTACCTCTCTCTCTCTCTCTCTCTCTCTCTCTCTCTCTCTCTCTCTCTCTCGCGCACGCACGCACGCACGCACGCACGCAAGTATGCTCTAAGGCTTATTGACTTATTGAGAGGTCATGTTGCTGAAGCAAGATCATTTTGGTTCTCAGGTCACACATGCGTTATACTGGGCCACTCAACTCACTGGCTGCATGTAACATCTCAAGGAGACAGTGACATGTTAAGACACAGAGGAGAGATTTTCAGGAGATCCAAAGGAGAAGACTCAGAGCAATTAAGAAAAGATGTGTTATTGCTGGTGGATTGAATTTCCACCTGATCTCGGGGTGTCCATGGTCAGAAATTACATAGAAATGGAAAGAGAGTCCAGTTCATTGCATAATATGCTAGATGAGATTCCTCAACAGACAGATTTGCCATATTTGGGATAACTGCATGTGGTCTTGATTAATGGCCTCAGAACTGTATAATACAGTATAATAATTGTGATATTGCAGAAATCCTTGCACCCTCCCTCCAAAAAACCCCAGATTTATAAAGGTTATTATTATTCCCTTTGCACAGAGAAGGTGCTCATTCTGATACTTACCTAGTTGAGTTCCTGGCTGTGATAAGATGGCCACTTAGTGCATTCCTAAATAGGGGACATAATATGTGCTTTTCTGCAAAATATTTGCATATGCTAATTTGTATGTAAAGTTGCCAATTTAGTAACAATAACTGAAATTTAAGCAGAAGTGCAATCCATCTCACCTTAGTGTGAAGACTGGCCATGTGATCTGTGTGCTTCCTCAGTCTGTTGCCCTGGCATGCAATGTTGGTGGGCAACTTCAAGGCCCGTCCCTGCTCTCCTGTCTTCAGTGACTTTAAATTGTACTTGGATTGGACCGCCTTTCAAACACAGGACACCTTGAAACAGAGGCCCGTCCTCTGTACAGTGGAGCACCTAGCACAGCTGATATTTTAAATGGTGACTTCTCAGCTTAGAGTACAAGTATTTCTGCAGTATAATACTACTGTAATTCTTGAGAGAGTGTCATAAAGTGACAGTCCTCAAGACCTTTTAGAGTGCCAGGTGCCTTCTGTATGTGAAGACAAGCTTTAATATAAAAACAGAGCTCGTAGCACATCCTTCAGCTGTGCAGAAAACCCAGTTTCCTCACAATGGTAGGTGTGCATGTCAGGAGATTGAACATCAGCTCAGTCATGTCCGTTTCTGCATCTTCAGGTGGCATGGTTCCACCTTTCTACTCTTTTAATTCTTTTAAAGCACCATGTGCTATGTCCAGCCTCAGCCTGGAAAGGAACCAGTACAGTTTTGGGCTGATGGTAATCAAATTGCTTCCAGAATTAATCTCACTATTTGCAAATCTCACATTTCTCAGAGCACTTTTCACTTCTACAAATGTTGTTTTCTTTTTGCATCTTTATAAATCCATGTTTTGGAACCATCTTTCTTAGGTCACAGGAAAAAACTTATGCCCAGCTGCTGTGACATAGTGATGACTTCTTTGTCTTTGCCTGATGGAGACGATGAAGCTGAACTTTGCATTTGGACATTTGCAGACCTGGAGGTGAAAGACCCTTTTCCATACAAGAGTGACTTCAAAGCTGAGTTAGATGCCAGGGCTCGAAAGAAGTACGCATCTGCAAAGAAGAAGGTATTTGAGTTGGTATTATTAACATGGTTATATGTGATCATCTACTAAAAGTGTTATACAGGGGGAGATTCTTAAGCCTGCTCAAGCTGTGACTGAATATGGCATATAAAAAGAACAAGACTTGATGCTGATCAAATATATTCTGATCCTATAGAATACATTTGAATAGACTGTTTCAAACAAATTCCAATATCTGGAGTTACTGCCTTAGGCCAGCAGTGGATACTGAGCCACCAAAGGTGCCAGCAAAGAGCTGGCTCCTCTTCTCCACGACAGAGCTACAGGAGAGGAAGAGCTTGCAGGAGAGACGAGTGCTCCATCCATGCCTGCTTTTCCACCATAGCCCTTGATTCCAGCCAATACTCACCCCAGCCACAGTTCTGAACATCTGTTTGCTGTGGCAGCTGGGGAAAACAGCTGCAGGGAGGAGAGTGGGGGAAGCCATGGGAAGGGAACTACCATGGATTAACTTTCTAGGTTGTATCCGAAAGTGACAGGATGTTGAAGTAGAATTTCACATGAAAGGGCTAAAAAATGGAGAGTTAGCACTGGAGGCCTGTATCTACAGATTCCATGGTTTGTTTCAGATCAGTCATGTGAATGGCATCCTTTTCAACTATGCAACTTGCAATTCTGGGTATATCTCCTATCAGATTGTTCTGTCTCCCAGTTTTCTTCTTCTCATAGACCTCTTCCTCTGGCCTTTATCCCTCGCTTAATTCCTGCAGGCTGTGCCCTCTCCACCATCCCTTCTGTCACTGCCTCCACCCTGTCATCCTCGGCTGCTTCTGACCGCTTGCTGCCTTTTCAAACTCCTGCTTCATCCTTTCCTCTTCTCGCTTGTCTGACTCAGTAGACAGTGCCCACTGCAGCCAGCTTGTAGGAAAGAAACAATCGCATCACTGGTAGGACAGAACAGTTTCCCAGAAGGCAACGGTAATGTGTAGTGACCATTCATGTCCACCATGGTTGCTATTTGGTGGAAGAGCAAGCCCCCAGCCATTTTGTGGGAATAGCCTGCGACACTTTCTCAAAGTTCCAGATGTGCCTACCAACCCCAAAACTCAAGGACTCCCTCTACCTGCTACACACCTTGTCGCTGTCTCTCTTTGAATGCTAACCCAACATTCTCTTTATGTGTATGTTTGTGCTCAACACCTGAGGCCTCCTTTGACTGCCGCCTCTGAAGGAGGTTGAGACGCTAGGGACGAGGGAACAGAACGTCTCAGTAGTGGCCCTCTGATGAAGGGGTGTTCTCTCCAGTTAGGTCCACGTGGCATCATCATTGTCATCTTAAGGCTTACCTCTGTTCTCAGACATCTGATGGCATATAACGGGGCTTTTTAATGCTTTTGCTTTATCAGGTCCTGGTATTTTATGGTCCTCTGCTTTTCATGGAATAGTAGATTTGGAAGGGGCCATGAAGACCATCGGGTCCATCCCCCTGCTGTTGCAGGACACTAATTTACACCATCCCTGCTGCAGGACACCATTACACAATTTTAGTTGTTTTAAGCCTGTTCACATTTTATATCATGTTTTATCATGCTGGTTTGTGGGGGGGGGGTTAATTTTTGTGGAACCTGCCAGAGAATTTTGGTATTATGGTGAGATAGAAACATGATAAACAAATGAGAACCTAGTCCTACCCTATGGGCAAAGAACCCACTGTGCCTGCTCTTCAACTCTTAGCATCTGCCTTTGCCTTGAGGTCTTGCCACCCAAGCTTGTTTCTTGCCACTGCAGGCATTTGCCCTCTTTGTCAAAGCCAAGGAAGTGGTCGGTGACATTTGCTGTCCAATGGCTGCCTGTCAAGCATCTGTTTCCTGGAGATGCTGCCAACAGACTTTCAGCGACCTGAGTGGCATCCACAGGCACGTCTCTGCCCAGCATTCAGGGGACGTGGGGCAGCAAACAGTGGCACTCTTAAAGCAGCTGGCGGGCAACAACGTTTCCACGGATGAGGTGCCTCAGCCAAACAGGCCTCTGCATCAAACCCAGATGTTTTACAAGCTCCCAGATACGAGCCACCTTGGTGCAGATGAAATCAAAAGGTATGGGATTACTTTTTAAATCTCTTCCAGAGGGGTAGTCTTGTTAGTCTATTGCAACGAAAGCCACACAAACTCCTTTGGCAACTTAAGGACTAGCACGTTGATTCTGGCTTCAGCCTTTGTGAACTAGACCATGGGATGCCATGCATCTGATGAGGTGATCCCTGGTCTACAAAAGCTGATGCCAGAATCAACGTGGCAGCTTTTAAGGTGCCGCAAGACTCTTTATTAGCTTGTTTTTAACAATGGACCAACATCCAGAGGGTAGTACCACCTAAAACCTGAGGAACTGCTCAGATCTTGTCAGGCCAATTATGAAAATATGGCTTTTCTTACATGAGCTTCTTTCCTGTGTTTTTGGCAGCAGTGAGCTTGGGCAAGTTCTGCTTTACTATTGCTACTGCGAGGTGGCAGATCCCGGGGGACTCTGTGAGTGGCAGAAGGCTTTATGTCAACACCTGCACCTGACTGGCAAGGTAAATGGCTTGGCTGGAGTTATATCCACCAGCAGACCTGGTGTGTGTTCTGTATCTGTTCATATAGTATGTGGAACATTGTGGAGAAGTAATGGAGAATTAATTTATTAAGGGGGTGATTCTGTGGCCCCTATACATGGTCCAGAGTCCATAGGATACTTCAACTCTCAGCTCCAAGGTCAGAGACTGTTGTCCTACTTCAGAGCTGGGAATCCACTTCCCTGCTCTGGTTCCCATCCATTGCAGTAACGGGGAAAGAACTGCACGGTGACTCTCTGGGGTTGGGAATTAGACCTGAGCGAAGTGGAAGAGGGTGATCAGATGGGTAGGGAAGAAAAGAAACAGTCTGATGTAACCAATGCCCTCTGCAGCCTTCTTCCCCAACTCTGAAGTTCCCTGCTAGATGGCCAAAAATGCAGTGTTGTGAGCTGATCCCTTCTCTCTTTCCCTCTGGTTTTAAACTCAAGACAATCCTTTGAAGTGTAGTTCTTTTATTGCAACTCAACAGATTATGGAACAGGATGAACCCTAAATTGAGGAAGAAGCTGAGGGAGAACTCTCTGCCCATGTAAAGAGTTCAGATCCCAACTGGAAACTTCCACTTTGTCCTTGCCTTTCAGTAAAGCTTCTGGCTCTGCCCTCAGGGTGGCTCTCACTGTTGGAGAGCCAGGCAGTTCAGCCCCTCCAATTAAGCAGCTTGTTTCTCCTGATGCCTCCTCACTGGGTCAAGGACTGGGTCTCATACCCACTCCCCTCCTGAAAACCCTTCTGCCCCTCCCAAAACAGCTTGATTCTCACATGCTGCCTGTGAAAGTTCACTAGGCGGCCCTGAACTTGGAAGTCCCCTCCCACCTTGCTGCTTCACTGACGCCACCTCAGAGTTCAACAGATCCCTTGGCACCATCTGTGGTGATTGAGCGACGGACTCCCTCACTACCCAGAACAGAAGCTCAGGATGGTGGAGACCATCAGCCTCCAAGGGCCCTAAATGTATTGAACACCACATCAAATACATTTCTCAAAAAGAGCTGCAAAAATGCCAGTGCAGCAGAAAACACAGTATCACATGGCAGAAACTTGGATCATTTCTTAACCAGAGGGTAAGAACGGAGGTGATCATAGTTAAATCAGACTTAATATTCCACAAATATTTCTGAGTATTTTAAATGGCTTAGGGCAGCCTTCCCCAACCTTGTGCCTTCCAGAGGAGATTTGCGTGTGGATCCCCAGCTCCAAGATCAGAGCATTGTTCCAGCCTTGGAGCTGAGAATCTGAACAAGCAGGGGGCATGCAGTTGCTCAGTTAAAATTACTGTTGTCAAGCCATGGAGAACAGGAACGTTTTAGCTATATGCCAGAACGAGAGCAGCGTTCTAGTAGTTCTCCTCACCAGAGATGATGTTGAAGCTTTACCAGTTTTCCCTGAGGTGTGTCCTGGGAAAAAATAAGCATCTCTTCCTCATTTGTCCTCCCTGAGTTTCTGAATACAACCTCCCATGGTTGCATTTCATTTAAAAAAATGGAGGGACACAGCACCCCACTTTTGCAGTGTGTACTTTATCTATAAGGGTGAAAAATAATGTGTATTTTCTTGAGACATGTCTCTTGGGTTTACTTCTGTGTAGACTCATGTAGGCCTGGACTACACCTCTTGTACTGAACTTTCTTGCTTGGCTTCCAGGTACGAATTGCTTCTGAAGGCATTAATGGAACTGTTGGAGGGAGCAGGGTAGCCACTGGCCTTTATATAGATGCAATGCTGTCTCATCCCCTCTTTAAAGGCACTTTGATGAAGGAGGATTTCAAGGTGAAACACCCCGAAATCAACATGGCTCTATTATGTATTCTTGATCCTACTCCGAGAATTTCTTTAAGCGTTGTCTCCCATTAACAGGGAATTTTCAGCAGCAGACCCTGCATGTAATTGGGGTGTACCACCATCACAGGCATGTATTGGATAGCGCCTGGGATGTGAGCACCCTCAAGAAACACAACATCCCCTTTCCCATGCCTGAAGAGGTTAGGCCCACCTCTGATCCCCCCCCCCCCCCCCCCGCCACCGTCTGAAGGGAGGTGGTTGCTCCTTTTTGTGGTTCCCCATACATAGAATATGCTCTACAAGGACCCTCCACGTTTGGTGTTTCTTCAGCACCAGATGTGAACTTTTTTGTTATTAGCCCAGGCTTCCCAGTATCTTTCGATAACTGGTTTTAATGGGTTCTGTTGGACTTTATTCCTACTGAGCTTCTGGTGTTTTCTGTGGGCTTCACATGCTGAATTTGTTTGGACATTGCATTTGCTATTTTGTTGTTTTCATGATGGGAGGCAGCCAGGCAATGTTTATTTCTGGCTGAAGGGCAACCCATAAAGATCCAAAGTAAAGAAATGCCTTTTGCCTCTGTGTTACTAGAAGTGAAACAGGTTTCACAGGCTTTTGAGAAAGCCAAAAGTTGCCAAACATCATCCAGAGTGGTTTCTTCAGGACCTGATTGCGGTGCAAAAGGCATTTCTGAATGTGTTCCAGGCTCCACCTTTCAGATCCCCTTCAACCTCAAGGGAGGGAGCCCCTTTCCTCAGTAGAAGCTGTTACCTGTCTCCTGCCTCAAGGTCTTTTGGTAGCCTTTTCTTGTTTTGTTTTCTCCCCATTTCTCAGACCAGTGCAGGAGGGGCTCACTGTTTCCCAGACCTTCGAATTGGCGTCTTTGAAGAAATAGTACCCATGGGAATTAACCCAGAGAAAGTCTCTTACAAAGAAACTGGTATGGAGAACCACAGGGCTTGGCTTCGGATCGGGGGCGTAGACACTTTTCTCTCTCCAAGGCCCAAATCCCTTGGGGTAATCTGTCATGGGCTGCATTCAGACACTGGGCAGGACCAAAGCCAAAAGTAGGCAGCTTTCCTTCTCCTTCTGTTCTGCCGTCCCCTTTTCTCTTCCGTCTCTTGGTCCTTCTCCTCTGCCCACAGGGGGTTTTCAGTGGGGGGCAGATTATTATTTTGTCCAAGGTCTGAACTGATCGCCTGCAGAAGGCTTTTTAAACTAGGCCAAGGACACGTGCTTGAAAAAATGGTCACCGACTGCGAACGGGCTGGACAAGTGTCAAGACCAAGTGTTGTTCCCTCCCAGTTCTCCCCTCGTTGTGCACCAGCTTCAGTATTCAGATTGCCATTTGTCTGAAGGTTAGTCCTGCGGTACAGAACCCTGGTTTAATGTTACTTAATCAACCAGGAGAATACAGCAAGATGTGACCCTGGTTTATTTCCCTGGTTTGTTAACCAACTTTCGGTGTGAATTCCTCCATTTGGGTATGATGGGGAGCTTTGTCTTAATCCGAGCCATGACCTTTGTGCTGAAGCTGGTGGGGGAGAGGAGGGGTCGGGTGCGGGGGAGCTTAGCCTCAGCACTCCAGTCACAGCTATGTAAACTACTGTGTATGAGGCCTTGAATGGTAATCCAAACTGGGCCAACATGATGGCTGAGCTCCAGAAGGCAGGCTCATTGGAGCATTTTAGCTGGAACAAGAATCACACCAGAGGGAGCCTACTTTCAGAGGCCTCTTGTAGTGAGTGTAAACTTTGTTCAGACTAAGTTACACATTAAGAGAAGAGACTATAACTACTGCAACAAAGCTACATGAAAGGGGCACCCACATCCCCTTTCAGTGTATGTCTTATGGTGCATATTTGCATGGAAAGCAGCTAAAATTATGAATCTGAGAGTAGAAGTGATTTGCCGATGACAGTGATGATCAGTCATCTGTGAACATGCCATGCCCTAGCTGTTTTCAACTGGGAAGGCTGCATTGAAGATCCTCAAGGCATGTGATTGATGTGTGTATTTAATGCTTGGGATTGGAAACATTGGTGGGGGACCAAGTGGAAAGTCCCTCGGGTTGGAACAATTCTCCAGAATCCTGCACTTGTCCTTGGAATGCGCCAGCTTTCAGAGCTACTTCCCACAACTGCTACTGCTTATACCATGATGATACATTCAGACAACCCAGGAATTCTCTATGTGGCTCTCTCAGTCCTTTGTTTGGTTAAGTTGGTGCCTGAACCAGGAACTCTGGTTCTCTCTTTCCCCAACAAGCCAGAGTTGTGGTGCAGGGTTTGTTCTTAGCTTATGACTCTCACTTTTGCAGGGAGAGAGAGAGAGAACACACTTAGTAAGCCAGGGATGGAGACCAATCCCTGGCTTGCTTAACCAGCCCTGCTGGAAGGAAGTGTCAAGCATGAGCAATCAAGCCATATGTATGTATTTTACTCCAGTACACTGGCTTATTCATATTAACACAAGATAGTTTTAAAAAAAATCTGTGTTATGCTGCCCCCTTTATGGACCAGTGGAAAATTGCAGCCAATTCTGGCTTATGTGCCCACATTTACGAACAGGGTGCTGGTGGCATGCATGCATTGCTTTTTTACATAGATAAGTGAAACTTGTTGATCTGTATACAGAAATGTGTAAATGTTGCAGCGGTTTCCTATTTTGACACAGCTCCCCACAGATCTGTGAGGAAAGCAGAACTCAAATTGTTTCTAGACTTTTGGGGACCTGTAAGCATTTTTTAATTCTTTGTAGGAATCCATTTGACTCCAAGGGAGTTTCATATAGAAGTGGAGAAATACCTGTCTCGAGGTAGCCAAGCACAGGTTGACACCATTTTGCTGGACTGCCGGAACTTCTATGAAAGCAAAATTGTAAGTGGACTTTGATTTGGCTTTTTAAAAAGTTTTCTTTGGGGTATGAACATCTGAAGAAACTAGATTTCCTCTGGATGTGTGGCCGGACACATGTAAACAGGACAACGATTATGATGTTTTCTTGTTTTAACTGTATATTGCATTAGGATTTTTAATTACATGTTGCACACCATCCTGGCATCATAGTAGCATATTTTTAGGAAATGCACAACATTTTGGCTTATTTGTAGGAAATGCACATATGCCACAAACCTTGGGAAGAGAAGTAGCTGCCCCAAGCTCATGCTTGAACTGGTTTTGTGCACATCATGTTTGTATAAGCTAGTTTGTTCACATATGTGTGTGGTCTGGGTTTTGTTCAGCTGCTGTCCTTTTCAAGATGCTGCAGAAATTAGGGCAGCCACTTTTATCATCATCCGTAGAAATGCTAACGCCACCTGAGCCTTGGCGGGTTGTGAGTCCAGCAGTGGCCCTTCTTGCTCCCAAGAAGATAAGCCCACACATGGCTGTACAAAAGCTGCTTTAGGAGCTTTTCTACATGAGGCTCTTAATCAGCACTTAAATCTTTCGGAACCTACTTCTGGTTCCTCACAATATGGATAGCTGCGCACTGCAAGAGCATTTTCTGTCCTGCTTTCTTACCACATACCCGCTAGGTGACACTGTGGCATAGAGGAACAGTACGAATACACAAGAGGAAGTTGGCATATGTCATTTTCACGAATAAATGCTGTGTTTTCTCTGCTTTCCAAAGCTCACAGAAAGTGCTGGTATGTCACAGTGCTAGTTAGAGGTCATGATGTCATCTAAAGTACCTGTAAACAACTGTGAGTAGGGAATGATGAGCATATGATAAAAGTCTCACAGAGAATAAACATCTCAGTGTCCTCAACTCAGGGGTTTTTCTCTATCCATCCAAGAAAGTGAAAGGAGAGCCAATGTGGTGTCATGGCTGGAGTATCGGACTGGGGACCTGCTAGTCCCCACTTAGCCATGAAGCTCACGGGGTGACTTCGCACCAGTCACTCACTCCCACTCCCAGCCTAGCCTACCTCACAGGGTTGTTGCTGGGAGGGTGAAATGAAGTGTGTAGGCTGCCTCAGGTTTCTCACAAGAGGAAAAATGTTGGCTATAAATGCAATAGATGTTCTGGATTTTAAAAATTCCATGCCAGGTAGAAGACGGAGCAAGCTGCCCTTCAAAACAATCATTCTTAAGGCAGACGGTGTAAACAGTGTATAAAAATCAACCAGTTCCACTGCAGTGATAGAAACATAGAAACATAGCGAGCCAGAAGGGGTCTCCCAGGCCATCTAGTCTGACCTCTGGCACCAGCCGGCTCCGCTCATGACATGCCCACCATATGCACGTCTAGCCTGATAGGTAACCTTAATCCTGTGTTGACTAGGGATGAAGGCGATTGTAGTTCACTACATCTGGGGGGTGATCAAGTTGGGGAAAGAGAAGAGATTCAGTGGCTCTGTGCTGCAAAACATGGGCTGGAAGAGGTTGAGCTGGAAAAAGTGCAGGGAAGGGCAACCACAATGATGAAAGGGTTGGCACAACTCCCCTCTGAGGAACATGGGATGGTTAGCTTAGAAAAAAGGCAAGTAGGAAGACACATGATAGAGGTGTGTAACTTTATGCACAGTGTGGAGAAAATGGAGAGGGAGACATTTTCCTTCTTTTTGCATAACGCCAAAACCTGGGGTCATCCCATAAAACTGGCTAGTGGGAGATTCAGAACACATCAAAGGAAGTCCTTCTTCACACAGTGCATAGTTAAACTATGGAGTTCACTGTCATGGGAAGTGGTGATGGACACCAATTTGGATGGCGTTAGAGGGACTGGGCAAATTCCTGGAGCAGAAGAATAACCCCGGCTCCCAGCCGTGCTGGCTGTGTGCAGCCTCCATATCTGGGGACCACATGCCTGCGTGCTGAGGAGCTGGACAGGCAGAGGTCTTGCATCCATCCTGCTTGAGAGCAGCCGGTTCACCACTGTGTTTACAGAGTGCTGGCTGGATGGACCTTGGGTCTGATCCAGTTCTTATGTTCTTAAAGGCACGGGTTAAATAATGCTTCTTTCCTTTGGTCTCAGGGACATTTCCAAGGCAGTTTGGCTCCAGATATCAGGAAATTCAGCTACTTCCCTGCGTACGTAGATGAGAACTTGGAACTTTTCAGGGGCAAGCGGGTGCTGATGTACTGCACAGGAGGAATCCGATGTGAACGGGGTTCTGCCTACCTGAAGTCCAAGGTGAGCCTTCTCAGTGAAAGGCCTCAGCTGAGGGTGCCTGTGCTGCGGAGTGCAACTCCAGGGTATCTTCCCCCCGCCCCCCCTGCAATGCAGCCATAGCTCTACATGGTTTGATAAACAGATTTAGAAATTAAAGAAGGAACTGTTAAAGCAGGAGAATGACAAGGGATACAGAGCCACAAATTAGCTTGTCTTCCTCTTTCATAATACTTCACATAATCCTGTGAAGCTGAGCAGAGGGAGATTCAGGACACACCAATGGAAGCACCTCTTCACACAGTGCATAGTTAAACCGTGGAATTCACTTCCATGAGATGTAGTGATGACCACTACTTGGATAACTTTAAAAGAAGATTGGACAGATTTATGGAGGAGAAGGCTATCCAAAGCTACTAGTCCTGATGGCCATAGGTTGCCTCCAGTCCTTTTTATGGATTTCCCATAAGCTCTTTGTAAGTTTGCATCAAGTGCTTGAAATTGTTATTGTTGAGAAGTAATGGAAAGGACAGTATTTCAAACACTGCAAGTAGAGTCCAACTTAACCATACCAACACGCTTCATCCTGAACCCAGGTTGTACATCAAGAGTAGATGAATTCTTATATCACTGCCTTTTTTGGTCTTATTTCAACACCACACTAACAGCTAATGCATAAAGCAACCAACCAAAAAAAAAAAAAAAGATGTGAAGTAATATTGTTAAGCATTAATATGCAATAGTCACTAATACCACTCTTGATTTAGGGAAGAAAAGAGAAAAAAGCAAAAAGAGGAAAAGAAGAATTGAAATATATGCATTAGTATGAAGCATTTCAAATATATCCAGTACTATAGCTCTTAGTACATTTGAACATGTTCCCTACAACTGTTCAAGTAATATGATGGATGGATGGATGGATGGTCAGCTGCCAATCTTAGAGCACTGTAAGATGAGCAGATGGAGCAGGTTGCTTACAAGGCCTAATCTATTCCTCACATGATAGTCCAGCCAAGGCACAAGGGGCCATATGGGGCACTAAATCTATTCCCAATGAGGCAGAGGAAACTGCTCACCGCCCTGCCATGTCTCTCCTTCCTGGGTTGACATTTGAAGTAACTAAAGTCAGTCTTGGTGTGGTTCAAAAGTCACTCTCTGTGGCACATGCTGCCTGTACACAATATGTAAAATGTAGATAATGTAAATTATCTACATAAATGTAGATAAATGTAAACATAAATGTAAATACATAAAAACTATATTTTAGCCTGTATTTTCTATATTTTCCCCAATATTCTCCTTCAAGAAAGGTTTCTGGGGGCATCACATTAATCTCTTGCAGGTAAAATGAAGAGTCATGTGGATTCTGAAAAACTGGCATCATGTGTAGGAAGTGGCTGTTTAAGTGGAAATGATAGATGGAAGTAATGTGGAGAGAATTTATTTTTTTTTTAACCAAGTCTTGCTAAATGCCAGTAATAGTGATAGGTGTATCCCCATGTTACGGCAAGCAGAAGTGAATGCAAATGGTCGCAAGGTGTTTGACTCCCAGCAAGGTTAGCATACCGAGAGGACACTGCATGCATGATCACAGAGGAGGATATAAACAGATAGACTGTGCTGGCACAGAACCCTGCCACATGTTGCATTGTTACTCCCGGTTGTGTGGCTCGCTGTGCCCTGCAGACCCAGGGAGGATGGCTTGTGGCCATACTTCACAAGCCACCCCGAGCCCTGCAACAGCTCATGGATCCCCACAGCTTGTGTGGCAGAGGAGTGAAGCCACTGCGAGAGTTCGCATGACACGACCACGCACCCTCTAGGGCAGGTTGCTTGAGACAACCCGCCAAGTGTCACCACCTGTACCTGTCCAAAGTAGGGGATTTGTTCCTTTTTTGCCAAATTATTTTTTTCCAAATGTTTATGCGGTTTTTTTGTATGGCTGAAGATGACTGCACTTATGCATGGGTGGCAGTGGGCACCCTGGGGTGGCTACTGCTGGCAAAGTGGTCCCACCCTGCCTCCTAAAGGAAGCAGGTAAGTAGATCTCTCCCACTTTCCATTTGAAGCATTTGGCAGCTGCCCAACTGAACTTAGGAATATTGCTTCTAGCAGAAAGGGGGACTACATGAATCCTCAGGAGAGTGAAGGAAGCCTTTGCCATTACCTCCAAGTGCTGATGGGGCACTTTCAGGGTGGCTGGCACTAGCGATGGCCCATTTACCACCTGGGAGGAGCAACAAGAGGGTTTTGCTGCTCTTGCCAAGTTGTTTGGTTATAGCTGTCCAGGTTGTCCAACAATCCACTATGGGTCAATCAGCCCCAGTTATAAGCCATGGATTGTTAGGCTTATAAACTACAATTGATTAGCATGTCATGTGAACCCAGCCACATATGCTTCTTTCTTGTCCTCTGTGATTGTGTGAATCCAGTCAGCTACTTTCCAGGAGTTACCTGGGGAGAATGAGGTCAGTAAACCATTGCGTTAAAGAACCCAGGTGGAAGCCCACCATCTTGTTTTGGGAAGATGTTTCAAAGAGACTGCCTTAGAACTGTTCACTCTACCTGACAGCTCATGGGTCAAATAAGCAACACCTGGCTTGTTGTGCATTAGTAGGAGAGAGCAAATGGGTTGCTTGCTGATACCTGCCACTTCTGATGTTACTTAGCAAGCGGCTCCTTCATATGCTGCTTTGCAAGTCATTGAAACCTGGAGTTCTGGGTGATTTAGAGGCTAAATGATCCAACAGTTAATCCAACAGCAAGCAATGGTTATCTGTTGTGCTGTTTAGCCCCAAAACAAAACAGTTGTCTGGATTCAGATAGGAATGTACTCATGCTTGATTGCCTGTGAGTTATTTAACCCATAAACTGCCATCACAAGAGAATCAGGTCAGTGTTTGGATCACTTGCTGCATTCAAGTATGTAAAACATTGGTCCACAGTTACTGTTGCCAAAGAATAAACCAAAGAAGGAAGAGGCCTCAGTTCAGCATTTCCCAAAAATTTCTTCAGCTCCTTCTTTGCAGCTCTCGGTTAGCCACTGAGGAGCTCTAGGAGATGGAGAGGCAGATTTACCTAGAGTCCTGATCTTTATTATAACACTTTTCCAGCACATTCATTCTGCAGATGTTTTCCTTGAGTGTTTCTTCAGGCTTGGGTGGGGATTGGGGTGCCTGGGTATGTATGTATGTGGGAACGGCCAAAGCACAGGCAAGCTTGATGAGGGAGATGTCATATTTTTGGAAGCAAGCCCAACATGTTCAGCCTAAGTGTAGCTTTTCCTGCCCTGGATCAACTTCTTTTAAAAGCCCAAGCAGCTGGTTCGTCATCTTTGCAAACAGCCAACCCCGGTTGGTACTGAACAGCTAATGCAGGGAAGAAGAATCCAAAGTCCTCCACCTGAATACAGCTATCATCATCTGTGGCCATTGGCCAATGCTGGCTGGAGGCTAGCAACATCCCAAGAGGGCCAGTGGTCCTCTGTCCCCGGGGTGTTGCCAGTGATGTCTCAAACACACCTTGTCCGCCGTCCATCCCAGAGCAGTCTTGCAATGTTTTAAAAGACATTTCCTAAAAGGGAAGGATGAGCATATAACTGAATAAATGTGCATGGAATGCTTTAAAAGCCACATTTTAAAAGCACAGGCAGATTCTTGTTTCAGGAGCAGAAGAAAAAAAATGATTCTAATGATGAATGGTTGGCCTGCCTCTCATGCATGCTGCAAAACCAGAAGGAATATCTCAGCTCCTACCCTGTCAAGCTTTTTCAAGAGGCACCGTGGGAGACCTGGAATAGCCCTGCTGCTATTTCCTTTGCTGCGTGTGGATTGGCAAACCTCCCACAAGGCGACGGTCTTCTAAGGCTGGGAGATTAATGTTGTCCTCCCAAGACAGTTCAGTGTGCTTAGCAACGGTGGTGTAGCACCTTCAAAGATACCAGGACCTGCCATTGTAATGGGAGAGATTTCTCTCCGCTGGTATCTGAGGCTCTCTCACCTCAGTCTCCATTTGAAAAGAAAGGAGTGTTGATTTTTAGTCTTGGTGTTTGGTGGAAGCGGCCAGGGAGTGCTTGAAAAAGGGCTCTTTTGTTCAAGGAATGTCCTGCAGGCTCCGTTTCCCTTATTGCAACCAGTTCTGTTCCTCCAACTCATCTCTAGCCTTATTTCCTTGATTTAGCCATAATTCTCCACCTGATGGCACCCTGCTTTTATTCATCTGTTCATTTCAACTTGTCAGACTCACCTTTCCTTAATCTCCCATGATGGTTCTTGACCAAAACAAAGCAAAAAAAAGAATCCAACTCAAACAAGTCCAACGCAAGTAGCAGCAGTTCAAGACCAGAAGCTAAACCCAGCAACTATCACGTGGCAAAGTCAGGCACTAAAAGCTGAAGGTTAAACGTGGACAATTGAAAGCCTGATGGAAAAAGAAGTAGTTTCAGATTTGGGGACCATGGGCTTCCCTACCTGAGGCATTTATTGTGTTCTGTGTTTCCTCAGCCATGGTACTTTGCAGGTGCTTGATGTGACATTGTCATCCTCTGGGGCCCCTCCTGTGTTTTCTGAGCATTTTCACAGATGTTTCCACAGCAGGGAAAATGCGGTATTACCTGAAAATGGTGGCATGAACCAGAATGAAAGTCTGTATTTTCCCAGTTCCACTATACCTCAGTGCAATCTTGTGGTTGTGTAAGGGAACATAGAAATACAGAAAAAGTGATAAAATCAGAAAAAATATGCAAAGGAACAGATTTTAATTCTGCAAAGAATCTGGAAGCAGAAGTCACAGTAGAATGTTGGGTTGAGTGTTGAGTTAAAAGGCTCCAGTAGAGAAGCCCCCAAACTATCATGCAATATTGCTAAGTATACACAAATGATGTTGCCGCTTTTGTTTATAATTTATGCTTCTTCATCACCAGGAAGCACCTGCTGACACAAACATGCAAGTGGGGTGCATGTCAGGTGGTCACTGGCAGTGGGTGACAGAATCCATGTTCCAGGCTCTTCCTCCAGGAGGTGGAGGAGAGATGCTAAGTGAATCCTGTAATTGTTTAAAATGTGAATTCAGAAGGCAAGGGCACCCCACCTTGCCCAACTCCTGCCAGGGCTGAACTAACAGTTTGTCCACAGATCCAAGACTAGGAAGCTGAACAGCTGCAAACTGGCAGGAAGAAGAGACACACTTTCCTCTGGAGAAGTGGCAGATGGGTATGGATGCTTCACCCACTCATTGCTTTATCCTGGCAAACTGCTCTTCCACTTACTTTTCCATGAGAGGAAACATGCAGAACCGTGGCTGAGAGAAAGCAACAGAAGGGGAAGGGCAATGCGCTCTCCTCTTCGGTCGCCTATCCCCTCTGTCCCAGAAATCATACTTGCCTCCTTGTGCTTTAGCTGAGATTCAACTTCCCAGGTCTGAATCTGCTGCCAAACTTCAGCCTTTGCTCATAATTGTTTAGCCGCCATCTTAAAACAATCCTAAACATTCTAACAACAAGGGAGCCAAATAATCATTCCTGTATTCCTGAACCTCTTTAACATATCTATCCTCTGTAGCAAGTCATCAAAGGGGCAATCCTATTTACTTACTGCCTTTATATACCGTTCAACAGCCATACATGGCTCCCAGAACAATGTACAAAAAAGCAGGTTTAGACCAAAAGAAAGGGGAGGGGGGCTGCCACTGGCATGCCGGAAGTTGTAGGGTTGCACCCCAAGTCATCCAAATCTAAGCGTATGCCATCCAGAACAAGAACATTCATAGGCCCTTATTGCTTGTGCAATTCTGCAAATGAGGGAAAGGTCTTCACCCGCACATCTCTAATCTAAACAGGTGGCATGACTCACTCAGCATGAGCATGCCTGTCGAATATGTCAATAACTGTTGATTACACCCCCCCACCCCACCCCACACACCCATTCATCTGTAATAGCGACTTATTTTATATTGTTATTTCTTGTATTTTAATTTTATGTTGTGAGCCGCCCCGAGGCTTCGGCGAATGGGGCGGCATAGAAATGTTTTAATAAATAAATAAATAAATAATACTGAGCAGAAATTAGCCCTGTTCTGCTCTCACAAGCTACTGTTACCCCTCTTCTCTGTCAGCTGATGATGGGACATGGCAGTCCAGGTTTGTGATGCCAGTGAAGTTCAGGTTAGAGGGAGGGAGATCTTGGACACTCTGTTGCCATTTTGCACGGAAGTGATGCATTCAGTGCAATGGGTAGTTTGGCTGCCAGGCATTATATCATTTGTTATATAAATTGAAGAGTTTTCTTCACCTCCATAAAAATAAGCTATGTCAAGCTTCTGCACCCTGGTGATCTACAGCTGTGTTGGGCTGCAGCTCCGTAAGTCTCAGCCGGCATGTGCAACATACTTGGAAGATGCTGGGTTGGGGAAAGCTGGTCTAGGCAATGATAACCAACCTGGTTGTGGACTGTAGAAGCCTTGGCCCTCCTCTGAGCGATGTCTAAATCTGTGGGTTGTTTGGGGTTGTTTTATAACAGGGCATATGCAAAGGAGTGTACCATCTCAAGGGTGGCATCCACAAGTACCTAGAAGAATTCCCAGATGGGTTCTACCGAGGGAAGCTCTTTGTCTTTGATGAACGTTACGCCATCTCCTCCAACAGCGATGTGATTGCAGGTAGGTGATTCTCCCACCTTGAAGGGCGATTCTCCCACCCCGAAGGTTGCTGGTTTGTATAGTGTGGGGACCACCAGCACTTTCTCCCAATATAACACTTTCAGGCACAACCTGAAAATACACTCAATCCTGCACACTCAGTAAGAGTTGAACCGTTTTGTCCCTATTAATTTTTTAATGCAGCGGTGAGCAACTTGTGCTGCTACAGATAATTTGACCTACAGTTCCCATCTGCACTGGACAGGCCAGGCTAGGCCAGCCCGTGGTGAGGGATGATGGGACTCATAAACCAAAGTATGTATGGAGGACCACAGTTGCCCAGCTTTGCTTTAAAGGATACATCATTCAAGACATTGCTGAGTTATCTCTTGCCAGTCCCGGGCTATCAGCAAAGCAGACAAACAGTTGGAGGCATCCTGCAGTGGACCTTCTGCTGCAGACTGACTACAAGACCTCACTTTTTTATTGTCAGCAAAGAATTGGACTCAGGAGACAGCCACTCACTCAGTATTGTCCCCCGATTCCGGGATGGCCATGTTAATTCCCAGTGTGTTGCCACTGCAACTATCAGCCAATTAAAGCCATTTTTGCTAATTAAGCATTGCTGTCTAAGAATTAAGTTAAATCAAATTTGAATATAGTTGAAAGTCATCCAGATCCAAAGGTGCCTTTCTGAGATAGTGAACCAAGTATAAGATCAACTTACGTTTAGCAAACCGACGAGCACCCTGTGCCCTCGTTCACACATAAGGAGACGCTACTGTGGGTGAATTTGCACTGCAGGGTTTCTCACTGCACTGGCAGATACCGTCCTGAACATTTGAGCTGCAGTGGAGAGGTTCTTCATAGTCTCTGTGCGTCATGCATAGGGGTGTTCTGGCAGGAACCCCACCCCGACCCCATGTTGAGTATATGGTGGGGGAATTCCTGCCCATTCCCTCGCTGCTTCTTCAGCTGCCTTCTTTAATGCCTTGGGAAGCTCTTTCCGCTTTCTTTGCCATTTGAGTGTTTTGCCCACTTTGTCCCTGGTCCATTCTAGTTGTCTGAACCGCTGCTTCTTTTGCCCTTTTTCTGCCAAAAAAAAAAAGTGGGGGAGCCATATTTCGTTTCACACTCCTATCGCCGTAACTGCCCATTCTCTGCTTTCCTCTCATTCCTGATGCCGTCCAAGGCACCTTTCCACAAGCTGCTGCTTCTGCTCCTGCCCCAGCCTCAGCCCAGGCTCTGTGTGAGCACCACACAAGTCAGGGAATGCTGGGCTGCGCACAAGGCCCCACGAAGGGCTGCCCGTGGCAATCTAACCCTGCTCTTCTCCCTCCAGCCTGCCGCTACTGTGGGACGCTCTGGGACCAGTACCGCCTGTGCTCCACCCAGCCCTGCCGCCAGCTGGTTCTGACGTGCCCACGGTGCCAGATGCGGGGGCTCACAGCCTGCTGCCCCCTGTGCCAGCAGAAAGGCCGTGCCCTGGCGTCAAACCTTTCCGGACCAGCCTTCAAGGAGGAGTGTGAGTGCACGGGCGTACGGCAGCGGGTGCTGGTGGAACGTGTTTAACAAGAGGCCTGGACCACACATTCCTCCTCGCAGCTGTGGGGCACCCGGGTGGGAGCCGGGGGCCAGTCTGGGATCCCCACGAATGGGATTTGGGCCACCGGCTCCACTCAGCAGACCCCCAGCTCCGGCTGCAGCCAAGGCCCTGTTGCAGCGCTCGCACACTCTCCGAAGGAAATGCTTGGTGCGTGCAAGGCAAACAACAAAGGACACGAATGGTGCTACGCAGCCGTTTCCTTCTGTGAGGTCCTTGCCCTGTCTGTGCAGGCTCAAAGAGGCAGCTGTGCTTCTCAGAGGGGGCTTCTCAGAGTCCCACAACCGCACAGCAGCAACTTGTCGACAGGGCAATCCCAGGGAGGAGAACACACAAAACCTGCAGGTGGGCCGCCACCTCAGAAAGCCATGGCGGACTCGGGCTTCTGTGTAACACAGTGAAGTACATGCTTTACACAGCCTGCAATCTACCTGCAGTTTTTCTGTCTTTCCTCTGCATATGCAAATTCTAGGAAGCAAACAGGATGGACTCCAGGGGACACCCTTCCCCAGCAAGAGGGGTGCAGTGCCCTCTTGGCCCCACATGAGAAAGAGCCCTGCCCATTCTGCAGTGTGAGGGTGGCATTGCTCACTTGCCTCCAGCTTTCCATCTGAGAGCCAGGAAAGCAGCTGGGAGGGCAGCTGAAGCTGGAGTCAGTAAACAAGCCCTGGATAACTCTTGTGGATTGCTGCGCACTGGCATGGCCTGTGCTGGAAAAGGTATCATCCTTTTGGGTGGTCCTTGGTGTGAGCCGAGTGTAAGGACCCCCAGCAATAGTCTGTGACTTGTGGAGACTGGATGGGCTGCGCCCAGAGTCTACCCATTGTAGGCAAGTGGTACAGTCCTACCCTTGATGTTGGGAGCATCCCCTCCTCTTCTGGACAAGTCCCACAGTAATAATAGTAATGATAATGATAACAATAATAATCAGAACAGTAATCATAATAATACACAGACTGCCTTGCAGGGCAATTGTAAAGGTAGTATTCAGGTTTTCAAGGACTTCATGTAGCAAAATATCATATTCAGAGGCTGATGAGCGCAATTTTGCAAGAGCACCAGGAAAAGGCTTAGAAATACTTTAGATCTGTGAACTGCATTTTACATTTTAGAATGGTTTTAACACTCCTGCAGTGGGAATATGGCGTAACCCCTGATCTCAGTCCTGCTGCTGGAGAGGCTCCCTGCACCCTGCTGTTAACGGTGCCACTCACCCTCTGCCCCTTTGCCCTGGCAGGGCCCAGGGAGGCAGCATCTCTCAGGGGGCCCCTGTTGAGGGCCCTAAGTGGAAGCACACACCTATGCATAGCAAGAGAATCTCCCGCTGGCGGGGAGAATCTTACCTGGCAGAGAAGGAAAATGTTGCCCTATGGATGGCAACAGACGTAAGGCTGGATATAGAGCATAGGGGTTTTTTTCTGAAAGAGCAGAGGTGGCTTGAAAGAAGGATCCCTCCTTGTGGAGTGCAGTTTTTTAATCGCTGGTAAACAGAGGAGACGGGGACAAAAGACCCCTACAGGCAGTCCCTCTCTCGACACCTTCCAGCTCTTAGGATGGAAGCAAGCCCTAGTTGCAGAAAAGGGGTGCAAGCAGCTTGCGTTGGTCAACAGAGTCCCCACCCTGCCCAGCACTTGCTCTTAGCTGGTTCAAACCTGTGAGGCCGGCGGTGTGTAGAACTGAGTTTCCCAGCACTCAGTCTGTAAGGCAGCAACAATTCTGCTTCCAGGCTTTCACGGCAGGGTTGCCCCTTCCACTGAGGCCAAGAGTGGCGCCTTCCCTACATGGATTGTTGCCCTCATGGCCCTCTCTCCTATGGTCAAGTATCAGGCAGCTTAGTCTTTGAGAAAAACCACATCCATAGGCAACTCTAAAAACAAACTAAAGAGCACAACATAGATCCTGTTGTGCAGACACTGAATAGGATCAGTCTGGATCGCCCCATCCCTTGGAGAGAACCATTGCTGTTAAACTGGCCTGATGCTGGGAGGGGCTAACGCAAAGGTCTAGGAGACCCTCCAGCAACTCCTGGAGAGAGGTGGCTCCTGGCAGTGGAGTTAGCACCTCAAACATGCACACACAGCTCAGAGCTGAACAGAAGAGAAATCTGTCCTCAGGGCGGGTGCTTCCAGACAAGGCTTATATTTATGGCACCGCTGCTTCCCTCTCTTCTGCACGAAATGGTACTGTCCAGATTACTGGGTCTCATCCAGTCCTCATTAGTCTGTGTTTTCCCACTTCTGCTTCCAGGCTTTTCCTCACCACAGAAAACTCAACAGGAAAGAAAAGGCAGGGCCACTGTCCAGTGCCTTCTAGCGGTTAGTGCTAGTCCGGAAGCACCCACTGAGGCTTGTTCTTGGAGGCCCTGCTGAGCTTGGTGTAAAATCACAACTCTTGGGCAGGGAAGGGTGACTGCCAACCAAAGGTTGTGGATTCCTGAATATATTCAAGGTGTATTACTTTCAAAGCACCTTCATTGCTCTCAAAACAGTGAAACACCCTGAGCTCTGACAGGTCCATACGGTGGCAATGAGCCTCTCCTCTCTATTTTTGTTTGATGACTAAAGATTGTGCAAATGGGAGGCAGCACTTGGGAATAAACTCTGGCAGCCTGAACTAACAGAGATGCCCCTTGCTAGCAACGCGTAGATCTCACCACCCCAATCCCATGCGCGTGCCTGGAAAGCAAGACAACAGTGCAAAAGCATGCTTGCTCTTCTAAGCAACCCAGATGTCATTCAGTCATTAAGGCTCAGTGCTAGGCTGAAGGGCCTGCCAAGCACTTACAATTCTTGCAGTACCTGGGAAATCTCAGAAGCTAGAGGGGTCATTGAGTAGGATTCGTGGTGGCTGTGGGTCAGGCTTCACTACTCTGCAAGACTGAAAGAAGCAGAATTTCTCCACAGAGAAGCAGAATTAGGCCCAGTGGTAAGGACTGAGGAATAAGCTATGCAGAGAAGGGAAAGTATCCTTATTTTTGCACAATTTATATAAGTTGTCAAAGTTCAGTTCTGCTATTCTGGGTCTAGAATTGTTATTTGTGGGCAGAACCAAGTATGTACAAGCCTGGAATAGATGTGAGGCTATTCAGAAATAGAACAAAACTGCCTTATTCTTTTGTGGAGATGATGCATTGCCTGGATGCACCTCTGGGAGCTGCTTGAAGAATGAGCAGAATCGGAGTAAATACAGCAAACTTGTATTCTATGTGCACAGCCTGTGTAGGCAGTTGTAACTGACAAACAACTGCAACCGCCACAATCCTCTAGACTCCTGGATCAGCAGTTGGGAGCAGAACCTGAGAAGACGCTGAAGGCTACTTCAGTGACAGAGCAGTTGCAGCAAGCTTTCCTTTGGGCTATAGGGTTTAATGGGTTAGGATGGCATAATGGGGGGGCTAGCCATGCTTAGATTCTGCCAGTAAGAAAGGGCCAGCATCCATTCTTAGCTAAGGTTCATATACATGCTTCTTTATTAAGGCATAATTTAGGAGCAGCACAATAATAGAAACATAGAAACAGAGCGAGTCAGAACGGGACTCCTGGGCCATTGAATCTGACCTCCGGCACCAGCCGGCTCCGGTCACGGCATACCCACCATGTGCACATCCAGCCTATCCTTGAACACCCGCACTAATGGGGCCTCAACGACCTCTCGTGGAAGCCCATTCCACACCCCCGGGGTCCTGTCAGGAAGTGCTTCCTGGCATCCAAACAGAGCCTTGGCTCCCTGAGCTTTGCTCCATTGGAGCGCGTCCTGCCTTCCTCTGCAGGGGAGAACAGGTCTCTACCCATCTCCATGTGACATCCTCTCACATCCCTGCATGTCGCCAACATATCCCCTCTGAGTCTCCTCTTCTCCAGGCTGAAGAGACCCAGTTCCCCCAGTCTCGCCTCATACCCCATCCCCTGCAAACCGGCCACCAACCTTGTGACTCTAACCTGGCTATATCCTTTCTGTAATGAGGGGCCCAAAACTGAGCACAATACTCCAGTTGTGGGCGCACTAGAGTCACGTAGAGTGGTAGTATTACCTCTCTTGATCTAGAAGCCACACTTCTGGCTATGCAACCAAGGGTGGCGTTCGCCCTCTTGACCACCGCATCACACTGCTGACTCATGTTTAGCCTGCAGTCAACCAGTACCCCGAGGTCCCTTTGACAAGTGCTGCTCTCCAGCCACTTGTCCCCTAACCTGTACTTATGACAGCTATTCCTGTGCCCCAAGTGCAAGACCTTGCACTTATCCACATTGAACGCTATCCTGTTGTCTCCTGCCCACTTCCATAGTCTGTCCAGATTCTTTTGGATCTGGAGTACCTGCTCCTCAGTTGTGGCCACTGCTCCAGTTTTAGTGTCGTCTGCGAATTTGATCAGCAGACTGTTCACCCCTTCTTCCATGTCGTTAATGAAAAGATTAAACAGGATCGGCCCCAGGACAGAGCCCTGGGGGACCCCGCTTGTCACTGGCCACCATCCCAATGATTCCCCGCTAATGGTTACCTTCTGCTTCTGGTCAGTCAACCATGCCCTAATCCACCAGACAGTGCTTTGGTGTATCCCAAAACTCCTCAGTTTCTCCACCAGGATATCATGGGCACTTTGTCAAAGGCCTTGCTGAAATCCAGGTATACCACATCCACTGCATCCCCTCCATCTAGCCATCGCGAAACCTTGTCATAGAATTCCACAAGGTTTGTCTGGCAGGACCTGTTTTTGCGAAAGCCGTGTTGTGTGGCTGTCAGTCTCCCTTCCCTATCTAGCATCACTAGATCTCTCTCTTATGAGACTTTCCATTGTTTTTCCTACAGTGGACGTAAGGCTAACTGGTCTATAATTCCCCATGTCCCTTCTACTACCCTTTTTGAAAATAGCAGACAGGTCTCAGCCCAACTGCCACTGGTGCAACACACCCTCCGTTCACCTTCACTAGCTGCACAGGCACCGTGTCTTAATGAATGCCATGAACACCTCGGAGCTTACCAGCCCCCACTTACAACCTGAAATCCTCTTTCCTGCTGATTCCTGGCAGTCTTTCACCATCATTTGTGGAGAAGGCAGATGGTGGCTTTCCTGATGGAAGCAGCATCCAGTTTGCATCCAGGCATTTGACACCCTTGTCTTGCCTAAGGCTGGCATGATCTTTTATAAATCCACCCTGACAGCTAGAAAGTTTTGGGGGGACATAATTTCCATGGTGCTGCCTTCAGACGTCCTAGCCAAGGAGTGCAAAGGGCAAGACAGCCCTTCTCCATGAGCCTCCGCAGGATGTTGAGGACTTTAGGGAAGGGTGGAAACCATGGGCAGCGAAGGAATCTAATCCCCCCAACCATCCCCTGGTAGCTCTTGCCCAGCCACTAATCCTGTCTCCTATTGATTCAATGCAGAGCTTTTCAGGTCTCACTCTCGTAGCTTTTCACGAAAGCTATTTAATCAAGGGGGCTGAGGCAATAGTAGCTTATATGAAATAGCAGTGATAGAAGGGCAATTCTTGAAATGGAACAGATGTGTAATAGCCGTTGACAAGTAATGCAAGAATAAAGAGGCTAGAAACTCTTGTGGGTATTATCAAAAGATTTAAGAGAACATGTGCAAATTAAATTTAAAGGTCTTAAATTCTTCAGCAGAAAAGAAATGACCAACATCCTATACAGCAGCTGTCTTTTTCTTGCAACTAGTGCTTAGGAAAAGAGTGGCCTTAACATTCTTTCTGTTGGGTGGGTGTGCTTAAGAATAATAGGTACTGTAAATCTTGGGCTGTGGATGTTGCTAGCAATTCATAAGTCCTTAAATTAATGATGTATACTGGGATGATAGAAATGCTATCAAACTTGTAGCTTCTTTTTAATTCTTGAGATCAAGTCAAAAATAAAGTATTTTTTTTAACATTTCTGCTACATTTGCAGAGTAGTAGCCCATATTTCTGTTCTTGATAACTACTCATGCATCTCACACCACACACACACAAAACCTCATACCAATATTAGGCTGCAGTCTAACTATAGGTTCAAGCAGTCTTTGTGCTATGATGTATTTCATTGGCATACAAAATTAGCACTTCAAATATTGGATTACTCTAAAAAAAAAGATGCCAATATCCACACGCCAATAATAAAGACCTTTGCCTACAATCACTATTTAGCTTTAGTGTGCAAGGATGTCATATGAAAAGACAGGCACCACAAATTCACTGCACAGTTGATCTGCCACAAGACTTCACTGTCCAGTGCGAGCTCACTGACAGCACTGATACCACCAAGGACTACACCCCAGTCCGGCACTTGGGAAAGATGGGCCCATTCAGGTCCGCAAGCCTCCTCTTCCGCACTGAAAAGCAACGGAAAAACAGTTAAGTTAAAGCAGCTGTTGTGTATCTACGAGTTTCCATAAATACTCCAAATGTAGCACTCATCACACAAAAGGAAAAGTAGTCTTGGATAAGAACTGGGATAAAAAAGACTCTAATCTCCTCTGAAAATATCACAAGGTCCTAAACTAGGATAAGCCATTTTAAAGAGAGAAATTTATTACACTCCTGTCAGTCCCAAAAACATATATCAGTTCCAGAGAGTTGTGCTCTGTCCTTGAATCCCCACCCACAAGAATCCTGTGAACTGCCATTGTGCTACAAACCCGGATGATGTGCTGCAAAGTCTATTCAATAACTCTTCCTTCACCCAGCACCAAACTGCAGTTTCCAGAGTCCAGGAAAGACTGTTCCACAGTCCTATGTACTTGGGAAACCTCTTCAGCCCAAGAACTGAATTCAGTTCTCAGCAGGGATGAGGGGCATTCTAGGGGTGGGCAGGGTCAAAGGAAACGAGCCAACCTCTCCTGCAAGTTTTATCTTAAAGCTCTTACTGCTGGTAGCTAGGCAAAGCCTTGTAACCTTTTTATGATGGGAGAAAAAACTGCACAAAAATATTAAACCAGCTAATGGTTGGAGACTGGAAGGAAGGAAACGGCCTTCTGCAGAACCCTGAAGGGTCAGACTGGCAGCTCAGGAGAACCAAATTCAGCATGTTCTCCACCCATCTATTCCGAAGCAAGCTCCACTGACCTCAGCATGATTTAGTCCCAGGTAACTGTGCATAGGATTGCAGCCTGTGTCTGCAGGGGCAATATACCCTCAGTGCCCACTGGGACCAGACTATGAGCAAAACTGGGTTCAGGGCTGCTTTACTTGTTCTGTCTCCCACCTAAGAGCCCCTGGAATCTATTTCCCATTCTGTGAAGAGGCTAGAGATTGCTAACAAAGTAGTCTCAAACCCCTCACAGAACAGCTGCTTTCAGTATTCTTTGGGAGACAGTCATCCTAGTTAAATCAGTAACTTGAATGCAAAAGGCGCAAAAGACCATTTGAGATCCACTTTTGTTCAGCAAGTCCTACATCAGTACTGACATAATAACTCAGAGAGGTGAGATGGAAGTGGGAATACCCCTGCGAGAGATAAAAATCGTCACTCGAAATCATACCTATACTGCAGAGGTCCTGCGGCAGCTCTCTGCAAGATACACCCATTCGTTCTGGGTTGGATTTCTCTGAGAAAAACGATCAGTTACATCTCTGTATCAGACCCACTGACAGCTTTGTGGCCACCAGGTGCAGCAAGGTGAAAATGAGGGCAGTCCCATCATAAGAAGGAACAGCAGAGCGCCCTCGTTGCTCCCGCTGGTGAGCAAGGCTGACTTGGAAGCTTCCATGGTGTGCGTTCCTGTGGGTGTGTCTGGTGTGCATCGTGCATCGTAGGACTTGCCTATCCTAAGTTCTCTTGTCGGTCAGCATGGAATCCCTGCAGTGCTATTCTTGGGCCAGCGCTCAGAGGTGGTGCCAAGCCAGGATTTTCTCCCAATCTCCCTCAGGTCTAAGTGTTGGTCCCACTTCAGGCACAGGTCCGACACTTCCGATTTCATATTTCAGGTACCAGTGCAGAAATTTTAATATCAGAATTGGTTCCATGAATTGTTAGGGGTGTTACATGAGCTATCAGATCAGCTTAATCTATCTAAAGCTGGGAGAGGGCAACCATTTCCTAGAAGTGTGGAAGGTATATGATGAAGTTAGTACTACCTAGAATATGCATATTCATTTTTTTCCATCTTGTTCTGGGTGCTGGTCAAATGGGATTTTTTATCAGTTACTATTTTTATCCTGTAACAATGACATGTTAAGTAGGCCTTTGCAACCTGCAAAAAAAATGATTGTTGCAGGATGAACATGCTGTTTTTGAAACTTGTAAAATGACAACTTTTCCCCATTTGAAATCACATGCTTTTTCCTGTTACTCTGTTCCATCAATCTTCTTTTGTAAGAGGTTGTTTTCGGTCATTCAAATAAATAAGTAGACAGGGGAGGAAAAGAGCAAGAAAAGAATGAAAGAGTAGGTCATAATTATGCTACAATGAGAGGTCTTTTCTTCCAAATGAGAGCTGAAGCTATTTTTTTAAAGAATAAAAAACATCTGTAGCAAAGCCAAGAACAGAAGGTGGAGAGAGAGAGTCAAAACCCAATAAAACAGCAGGAAGGCATTGCTAGTTCAAGCCCAGGAAGAAAAAAGAGATTGCCAAGAGGAGTGGGGGAATATCTATACTTATACATCTTCCAGTCCCGGGGCTGAGGGGTTATGCCAGAGGCCATCGCATCGACGTATACGAGCTGCAAATAAGAACCGAGTCAGAGATCTTCTGTAAAACGCTTGCAACCAAGGAGATAAACTCTGAACAGTTACCCAGCCACAGTGAACACTCCTTTGCACAAAAGCTGGATTGCGACTCTTTATTTGCCACCAGCTTTGTTTCCTGCATAACTGGAATGTTCGCTGCTACCACACCACTTCAGCTGATCCACAGCAAAGGTTCCCTCACCTCCAATGCAGCACAATATGGAACAGATACATTCTGTTTTGCAAAGCAATCCTTGTAGCCTAGCCTTGATCACTGGAATCAGCTAAGCCTCAGTTCTACAATAGCTCCAGACTTTGCACTGGTCATGGGGCACCACTAGGGAAGGCTTCAGGCTTTATGCTTTGGCTGCAGGTGATCTCAGAGTCAATCGCCAGCATCTCTCCTTAAAGGTCCTCAGCGGGCAGAGCCAGGTTTCTTCCTGTGACCCTGGAGAGCAGCAGCCATTCAAAGCAGGCCTACTGGTCTGGTGGACCAATGGCCTGAATCAGCATGAGGCAGCCTCCTATGTTCCTACAAGGCTGAAACCAAAGTAGCGCGTGCTTGTGTTACTTTTGGCAACCCAATGAAAACAGCCCTTACTTTTGGGCATTGTAAGCCATTGCAGCTAAGCACACCAAACAGGCTTTCAAACATTTAATACATTTTTCCAAAACAATGTTTAAATCTTCATGTATTCTTATGCAATTGATTTCTGACTAAAAATTAAAATGGGAGGTTTTTAGTGCAGTCCTAGCCAAAAAACACATGTTTCTATACCAGCCCTCTTCAACCTAGTACTCTCCAGATGTGCTGGACTTCAAATCCCATCACCTCCAGCCAGCATGCTGGACATGTTGCCTGGTGATTCTGGCAGCTGCAGTCCGACATGTCTGGAGGGCAGGAGGTTGAGAGGTCTTGCTCTCTCTGTGCCTCAGGCCAGGCCAGGCCAGGCCAGGCCAGCCTGCTGCTTCTCTCCTTTGAACATGCTGATCCATGTCACACATTTGGCAAAAGCCAGTCTTCAAAAACAACCAAACAAGAACACACACACACGCCGCCCTAAAATACCAGACATAAAGGCTCAACCAAGCTGCAAAAGAGACAACTACTTCTGCCTGTTAGAGAGACAGTATGACAAGTGCTGCATTTACTGGGGCAGAATTCATATTCCCTCTGGGAACTGCTGCTTCTTTGGATGCAAAAAAACCAAACAGACAGCAGCAGAATCAACCGGTTGGAGAAACCAGCTTACCAAGGTCATTGTTGTTCATCATGGCATTTGATGCACGCAGCCTGGGGCCTTGCTGAGTGAAGTGATACCCAAACTTCAGGAGAGATGTATTTTTTTCTAACATACTTGCAATCTCCATTTCTACCTTGTTGCCCAGGAGCTGGCTCTTAAAAAGAGAAAAAGGAAAGAAAGTTAGACCAGGGTTCCCTCCAGTTTTACTTCTCTCCCTCTGCTTGCTTCTGATTTTAGAATAGCTGAGCTTTTCTACATATTAACAACAAACCTGGTTTGCCACCAATTATACAACCAACAGAGAGCCACAATCAGTCCCACTTATCTCCTGAGTCCACTTGTCATGAAGCATCCCACACACACACACACCACATTCACAATTTAGAAGCCTTTTTAAAAAAAGCTAATGTAGGAGTAGTTCGGCTGGCTCAGCTGTATTTTGGGCTGAGCCAAACGTTCTTTGCAAACTCAAAATGGGGGCTTTTTGTGGGAGAAGGCGCAGGTTTAAGGCCTTTCTGGGATCACCTTTTGCACTGCTTCTTGTTCATGGCCTTGATGGCAGCCACTTTCCCCTTCCTGTTTGCTGCTATATTTTCCTTTTCTTCCCTACAGGACACCAAAGGCTTTACTACACGATGGCTATTATTTATTCCCGGTTTTGCCACAGCACTGGGATGGGAGCTCTACACAAAGAGCTTTTCCTTTCCTGCTCTGTCACCACGTTTTCCCTAGGGGGAGCCATGCTACAATGGGATGGCACTAATGCACAAGGAAAAACAGTGCCGTTTCCCCCATTCTATTAAAAGAATGGCCAAAGTATTCTGAAAAATCAGAAGTGAAACTGGAAGGTTGCAACATCATCCAAGCAGCCTGCAAAATATACGTAAGGAATTATAAGTCAAAAATAAATGCGCTGTGCAGAAAATTTCCAAGTGAGGGTAGAAAAAAAATGCCCTTCTTCTGATGTGACTCCAGACATCAAGTGGCAAACATGTCACTGACTACATGGCATTGTCATAAAGTCCAAGCAGGGTATGGGCCATTTTCCAGTCTTTGCTCTCACTTGAAATGGACTTTGCAATAACACCAAGTATCCCAGTGTGACTGGCCAGATGGTAACACCAGGAATCCCAATTATGGTGTGTTCAACACTTCCAGCAGTGTTGTGGATGAGAAGAGGAGCGGAGGCAGAAAATGGCAACCAGCAGCAGCAGGGAGCAAGACTGCTGGTGACGGCAAGTGAGGATCCTTGCAATTTTCCCAAAATGCCTTCTTTGCAGCCTGTGAGCCTATTTTGGTTTGACTCTAGTTGTGTGCACTACATTGTCAGCCTCAGATGCGTGCCAAGGCTACATCCCATTATATTTGCATTTAATCACCCTCCCCACATTCACCCTATTGGTATGAGAAAGCACCTTCTGGACAATCCACAGACCCAGTAGTCTTCTGCACTTGGCCTGTTCTCGGTGCTTGCTGGTCCCGGCACCATCCCTCTCTATTCCCTCCTGCCAACATACGAGGGGGACCCAAAACCCCCAGGAATGATCTTTTGGAGGGTGGGCCCCTTGTTGCACAAGCTTCCCCTGCTGGGGAAGTGTTCTAGGAACCCACCTGCATCAGTGAACTCAGCTGGGTTGTTGTGAGAGGCTGCACTCGGCTTCAGTGAGGTTTTCTGGAGACTCTTTCAAAGCGATTGCCTATGTCGTGATGGCTGATTTACACAAGTAACGTGTGGCAGTGATATTTTGTTCACTGCATGTTCAGCAGTTTTTGACCAAGAAGGGCATGACCTTTGTGCCCCACCCTCCCTATTCACGTGATCTCGCTCCATGCAACTTTTTTTTTGTTTCCCTGGATGAAAAAAGTTCTCAGAGAGAAACATTTTGTAGATGTGGAAGAAGTGAAACAAAAAACAGCAGAAGCACTAAAAGGCATCAAAATCGATGAGTTCAAAGCCTGTTTTGAGCAGTGGAAAAACCCTCTCAATAGGTGTATTGCATCAAACAGAGAGTACTTTGAAGGTGACTGAAGTCTGAACATGTGAAAACAAATACCTGCTTTTTAATAAATAAATCTCTGGGTTTTTTGGGTCCCCCCCTTGTATACAGGCAGCTGCCGTGTCTGCACAGCTTTCACGAAATCCAGCTGGCCTGTCTATCTGATCAATTACGTGACTAGACTCTTTTGGCATGTCTTCTGCACAGTGGAGCCTGTGTAGATGTCACCATCTATCAGGTGACCAAACCCTCCCTCTCCCTGTGTAATCCTACAGAAAGGTGCTGGATCTACACAATGCATGATATTTTTAAAGCAACAGCAACAACTGGAGCAGTTTTAGCAGGGCTAAGCTAGAAGCAGCTGCATTTCTTCTTCCCATCTGCTCCATTCTGGTCTAAATCAGAGGTGTGGGAATGAGGCCAAATTTTTACAGCAAAAGGAACATCCATTGGTGGAACTGTCCCTTTCACCATTTTACCTCAGAAAAGATGAAAAGATACAGCTGTGGGGATGGGCCTCAGCCTTTGATAGAATGAAGAACCATTCTCGCAGAAGCCATGGTCCGTTTTGGGGGGTTGTTCATCTCCCACATAACCTGTGCCCACCCTGTTTGTACACCCCACCAACCTGAGTGGGGGCTGCATATTCAAAATGACAGCCAGCCATACTATGGCCTTTAAGTGCAGTGGGTTGTTATTGTGTCTTGTGAACTGCCTCAGTCTGTAGCCATTTTCAAAGGGGAAACTTGCTGGGTGAAATTTAAAGCAGACTTGGAAATAAGGTGATGTTTGCTCTCGTTATCAGCATTGGTATGATCCATAGTTATGCCAGCAGAGATAACCACCCCCATGGATTGTACCCCACAGAGGGGAGTTAATGCCATGAGAACTGGCCCATTGGCAGTTTTCTCCAGCAGAATTCACTTCACCCATGACCTGAACAGGAACTTCCAACCTGTGAAATACACATCCCCTTGCTTAATTCTGCCATGCAAACATTTCTTTCTCAAGTTAATTGCCCTCTTCGGAATATACAGCAGAACTTTTGTTTTGTTTTTTGTGTTCTGGGTGCCTGTGAAAGAGAAAAAATGGATTTTAAGTTACCTGGTTGTCAATTTTGAGCTCTATCAGTGTTGTGTTGTACTGCAGTGCTTCTATCAAGGCCAGAATTCCTGATCCAGTAATGAAATTGGATTCCACATTTAAGCTCTTCAATACACCGTTGACTTTTAACATTTCTGCCAGTGCCTTCCAGGATCAAAAAGAGGGAGATGGAAAGAAAGTATTACCAAGCGTTATTATTACCATTTTCCTATTCATTTGTGCTCTCCTCTGAAGAACCTGGCTTGCCCCTGCTTGGAAATGGGAGACAAAGAAAGCTGGCCTGATCCACCACGGCACTTGTTGAATTCTGCCAGGCCACTTCTCACAACTCCATTCCTGACAGCTCCACTCTACCTCCTGGGCTTGGACTGGGCAAAACTGGAGATCCTGTGGGCTGCTAGAATTCAAGATGCAATTCAAATAATCTGTTTGTAAAGATGCACGCCAGTTTGGACATTACTTATGACCCAATTGTTCTGGAGTGCTTTTGTGATGTTCATTGTGGGTTGTAAGGGGAGAATTTGTAGATGGACACTTTATATACATATAATTTTATGTACATAAAATGGCATTTGCATTTTTGTGTTTATAATGGCTGAAAATGATTTGTTTTCCTCCCCACCCTCTCATCTCTTATATTGATCATAGGTTTCTATACTATTTGTAAGTCACTCTAAGATTGCTTTTTACAGTAGGAAGTGACTAATATTATAGTTGTTATTATAACTGTTGTTCCTATTATTCTTCCTTCCTTTTGTTCCTGTCTGGGAATGAAACAATTAAATGTACAAGATAAGCTGGGCACCCACCGCCCCAGTACACTCACAAACAGATCAGGCATATTATTTGCTAAACCCACCACCCATAAAACATCAAAGGCCCATGAAACACTCCAGTGTTTCATTTGATCCAAGATTATTTTGCCCACTCCATCCTTAGGATGTGCGAGACACCTGCTTTTGTCCTTACTGCATCCCCCTCCATTTCCTTTTTCTCCTTCAGCACAAATACGACAAGTTGCACTGATTTTTACGCAATTTACTCCAGAGGAACATGTGCTTAGGAGAGGCATAATATCTTCTTTCCAGACATGAAAGAGAGAACCTTTCACGTAAGACTTGCACTTTTGACATGCCTTCCTTCTAGTAGGGTCACCTGGAAAGGAGACAGTCCCATTAAAAGCTTCCCTGAGTGGATTAGCCAGTGTAAGCTGTCTGACACTTACATAAGCAACAGGGTCATTGCTTCTTGTTCCCACTATGCTGAACTTTTTCACGTAGGTGTTGCTCTTCAAAGCTTCAGCGTAGGCTTTTAAAGTTGGTATAGGAATGTCCTTCAAAAAGGAAACACACAGAAAATGGTTCTGCAGCCTGTCCTGTTTGGGCACCTCTATACCCTCCAAGCGAACCACAGACAGTTCCACTGTCCCCTTGAAAAGCTTCAGCCCTTTCCTCAATCACAAATTCTCCACTGCAAATGTAAATTTCCCCTCCAGTTCTCCCCACCGCACACAATGCTGCTTTGCGATCAGAAGTGGGTCTGGCTAAAAACATTTGGGCAAGGAACAGAAGGCGGGTAGCCTTGTCCCACCTGTTCATGTTATATCTCATGTCAGCATTTGCTGGAACCTGCCTTCTGAGAGCTGCGACTCCTTTTAATGGAGTCATTCCAGTCATTATCTGTAAGTCTTTATAGCCCCAGTGAAGATCCACCATTAACAAAGTTTCTAGACAAGAATCAGTTCACAGGATCCACAATAGTACTTCCCATTCTAAAGATATTTCCTCTGAAATATCTTTCAGAGAGTTAACTTTCATATAAACCTGTTGCACTGCTTCCTAATGTGGATTTTGCATTTATGATTAGATTATAATTTGTATATAAAAGTGCCTTTTCATCAAATAACTGCAGGGGCCCAACAATGGGTGTGCGGGAAAAGCTAGTGGTTTGGGGTGGCATGCCCCATGCTCTGGGGCTCTCCAGGCCGCTGGGAGTAATGATTTTAAAAAACAGCCTTCAGAAACTTTGGCGGCCAGAGGAAGGGTTCAGAATCTTCTCTCCCCCTCCTAAATTCAATCCTGCCAGTGCCTGTTAGTTTACCTGGAAACAGCCTAGAAAGTTCTAGTTATTGAGCAGCCTATAACTTTAATAAATAACTATATTAGGCGAGAGTTATTCTCTATGAACAATAATTATTTCGGCTAGGAAATGAGAAAGTAGGGAGTTAGCTGGCCTAGATACTTCTCCTCTGATCTGCTAGATTTTATCTGCTTGTACTTTATGTAGGCAAACATTATACAATGTGATTCCGACTCCATCAGTGAATGGAAGTAGAACAGTCTGTCCTACCATCTCATTGTCCTGCCTGCATAGACTAGGCCTAAACTCAAGCTAGAACACACAGGACTTTCTCTGCAGTCAAGTTCTTGCACAGTTAAATTCTTTTTGCTATCCAATGCATAGTCAGCTGGGCAGGAATCCAGACCTTAATATTATTGAGATTGACTTCTTCAAGTTCTGGATCATTGTTTTTCACCCGTTCCAAGGTTTCTTCTACATTGGTTGAATTGGGTTCATCAGGAATTGGCTTATATTGTGTGGGCTTAATTATACCTGCAAGAGAAGACATGGGGATGTGGTGATCCAAGAGGCAAAGGCCCACAGCTTCCCTCTCACTGACCTATTGCCCTGGTGGTACAATGGCTAATGCAAAGTGTAGTGGTGACAATCTCCACCACTCCCTGCCTAGATGTAATCTAGGTGACCATTGTCAGGAGGCTTCCATGAGGAGCTGGTACCCAGTGCTCAGGCCCTGGCTTGGGCCCTGCAGCTCCTGACCCCTGGCAATAGCATCTCCTCTAGCAGATACCATTTTGGGGATTAACAGGAAAAATTTAGGGTTACTGGAGTTGCATGGATATCATACAGGACAGATTCAAGGCAACCAAATGATGCAAGATTGTGTTTGCCCTCAAAACAAGTCTCTCTCATCCTCACCAAATTATGACAAAGACATCATACACAATCATTTCTGAAAAGATGGGGACTGTCCAAGGATGTAAGTGTTTTGCATAAATTTCTGTCTGTGTGTCACACATTGTCAGGTGCCTTTCATTCCATCACCAGTTACAGACAGAATCCTTTTTCCTTTGGGGGAAAAACATGAAAAAGTCTGCCAAATTTCCACATTATTTTTTAAAGCTCAACAATCAGTGAGTAGAATGGTATGCAACAAAGGCTGAAGAGAAATCCAACATGCCTAAAATACGTTTTGGTAACAAAATAACATCTATATTAGTCTATATTCCAGTAACATACATTTTTGTATGATTAAATTAGCAAACAATTTCAGAAAGGGGAAATAAAGTCCATGGAATCCCTGCGAGGGAATCTACAGAACAAATTCATACAAATCCAAAATCACGCAACTATGCTTTTGATTTCTCCAACATCCTTATGGCGTGCTCTTCAATGCTACAGGAGCATTCATCATGCAGCCACCTTTGGTGGCTTGAAGACTGAGCATGTTTACCCTAATTTCTAACTGTAGTTGCTTCTCCATGATCCATACAGGGATACACATTGATGGTTCTTCATATTCTGAAATGTGAAGTTATTTTTCTGAACACTGAATAAACTTCATATGGATGCATTTGATATAAACAGCCTTTTTGGTGGTGGCTCCACGCCTCTGGGAAAAGCTTTCAGCTGGTTTTTGTCAGGCCCCTTCTTTGCAGTGCCTGACTAGCCACTGAAGCCCCACTTGTTTCACTGGTCTTTTTATAGTTTGGGGGCTCCAGGTTTTATTCGTTGTACCTGTTTTTATCATGTTTTCTCATATTTTATTTCACTTGTATTGCCTTTCTGTATACGCTTGTGCTGTTTTTTATTTTGTATTCCAGCTTGAGAGGCATCTATATTTAAAGAATTCCTAAAACTATCTATCTATCAAGCCAGTGCAGTATGGTTTTTAAGAATGTGGGACAAAAGGCGCCAGAATCAGAGATGAAAGCTATATACTTCAGGCATTCGCAGACGACTTAGTCTTTATCTTAGAAGATCCTTTGGTGATGATGCCCAAACTCTTAAAAAAAAAATTAAAGAAGAAGAAGATTATGGTGAAGTTACCGGGATGAAAATAAATAGAGAAAAGACTAAATTGTTAGTTTAAAATCTTTCATTGGAGCAAAAAACCAACTTTGATACAGCAAGTAGATCTTCAAATAGTTAAAAAGGTTAAATACTTGGGAATTTTTCTCACAGCCAGATGTGCTACATTGAAAGAAGACAACTATGTTAAATTATTTAAGGAGATTAAGAGCAATCTAGAAAAATGGGCTAATTTGCAATTATCACTGTTGGGAAGAATAGCTATAGTTAAAATGAATATATTACCTAAGCTTTTGTTCTTATTCCAAACAAGTCCTATAAAAATTGATAAAAAGTTTTTTGATGATTTAAATACATAAGTTTTGAGATTTATATGGCAAAAGAAGAAATCAAGGATTAAGTTAAAAATGCTCCAGGAGGACAAAGGGAATGGGGGCTTTGGCCTTCCTGATTGGTTGTTGTATTATCAAGCCTGTGTTTTAATGTGGTTAAAAGAATGGATAACTTTAAGAAACAAAATAATTTTATATCTTGAAGGACATGATTTACAAATGGGATGGCATGCTTTTATGTGGTATGAGAAATTTAAGACACATGGTTACTTCCTAAACCATTATATTAGGAATTAATTGATGTTGGTCTGGGAAAAATTAAAGACAAAACTCTATACTAAGTTGCTGAGATGGCTTTCTCCTATGGAAGCTCTTGTATATCCAAACACATTGAACTTTAACATGATTGTGAGATACGATATTTTAGATAATGATGGAAAATTGAAATTAAGAATTACAGGAAGAGGGTATTGATCTTTCTTGGTGGCACAAGGTACAAATACAATCGAGACATACTAAAGATGATAGAATGTATGGTTTCCATAAGGAACAAACAATGTATGATGAAATAATTTTAAAATCAGATGAAAAAATGATCAAAAGATTGTATAATTTTCTTTTGGACATGAAAATGGAAGATGAACAAGTTAAGGAAACTATGATAACATGGGAACAAAATTTTGGATATAATATCGAGTTACAAAAATGGCAAAAGCTGTGGGAAAGAAATATTAAGATAACTTTAGCAACCTCATATAAAGAAAACTTTTATAAAATGTTTTATAGATGATATTTATTGCCACCCTTGGCTCGTGAACTTAATCCATTCCAGGACTCTGGTTGTGACCCAAATTGGTCGTAAGCCAAGTTAAATTTCCCCATAAGGCTCAATGTAAATCAGGTTAATCTGTTCTGTAACTATTTTTTTTTAATCAGAAAAATGTGGAGCAAAGTGACAAAGAAGAACAAAGATTGCAGCTATCTCCCCACTCCCCCCAGCACAACCATGATTGCGCCCATCATCCCTGCACGTGCCTGTCATCAGGGTGCGCTGGGGGGTGGGAGAGACAGCTGTGAATGGGGCACGCTGGGGGAGGGAGAGACGGGCGCAAATATGGGCACACTGGGTGGGAGGATGGGCGCGAACGCGGGTGCACTGGGGGGGAGATGACCAAGATCGCGGTTACACTCCTGCAGGAAAGATGGGCGCAATCACAGGTGTGCTCCTGCAGGAAAGACGAGCGCGATCTTGGCCATCTCCCCCCCATGCCCCCAGCATGATCGCGGCCATCTCCCCACTTGCGGGGAGGTGGAGAGATGGCCGCGGTCGCCACCCAATGCAGAGTTCGCGACCTGAGAAAAAAATTTTATGAAATTTTTGTTCACGACCTGAATTGGTTGTGAACTGAGGTGTTTGTGAGCCAAGGTACCACTGTATGTCAAATAGATGTTGGAAACGTAAACAAAAACCTGGTACTTTTTATCATATGTGGTGGACTTGTGTTAAGGCAAAAAAAGACTGGGTTAAAATACATAAATGGCTTGAGGAAATACTCCAAAAACCTTTAATATCCAAACCTGAAGTATTTCTATTAGGCATCATTCCTGATGATTTTGATAAACAATGTATATATTTGATCTTACATGTAATTACTGCGGCGAGGATTGTATTTGCTCAACATTGGAGGAATGAAGAGCTACCTACTGAAGAACTGATCTTAAAAAAGATTCTGGATTGCGCGGAAATGGATAGATTGACTCTGTCTTTGAAGGAGAAGGAAGATACATACTTCTATCAAACTTGGAATTCCTTTTATCATTGGTTAGAGAAATGGGACTATATGTAGAACTGAATATGGTTATTAACTGTAATAAGAGTAAGATGTTAACCCAGTATGTCCAATGTCTCGGGAATAATCGCTGTTTTAGTTTTAGTATAGAGAAAATAATTAAAAAATTGAAAAAAAAAAAGAGTGTGGGGCAGAGACTCAGGTGATCTGGGTTCTAGTCCCTGCTTGGTCATGGAGCCAACTGGGTGATTTTGGGCCAGTCACAGACTCTCAGCCCAACCTACCTCACAGGGCTGCTGTTGTGGGGATAAGGCTGAAAGCAGGAGGAAGAGAATGTGGTAAGCTGCTTTGAGTTCTTTAAAAGAGGAAAGAATCTAATAATTTTTTTTTAAAAATAGATCTGTTGATCTATTCTTTTTGAAGTGGGTCATGTGGTCCATTCTATTCCTACAAGGGACTTAACAAGCAAACAGAATTAAGTGCTTGTTAACAACAACTAAAAGTTTCTTGAAAAATGGGACATCGCTCAATGGGAGAGGAGGTTTACCCAACCTCATGATAAGGAGTCCAGCCCAGTCAGCAGATCTGAAGTTCCTTGGGCCACCTATTCTTTTCAGATAAATCTGCTGTTGTATAATCAGAGGAGCATCGGCTAGTGAATCCTCCTGAAATGTGGTGCAAAATATTTCACAGGAAATATCCCAGAAAAGATCCTGGTGCAACTCTGCCTTAAGATTTTGCATTCATACGAAAAGGAAGAACAACTGCCTCTAGCAGACATGCTTCTCCTGAAAGTTGTATGGCTGCAAATCTTACTTACTGTCTAAACCTTCTTTGTTGACTATAGTTGTGCTTCCAAGCGCTCCGTAATATTGCTGGTTACTCATCAGGGTATGCATGCCGAGAATAGCTACATGAGAAGAGGAGAAAACAAAACAAGTTAAGCAAAGTTATGGAGTCTCCTTGCTTGGGAAAACAAGAGTCTGGCTAAGACATACCACTGCCTGGACAGAAAGCTTTTAATAGCGGTGATAAAATAATGCATTCTGTTTGCAGTGAGCAATGGGGACGGATGACGCAAGAAGGCCCAGTGTGCCAGAGAAGGCTCAGCACAGCTCACACAACAAGGAAGGACACAATTCCCTGTTTCTTCATAATCAATACCAAGCAACAACTTAATGCTACTTAGTAAGCCAATTTTCTGTGTATCTTGCTAAGACTAAATGAGAATTTTACTGCACTTGATCAGAAATTTGGCAGAAGCAACAGTGGAAATAGTAAAATTCCTCTCACCATTTGACAAGTGATTGCAGATTATTGGCTTCCCAAGTGGATTTCATGCAAACTATGAAAAATCCTATAGTCCAAATGGACAATTAATCCTGTTACATCAGAGAGTGAGCCAGCCATAAACATTTGTAGGGCCTGACAGAACTGTTTTAAGATGCTCTTTTACTCTCATCTCACAATAAAGAAGAACTGGTATTTTTGATTGATTCCAGAATCAGTTCACACAGTAGCACAATCGTTCTATGAAATGCAGTTAGCAGCATGGAGAAACAGCCATAGTGAATAGAGCTGCATATATCCTCAGAGGTAAACAAAGGTAACATACAACTTCCTGTGTAGCTGTACATCTGCAAGCCGCTTAGAAATTATCTTTGCCAGAGCCATAATCTGCTCTGAACTGAGACAATAGATCAATTCTGTGCCATTCCTGCAGAGCCAACATAGCTGAGGCATTCTATCCTGTCCAGAAGGGGGGAATGCCTCTTTTCCAAGATGCTGGTAGAAACCCACAATTTTTGTAAGTATTTTTAAAGCATTTCTATGACAATTAGAATGAGAATTGTTGTCTAAGTCATTAGGGAAAGCTTTTTTAATGAATGATTTTAGTAGACTGATTTAGATTAAATATGTTTATTTCAGAATAAACCTATTAGGACTTCTGAATAAACATGCAAGATCAAGCTCAAAACGTTGGTTAAAATCCAAAATAAGCCTTACTTAGAATAAACACATTGAAATAAATGGTATTTAGATAAGGCAAGGCCATCTTATCTTTTACTATTCAATGGGTCTACTCTACATAGGACTTGGATTTTACCTACTTTAGCTCTGAGGCAGTTCTGCACATATGAATGTCATCATGTGAAAGGGTCATATATAAGCCATACAGTTGAGGCTGAAGCCAAGTAGCTTCCCTAATAATAACCATCCTTATCCATAATCATCTTGCTAGCATGCAATAATTAAAGACAGGCAATTACCCACAACTGTACAATCAACACCATGACACATGCTGTTCAAAGGCAGCCGCCAATATGGGTCATGTCACATTTGCAAGCCAGTTGGCTACTTTAGAAGATTATGATTGTGCAAGGCGTTTGAACCCCTTGCGCCTGCTCACAGCACAACAGACACTGTGGGGTGATTCACATTGTGCTGGGCTCCCAGGGCGCCATTTCTGCATGACACCTCCAAGGCTGCCAGTTTGTAAAGCTTGTCCTGCCATCTGAACCCAGGCAGTACAGTTGATTTGAAGGTCAGACAACCCTCAAATAACCCTACAGCAAATCATGCATAAATAGAGCCACAGTAGGTTTAGTATGCAGATAATTGTTTCTCATGCCTCATACAAGCTTGTTTGAGAGTTAGTCACAGGTCAAGGTGAGAATTTCAATTTTCAGGAGCCCAGATATCTTGGGAAAGCAGAACTGCACTTCACAGGCTGGAACCGCTGTGCCTGAGGGATGCCACATTTGGGATGAGCCACTCACCCAACACACAGACACAGACACCAACCCCAGCTCCAGATGCGGTACTGTCAGCAAAAGTTACGACAAGCCTTTGATGAAGCCCTGCATAAAGGCCCAGTGTCTCTTGGGTAGCCTAGCGCTTCCCTTGTGTACAAGGAGGAGAATGACAACTCTTATTCCAGAGCTGGGCTTTGCTGAGGCTTCAGAAGGTAATGAGGCAGAAGGACTCACACAGTGACTGGGTTCAAACAAGACGGCAACCCATTGTGATTAAGCAGCTCCAGCGGGTTGCCATATCAACTGAAGCCACACCCCTTCCTGCAGGGTGGCTTGTTTTGCGGCATCAAGCCACCCTGACAACCCATGGCTTTTCTAGGGGTTATCAAACCCAGGATATGTTTTCATGGTGTTCAAGCCTTGGAAACTAATCCCAGGAATGAGCCACTCACCCAGAGCATCAAAAGCCTCCTGGCTATCTCACTTATGGCCCCAAGCAGAATTTTGGGGTGACTGTCACTGGCTCATCACCCATTATTTGGGGAGGCACAGAAATGCACGCAACTGAAATCACAATTTTTGGGCACAGAGAGATATACCAAGGTTCCAAGCTATTTCCTTGACTAAAATAAATACTCAAATTCGCTAGATAGGCCTTTTTTGTTTTTTTAAAGATCACTTTCTTTTGACTGCAAATTATTGTGAGTCTTTATTGTGATTCTGGTTTCTAGTCCAGCTGCTCTCAAATGCATCTACCTTCAGGAATGTTCCTAGCTGCATTTGTCTACTGAGATACCACAGTGTGTTCTCTGGGAACCTGGATTACTCTAGAGTGTTCCAGGTCTTGTTTCTGCTCTGGTTGGTGTGCCTGCCAGGTTAGTCAAACCTTGCACTGGCTTTCCCAAACTACCCTAGAATGCACCCGGCGGTTCTATGCATTGCAAAGGACGCTCCCTAGCAGTGAACAATTGTATCTCCCAGGGACTCCCCTCTTATTGATCTTTTCAGTGAGAAAACCCCAGTAGGGTCCAAGGGTCCTGAAGAATATATTTTGAAAGCTACTGATCTATATCGAGACAAAAAAGAAAAAAAAGGTGGGGGGATACATCAAACCGAACTGGGTTCAAATGCCAAAGAAGAGTCGCCTCTTCCACACAGTAGTCAAACTCTTCTCTGATCAGCATTTCCCATATTGCAGTACGACTTCAGGACAAGAATGTGATTATTTCAGAAAAGTCTACTTATCTATATGTGATTCTGTAGTCTCCTCTAAACATCTAGTAGCTACAATACACCCTCTACTGAATTAAATTGGAGCTCTGCTCATGCTTATATTCCATAAGATTTATTGACAGAATGTATTAAATGTCAGAAATACATGGTGGAGGTGTGGGGGGGCATGAAGAGGGGGAACAATGAGAACATATGTCTGCAGAAGCCACGGTTCCCAGCATTCATTTTACTGCAAGGAGGGATGCTCAGAGCAGGGACGCATGCAGAGACACGGTTTCTTCTTAGGGCAGATGATTCTGCTGTCCCTGCTTCAGGAATGACTGCAAGATCTCAGCACATCCTATTTGAGGACATGGCAGAATTACCCACTCCAAGCAGAGGATGCCTGGAAGGAGGTAAGCCCAGGGCAATGAATTATGCATATATGCAGCAGGTTGCCTCCGGTATGGGCGGGTCTATGGGCCTTTGAATTGGTTTACTTCTCGCTGCAGTTTGGGATTACTGGTGGAATGTCCTTTCTTTTGCCAGAATGGCCTGTGACTGCTTTTTGCAGTTGTGCAAAATTACTGGTCAAGAAGCACCCCAGCTGGCTTGTGGCACATGAGCAGGGTAGATGGCTGGAGCAGCGGCAGGGTGGTTACTCGTGAGTAGGATGGGCAGAGAGGATTTGCCAGTTGGCATCTGGTGAAGGAGCTGCATGAATGAATGAGCAGACAGCCCCCTGGCCAGCCGGGGAAGCTCCAGGCAGCCTTTGCAAGCAGGACATGCTGAAGTGGCGACACGGTTCGGCCAGGCAGCCGGAGCAGCAGGCCGGATGCAGCACTGCACCCCACAGGACCGTGAGGTCACCAGCACGGCTCTCTTACAGCCCCTCTGCGACTTCTAATGACTTGGATGATGTCATGGGAGGATAGGAGGAACAGGCGGCAGGCTGGAAAAAACAGACATAGATTAAGCCGGAGGGGTGAGTTCCGTGAATAGGATGCGAAGAGAGACAAGAGGATTTTAGTAGTCAGATCAATGAAATGGGAGGGAAACGTGCACTCATGGAAAATAAGCCAGGATTATTTGCATCGGGCTCTCCTGACCACAGACACAACCACAGAAATGGCAGCCACACCTCCCGTCCTCCCTCTCCAACGCTCACTGGCATTGCAATCCCACAGTGCTCTGCATCCGCCTGCCCCACATCGCTAACAAGGGCTAGGAGAACACAGAATGTGGTGAGGTCACAATGGGGCAGACCTGGATCTATGTGGGGGGGGGGGACGGCAAGAGGGTGAAGCTGCCCCCTCCCCGGCTGGTAAAATACGCAGACAGCAACTGTCAAAAATTAAACAAAAGAATACTTCTAGGCTTTGTAGAAAGAAAGGAGGCATAAAAGGCCTGGCTGTCGTGCAGTTAACATCATAGTTTGGGCTGACATGCGCAGTCATGTCATAGTTTGGGTTTCATACAATGAGTTATGATGCAGTTGCATGGTCAACTCAGTACCCAGGGATGGCTCCGCTTTGGTGGGGTTCTTGGGTAAGGCTCCAGCCAGTGGCCTCCCTCCCTCCCTCCCTCCCTCCCTGAGTCAACCGTGCCACTGCCACGGGCACCAGCTGCACCTCACCCTCTTCCTCACCACTGCTATCACCTCCTCGTTTGTTTAACAGGCCGAGAACCAGTGGCGAAGCAGCCACGGGGGGCCGCTGCTCCTCCTCCTCCTCACTGCCACTGCCATCCAAACCAGCATGTGAGGCAGGGGAACAAGCGGTTTAGAGCAGTGAACTGGAGGAGCAGGTCCAGGAGAGCCCTTGTCAGTGGGCTCTTGCTGGGGACTGGACCCTTGGCAAGGGCCCAGTGGTGCCTCTTCTTGGCAGCAGTCCTATAAAGCCATCAGAGAAAAGCGTGACAGTCCAGATTATGAGTGAGAACATATTCTGCCTCCATTCAGTGAAAGGTCTGCTTTGGGGGGCCAGCATCCTTACCATCAGCTACCCCGTGCCTGTCTACAGTCCCATCCTTTCCTTTTGGAAAGAAGAGCCTGGGACCCCAACCATGACATCAGTGAACAGGGGCCGACAGTCCAGATATCTCTCCAGTTTCTTTGACTTTTAAATAGCAAGCTGCTTCGGGAGAGAATCCCGGCTGAACAGCGGGATATAAAGATAAGCAAATCATGAGTGATGCCCACCTCTCAGTCTGCCTTTTCATATTTGGAATCCTGACAAAGGGAGCAAACTCTTTCCCACACGTGTCCCTGTGAGCAGCAAGGGGCAACGCTCCACTGCCTCCCCACGGTTGCCTTCATGCGCACCTCCGAGTAGGCTTTTTCCTTCCTTGCACTCTGCAATGCAGCTAATCGTATGCACTCTTCCTCCAAAACTGGCAGTGGGAGAAGATAATTTGCAACAGAGAACTGGCCGGTAGCCAGAGGGGAGTTTTCCCTTCACTGCCCATTTCTGTTCTTCACTTCTGTCCTACTAGCGTTTTCCCCCAGTCGTGGCTTCGGGTGCCAGGAATGAGCTCAAGAGTACAGTGAGCAGGCCCGATGTTGAGTGCAGGGGGGATGGTGGCCTTGGGCAAGCATTTCCGCGTGACACTAGCTTTGCCACTTTTGCTGATTCAGATTCCGAAGATGAATATTTTGATGGGATTGCAGGGCAGGACTTTGCTCAAGGACTTAGCACAGAAGTGGGGTGAGATGCAGTAGATTAGCTCAAGGGCAGAAGCAGAGGTAAGCCAGGCAGCCCCTGGGAACAGCCTGGAAATACAGCTGGCGAAAGGAGCTACTGAGGCCAGGGAATCCTCAGGCAGAGATCAGCCCCTCCCTTCACAGTTGGCTCCTATGGCCAAGCAGCAACAAAGGTGAGAGAATCAATTGGATAAAAGATGCGTGGAAAAGAGGTATGCTTGCTTCCACAGCGCCCCTCCCAGAGGGTTAGGACACCAACAAGATCATAAGGAGAGTTTTGGGAAGTAATTGTTAGACTGGGTTCAACAAACGGCTTTGTGTATGCTCAGAGACTCATCTGAACGGTTTACAATTGGAAATGATAAAGAAAGGTTTGCAAGAGAAATGGCCTGAGGCTGGTAATTGTCAGAGGGAGAAAACACAGCTTGTGACACCTTGATTCTGGGACACATGAGGAAAATCAGAGGCAGATAAAGGCGGTTTCCAGATGGCCTGGCTCCAGTGCTACCCAGTCATTGCTCTTCCGTTGTAAACTACAACTGAGTTGCAAATTGATTTTCTTCCATTTTTGTGTTACTGGGGTGGCTGGCAGGAAGACAAAGCCTGTCTTAGAGTTGTGAGTGGCTTCTCCACCACCCCAACAACCTATCTTCATGGGGTTCGCACATAATGAGAAGCTACAGTGCAGCCCAGCTGCCTCTTGAATACTCCAAAGGGAGGCAGCCATCATAACAGAGGGCACCAAGGGGAAATGCATCCATGGTGATTTCTCTCTGCAATGCGAACCAGGCCATTATAACCCCTGATGTGTGCACAGATGGTAGAAGAGACATCTGCAGCTGTGGAAACTACCATTCTTCAGCTTTGATACAAAAAAAATCCAGGCTTTCTGCAGTCCCTTCCCTCTCACATGCAAATTCCTTTAAAAATATTATCGGAGAACACTGAACCATGGGGAGTAATGAAAATCATAAACACAAGTCTCAAAAGAATACAGTCTCATAAATTACCAGCAATGTCACACAGTTCAGCATCTGAGGCATTTGCCAGCGCTTCCTCCAGTTCTGGTTCGAGGGTTACACTTTCCAAAACAGGATCAATAGCCTTCTGTTTCGGGACCCAGATCTTTCCTATAAGAGCAGAAAGTTGTGTTAGCTGTGTGGCACCGTTTTGAATAATGAGATTTAAAGATCCTTGTTGTTGGTGGCTTTATCTGACAAATAAGTAACCGAAATTAGTAGAATCAAGAACAAAACAAGTGCATTCTATTACAAAAAGTAAAACTTTGTACAGCGTATGCACTTTGGTTCTGCACAAGTTCAAAAAAACATTGTGGATTGCACAGTTAGCAAACATGGTGAATTAAATATTGTTATGATTCTTATGATGACTATTATTCGGAATGTTCATAAGGCCCACAGAGTACATCTCTCATTTTAAGTGCAACATTGAGAAGAAGCTAGGCTCACCCCACAGAGGAGAGACATGGTGCAAGATCTTGTTTCCTACCATGCCTGGTCCTCACCCCAAGTTTAGAATCCTGGCTTTGTATCACTCTAGTCTTGCTTTTGTTAACAGTCAGTGGGTTTTAGTACTCGCCATTTTTTTAGGAAAGCAAAAATAAGGTGGGGGTCACTCCCTATTGTAGCAGCAAGGCCTGGAGGTGGAATGCATCTATAGGGTCATGTCTCTTTACGGAGGTTCTACTCTCTTTCCCCTGCAAAACAGGACTTGGACTAGATGATCATGAAGGTCCGTTCCAATTCTAAATTTCCAGCCAGTTGGGGAATGAGACTGAGGGATGCTGGTCTTTTCAACAATGTTTAAGGCTTCTTCCTTAAACATGTCCTTATCAGTTTAAGTTTTAGGTTTTTATTCTTTTAAAAGTAGCTCCCTAGCCCTGCCTTCCCCAGCTCCTAACCTCCATGCTGGCTGGAAATTATAGGAGTTGTAATCCAACATATCTGGAAGGCACCAGGTTGGGGAAAGCTGGAGAATCCCATTTATTTTCAGAGAAAAAATAAAATATGCAAGCAGTAAGTATTATTACTACCTCAGTAACAAGCAAACTAATTTGCTGCACCCAGTATTCTGGTCAATGAATGCAAAAGCACTAAAAATGCCTGATTAAAGGAAAAAACTTCTCTTTTATTTATATGTGTTAAATTCCAATGCTATTAAAATTATTTAATAAATTGATACCTTTAAAACCCCATAAAAGGCACTTTAGCTGAAACTGGAGACAACTGGATCCCAACTGGATCATATGTTATTTAAAATGAGGCATATTTGACAATAATGTTCAAAAACCCCAACATGGATTAACTATTATTGCTCACAGCATAGGGCTAGAACTATGCATGGATATCAGCAACCTGTAATGATACTTAGTGTTAATTCCTATGGGGTTTCACAGACACCTGATACTTACTCACGCCCTTTTAATTTCAAACCAAAACTTCCCGGTGGTATGTAGGGTGCTTCCAGATGGAGGGCTCCTAGAGCTACCCATTAGAAGGCACTGTGCAGCTATTCCGTCTTTTTCTCCTTAATGGATTTTCTGCAGTAAGAGAAAAGACGGAAGCAATAGTGGGAAACATAGGAGGGTTGTGGGTAGAAGACAACATTGTCCAGACCCTCTGTAAAATGCTGTGAATGAGGCTGGACAATGTTCAAGAAAAGCCTCGTCTGGAAGCACCCAAAGGATAAAAGCTTAAGTCCACCTCTTTAATGGCTGCATCCACGTAAAATGGTGACTGTGCCATATGGTGCTTGTCACAGTGGGGCAATTAGAGAGAAGGAGAAGTATACTTTTTTTAGCGAAAGCTTCAAGTTAAATACACACAATGTGATACAGTAAGCTTTGAAGTGTGGCTGCCATAGCGGCACACACACACCCCAAAAAAGAGAGGCTAAAAGTTCAGGCAGCTGTGTTGATGCATATAAAAAACCCCCCACCCTGATTCCAGAAGTTTTCCTCTCCCACAAGAACAAATATTTTGCATGGTTCTTCACTGCCCATTCAAGCCCAACTCCTTGCATTACAACAGGGAAGCACTGCTGTTGTTAGAGAAATTTATTTCCCTACAGCCAGCTGCACTGAGGGCTTTAGCCAAGGTGAGCCAGAACAGGTAAGGGGCTGTCAGATGAGGTCATCCTGTCTGCAAATAAAAAGTGGGTAGGCCAGTCCCCTGGTTCCGTTACACCAAGAAACAGACACAGTGGAGGGGCTCGTGGGTTGAGGAACTGCAGAATGCTCCATTGTAAAGAGAATATACAGATTCTGACAGGGCCCTGGGGAAAGTGAAAGTTTGCATATTTTTAATACTCTGGTTGGATATTTAGCCCTCTATACAAGCTGAAAACACTTTAAAGTTTCAGGAACATTTGGTTTGCAATGGCCCAGACCAGAATGGAAAGAGAACTCCAAGTAGTGCTATACTCCCTAAAAAAGAGGAACCTCTTTAGAAAGACATCCAAGAGATGGCTTCAAAAGCGATAGCACACTCATTGCTCTGGGCCTGGAATGTGACACTGGGGCTATTTTGGGCTTTGCTGCCCATGCAATGCAGAATGAAAAGAAGGACAAAGCCCATGCTGTCCCAAACGTGGCTTGAAGGTTCAGCAGGTCTAAATTTAGACCTCACAAAGAAGCAGCTGCTCTCTGAGTTGTCTCTTGAGATGAAACAGAAAACTAAAAACAGTCCTTTACGGAACAGTCTTCTCTTTTGCCATGATAATTTTAAAAACACATGTTATACCAACAGCTTGGTGTTAGAAACACCAAAGATCAGTAGTATAATCTCTCTTAATTTTATTTTAAAGAGAAAGGCTGACAAAAATACTTAATGAAAATCATACTAATTTGCCACAGTTTATTGCATGTTTAGGTGAAAGTACTCGTAAGCCTAATTGGACTCAGTGGGACTTACTTCTGAGTCAACATGCATAGGACAGAGCTGATGACATTTATAAGATTAATTACTTTGGTTTCTGTGTGCCCACACTTTTAGTTTTGCTCTGCTGGTTTGATTCTGGAGATCAAAGGGTGGACCCAAGGATTGATGGACTTGGCTCAAAAAGAAAGAGTGAAATTGGCTGGAAAAAAAGTCAGAATATATGGCAAGGGTTCCTTGAGCTATTTGGAAATTAATAACCGAATCTGCTAAGAAGATTTCCAATGACAGATTTTATGTTTGTACAGTTTAGAAGTCTGTTTAGTCCTACTTGGACATGCACATGGTAGGCATGTCATGAACAGAGCCGGCTGGAGCCAGGGGTCAGACTAGATGGCCTGGGAGACCCCTTCAGACTTGCTCTGTTTCTATGTTTCTACTTAAAACAGACCCACTGAAATGACTGGCATCCAAGCAGGCTTGGATGTATTGGATAAAACATGGTGTGTTGGATTTTCCTTTACTTTTAGATATGTTGCTTTGTTGAGTCTTTGTTATCCAATGTTTTCCTAAATGTTACACTCCCCTTAGCAGGGAATATTATGAGTGAGCGCATGGGGTGGGAAGGGGTGAATGAAGTGGTATGGGGGTGTTGGGAGGCCAGAGGCAAGAGGCAAGAGACAGCAGGGCGTTTTTCAGTATTGCACAAGATGGAATTTGAACTCGTGTCCCTGTACAACAAGTGACAAGCCCAGCTATTAAAGGTGCACAAGTCCCCTGTCCTGGCCTCTTTTGCATCAGACTCCCTCTGCCACCATTTCAAGATGGGGGAAATTTCAAGGTGGGAGGAAATTATGCCTCGGTTTTACACGTGTTTAAAATAAACAATTGTTTATTGTAATTGATATGTAAACAACAACAACAACAATATAATTGTCTTGCTGGATCAAACTAAAGATGCTCATCTGGTGCACCGTTCAACAAAGCATAACACACGGTCCTAATTTCACTACCACATGTGATTGTTGTTTCTAGGACTTGGGAGAGTTCTTTGTTTCCTGCATTCCTAAACCAAATGTGAATGCTGACCATTCCTACACAAACAATCCAATGGGAATTCCTTCTCAGCAGCAATGTCTGAAATAAACAGTCATCTGAGAGGGATGGTTTAACTTGGAATCTTACACGGAGCAAAAGGTTGGACGATGCGGCCTTCTTGGCGCCTTCCAGCTCTATGATTCTATGAATGGGGCTCCATTCATTTCAGTGGGACTTCCTTTGGAAAACTCCTTTGCAGCACACCCAATCTGTATTTACAATCCCATCTTCGATTCTGGAACAATGTTCCCAGCCTGATGATTGCCGAGATTTTTCTTTTTTTCTTTTTTCAATGCCAGGATAAAATTTTCCAAATGATCAGAAATAGGCAGAGTGAAGGAAAAGGTTTCATAGGCCAGCTTGGTGACAAGAGGGACTGTACAGTACACAAAATTCTCTGTATGTGTGTGTCTGCCAGTGTGTGTGACAACATGCTGCACCCCTCTTTGAGATTCTTTTGGTTCTGGCCAGACCATTCAGGACAAGGTGAAAAAGAGACCATTTACCCTCCCCACAGCTGTATTTCCACCCAAAAGAATGAATGGTAACCATCCACCTATAAGGGATGCAGCTGAGAGGGTATGGGGTGGAAACCACCAGAATGGGCTGGAGGGGGCTAAACCCCAATTTCCTGCAGTGAGAGACTCAGTTAGTTAATCAAACATCGTCAATTGCCAGGAAACCTCCTACCTCTTTTCTCCCCTGTGAAAGGAACCAGATCTTCTCTGTCTTTAAGATCATTCGCCTGCTTCTCCAAGTGCGCCAAAAGGTCATCCCTTTTAAAGGGGCCTGTGGGTGTCTTTTTCGTCTGATCTTTCTGTCTCATTCCTGCTGGCAACAGCGCATTCTAGATTTCAAAGGAGCAAGAAAAGTATGTTGGAGCAGCACAATGACCATCGTTGTCCACTGTCAACTTACAAATGCTGATTGCACCCAGTTTGTTTTTGACCTGGCATAGTCCCTAGGAATGAATCCACGGTGTCCATATGGACTTTCCATGAGGCAGATTCTTCCTAAGGATGCATGGGAGCTGCAACAAAATGCAGATATTCAGAGTACTCACTGGACTGACTGAGGGTTTTTGTCTGCATTTCAAGTTTTTTCCCCGAAGGTTTTTATTTTTTAATGTTTTAATTATTTTTTTGCAGTTAAGAAAGCCTTGGGGTTTCCTAATCATGGTGCAACTCTGGGCTGAAGGGCAGAGGGTCAGTTTGCCCCTTGTAGATGCTACTGTTGTCCTGGCTGAAATGCCAGCCACCTGTGCCATTCCTCTCTCTGCCTCTGCTGCTCTGTTCACCCTCAACTGTTGCTGCAGGTGTTCAGACTGCTGTCTAGGGTCCATTGCCCTGGGGCCCATCTGGCCCAGCATGTAAACACTCTGATGGGCAACTCAGGCCAGGAAGTGATGCAAGGGACCACTGCAGTGTGCCTCTCAACATGAAATATTTACATTCAAACAATACAGGATACAACATTTCTATTTAACAGCCCTATCAGCCTTCCCTAACCTGGATGCAGGGGCTGAAGCCTAAGACATCCAGCAGACACCAGGGTGAGGAAGGCTCATATAGCCAGTGCTGTGACTGTCATTTTTCACATGCCCATGCTAGTATTGTAATGTAATCCAACATTCTGGGGATCCAATGTGGAAAAGATGCAGACAATTGGGGATCCTTTCTCCAAGATGCCACAGCTGTGTTTTAAAGGTTCTTAGAAAGTCTGTGAGGAATGATAACAAGGGCTTGGCAAGTAACATACTGGCAGACACACAAATGCTAATGGATAAATGCTGGAAAATTCAAAGCTTGCCAACCTTCATTGATTTGTGCCAAAAAAATAGGCTGACAGACTCCTGAGAAAGCATGTTGTCACTACCATGAATACTGCTAGTATCATTTAGGCAGCCATTGATCAGGAAAGATCAGACAATCACATCTCCACTTAAGAAGCAGAAATATAAATGAGACTCTTGTCATCAAACAACACTCCTTCCTTTTATGTGAGCCAGGAAACAACCCAGGATGCCTTTAATAAACCACAGTTTCCCAATTTGTTCAAATTGAGAAACCATGGTTGACAGCAACAGAACTAACCAGAATAGTTAGCCAATTTCAAAGCATGGCTTAATATCCTGGCTCATTCCAAAGTGTGAACCATAGGTTCCTGGTATGAGCAAAACCTTAAATTATAACTAATAGAAGATCTCCTGGTTTGTTTGCCAGCTTATACAAAAAGGAGAGTCATGGAATTCTGGGGGCAGACAAAAAGCTCATGCACGCTTCTGCTCAGCTATGGAAAGGAGCCTGGGGACTCACAAGCTCCCCACTTCTCCTCTTTCTGAAAGAAGGAGGTAAGAAACAGGTACTTCCTAGATTAAACTGACCAGCGTTTTCATCACATTCACACTGGGAGATCTGTTGATCTCCAGCTGAAAGAAACCAGAATCATAAAGCACAATTTGATCTTTTTTTAAAAAATAAACTGTACTTTAAACTAACCAGAGGCTTGTCCTTTTGGATGCAAAGATAAACCAAAAGTGAGTTAAAAACAGGTAGTGGATGCTTTCACTCTCTTCCTCATGGCTGCACTGGGGAAGAGGGATGGGGGAGCACATGAGCCATGGCCGTTTCACAGGGAGGTGAATTATGATTTAGCATTAGATCCAAACAGGAAACTGTTTACTCTCTGAGACCTATCCCAATAAGCACCCACTAAGGCTGCCTCTAGATGTCACCCAAAGCAATGCAGCATCCTTGAGAACTACAGATCTCACAGCAGCTTGATCATCTATATACTGACCTCTGCTTGTCCAAAATGGTAGACTGAGGGCACTTGCAACATACCAGTTTTCTCTTTCTTAAGAAATTAGGGCAGGCTGAGGGAAGGGGCAGTTCAGTGCCTGAATATAAGGGACAAAAACAGGGAGGCTGGTTGTTACTTTTGGCCCTGCTTGTCCAGAGACACCTATTTGGCCACTGCTGGACTTGGGATATGGGATTACGGCAAACATGATTTGATCCAAAAACTGGGCAATCTTTATATTCTTAAGATCACCCTACAAAGTGCTGCATGTACTTCTCTGCAGTGGCCCCATGCCTCTGGAATAAGCAATGCTTTCATCACTCCAGTCTTTTAAGAGGACCCTGAAACTATATTCTTTTATTCTGGATTTCTCCTGAGGTGCTTTCTGTTGCGGCTGTTTTTATTTTTAATTTTTATGTATATTATATTCTTGCTGTTTTTTACTGTGTTTTTATTGCTCAAAGTATGGCATTGAATTGTCATGTTCTTTGCCACCTAGGGAAGGAGGCCAATAAATGTAGGCAAAACTTAAGTAGATGCATTAAGTAAACAGTGAATGTAGAGGAATCCTCTTGGACTCAAACTCAGCTCACGTTCAATGGAGCAGGAGGGAAAGGATCACAGTTGCCCAATCTTGACATTGTTAAGCCTTTCAAAAAGTACCACATGACCTGGCCTACTGCTCTTAAGGCGCTTCCTTGCTGAGCCAGTTGACTGGCTTTGGCTGGAGAAGGTGGTGATGCAAAGCTGAATCCTTGCAGGGGGCAGGTTCAGAGCTTGCAATGGTCTTGAATCCTGACTGCGACCCCACATCATCAACCATATAATTTTAGAAAAGCCTTCCTCACTCTGGTGCCCTCCAGATGTTTTGGATGTCAACTCCAGTCAGATCCAGCCAGCACGGCCAACAATGGTCAGGAATGCTGGGAGTTTTAGTACAAAACACCTGAGATGGAGAAGGCTGCTTAAGAAGGTCACAGGAGAAAGGATGATGGTTCTCTCATGTTCTTTCCTCCCAGCATCTGGTACTCAAAAGGCACACTGTCCCTGAGCATAGAGCAGCCTCCCCCAACTTTGTGCCTTCCAGACATGTTTGGACTGTAACACCCAGAATTCCCAATCTATGGCCCTGTGGGATGGGAATTCTGGGAGTTGTGGTCCAAATGTCTCTGAAGGCCACCAGGTTGGGGAAGGCTGGCATAGAGGAACAATTTATCTAAGAGCCACTGAAAAGATCCACCCCACCTTTTACAAGCAGCCCTTTAAAACTACTTACATCTGGATCTAATTCTACCAGTTCATCTTCTAGCATCTTGATTTCTTCTTCTGTAAGTGCTCCAAGGATCTGATCTTCATCTAGATCACGGTACTTCTCTAGTCCTTGTCTGTATGACATCTTGGATAACTCTTGTTTTAAAAATCTGTCTCACTGAAATATATGACCTGCACATTTAAATAAAAGAAAAATGAAAACATTGGAGCATCCTTTATAGACAGAACTCAACTCTGCTGGAAAAATAAGAAGCAAATGCATAAATGTGATTTATTGCAGTACTGCATGTTTAAGTCTCTTCTGACTTAACTGTCACTTGCCACAGACAGTTTCTCCATGAAAAAATGGGGGAAGAACTGTGTGAATTAACACTTTGTAACATAAAAATATTGTCTTTTTCTTCCAGGCAGTAAGACATTCTGTTTGAGGAGAAACATGCCACAGTTCCATCGCCCTTGAATAAAAGATTATTTGGCCAGGGTGACTTATTTTATATTGTTATTTTTGCATTTTAACTTAATGTTTGTATTTTTTAATTTAATGTTATAATCATTTTTTAACTTAACGTTGTAAGCCGCCCCGAGGCTTCGGCGAATGGGGCGGCATAAAAATGTTTTAATAAATAAATAAATAAATAAATAAATAAATAAATAAATAAATAAAAATAAGATTACCAGAGAAGTGCGTTCCCTTTGTGATATCCTGTTTTATTTACAAATCTTCACAGAGAGCAAAGTTGAAGCAAACAGGCATTCCTAGAGCAGATTCCCAGGTACCCACTTACTCAGGCCCTACAAGACAACACCCCTAATTCTGGCTGACTCCAACTAAATTACCTTCTCCCCCATCATCAATTCAAATTGTGAAGTGCTTCGGGTTGTCTCTCTGCCTCCCTCCCCTCACTTGGAGAGATATCACCTGCTCCAAGCTCTAATGCATCTTTCACTCAGCCACTTGAGCTCTCAGGAGACGATTACATGTCATCCATTCCCATTAATAAAGCACCAGGCTGGACTAAGAAGCTTGCTAAATGGTGGCCTGTCTGCAACCTTAAAAGAAAGAAATGTTAATTCTGTGATTTGTAGCACAGCTGTCCCCTCCTAGCTCCACTGAAGTGTATAATTCTTTCCTGGTTTTTAGCATCCTCTCTCTTTCCTTTTTTTCCTTTTGGGGTGGGCAGGGCAGGGGAGGGAAGAGCAACAGCAACATGGGTAACTCTGTATGGCCCTGATGTTCAAGGGTCACAGATGCAGAGTGCTAACTGATCTATGCATACTCATCTATCCAAGATGCCTGCAAGATCCATTGCTGACTTACATGTGTGGATGAGTCACTGTGGATTAACACCTCAAATAGAAATGAGTCTGGGTGGGGTGGGGGGACAGAAAGATAAGTGGCAGGGCAACAGCCGTTCACCTCCCCAGGTGACATTAAGGCTAGGGCTGGCCCTGCTACCCTGTTAAACGACTTTTAAACTTTTTCCCTAGCTTAGGGGAAAAGTTCAAGCCACAATGGCATTTTAAGCAATGGGATAAAGCTGACTTGCACAGCTGAGAAATCTTCTGCCACACTGACTTTTCAAAATCAGGGATGCTTCTGGTGTAGAATATCCTGTCTTGGGGTGAGTGGGTGGATTTGGTCTGACCCAATGCCTATAACTGGAATCCTGAAATCTTCAGATGCCAGAAACATTTAACGACGTTCCCACACAGGAAGCATCCTCTCTGCCCCCTCTGCCAGTTTCCGTGGGGCTCAATTCAGGGAGTCACTTGACCAGCCAATGAGCCTTCTTGGCTGACCCTTCCTCTACATGCACTAGGCCCCTCTGGGCAAGCAGGTTTGCAGAGTTCTACCACAGCCTGTGACATCAGTCATGTAGAGAAATCCCCTCTGTGTAAAAATTATAAATTCCATCATCTCCTAGCTTGTATTCTGCAAAGCCGTAACAGCAGAATTACGCAAAAATCACTGTATCAATTTTCCTTTCTTTGATGCACAAAAACACCATGGTAGGTACAGTGATGCTTCCTGAATGGAAACCAACACTTACAAACGGACTCCTTTGGATCCAACCGAAAGTTCATCTAGGCTAGCATTCTGAATCCAAGAGCAGTCAGCCAAGATGGAAAACTTACAAGGAGGGCATTGAAAGCAATATCCCTCCCCCATAATCTGTCTACAACATCTGATAAGAGTTGACATGTGGAGGTTTCTTTCATTCAGCTGCTATGGTTAACAGCTGATGACCAGTGTATCTTCCTTATATTTCCTGCTCCTTTCTAATCCCATGGCTATGACTACTGTGAAACTCCAGCACCAGTGAATGCCCCTCCCACAGAAGGGATGCAAGAGACATTTTATTTTTTGAAAACTTTTATAACCTTGTTCTGAACTATGAGGGAATCAGTTTTGGTAGCTTCGGTGGATAAAATCTCCATATTTTTTTAAATTGAAATTTAGGTCTGCGATCTGAAGCTGAATGTTCCTATGGGAACCTGCCAGAATAGGCTGGAAGCAGCTGGGCTCTGTGAGGTCATAATCCCATTGCCCCTTACATTTCTTTCTTTGCAGGACATGTGTCAGGTGCCTGGCACTCAATCCACAGAGGAAACAGCCAACCATTGAGGGGGGTTGCAGGCAGACAACACTTCAGAGTTCTGTTGGTACAGAACTAGAGAGTAGCAGAAAGTTTTCTGAGTCCCTTGGCAGCCTCTTCTCTGTTGATATAGGATCCAAGGCAAGTCCAAGACCATGAGGAGGAGCGGGCGCGGGGGGGGGGGGGGGGGGAGAAGGGGAAGGGGAAACATTTGAGTCCATTCAATTGGCCTCACTGATGTACTCAACTCTTCAAGGTGCAAGGAGCCTGGGCTAGCCTCACACTATGGTTCCTTCAGAGTTTCTACCAGCCTGGGTCCATGCTGTCTCCCCCAGGAGCTGCTATGCTCACTGAGACATCTGCTCCTGCTCTGGCAACCTAGTGGCTGCTTTGGGTGGCTACACTGCCGCGCTTTGAAGCCTGCCATCTCCTCTTTGCCAGCCTGCTGGAAGAGTGAAAGGGCAGGAGCATGTATGCCAAGCCCCTTCTGGCTTGCTGCTCTAACCGCCTCCACCTCTTTGGCCTCCATAGCCAGCTATGCACCCAAATCCATAGTACACCTAAACTGGCTAATGATGCTGGTACACTACTGAAAGATTTCTGGAGTTTCAGCAAGGGTCCACTGGCCTTCAAATGAGCAACTAAGGTGGCAAAACACATCGGAGCCTTGGCTGTATGGTGTGATCCACAATGCAACACCTTCCATTAAAAGAGAAGGTATGTGCGAAATCATGGCTCTTCGGTTTGAAATGGCAACAGACCCCTGGCTGAAGTGCTGTGTTGTAACTGAGCTGGTGTGTCAACAAGAGACTGAAGGAACCACTGTCTTCTACTACGATGTGCAACTTTGTTCAACAGTGCTGTAATATGTGCTTCAAGATTTTAAACAATTCAACTCAAGGTAACACAAAGATAAGGGCAGTCCAACTTTTCGTATCTTGAGGGTCACATGAGGACTTCAACACAAAACCTAGAGGCCACACACCGACTTGCATTTCCATATCGCAAATTAAAATGTTTGCAATATATTTATTTAATTTAATATACACAATTAATACATTGCATTAACCATTACACAAAGGGGGATTACTTTTAAGATGATTTTAAGACTAACTGAATGAAAAAGGACACTTTGTGAGCCTTCTCCAGCCACAGGCCAAGCACAGTGACCGCTCCTCTGGGGTGGCCCATCCCTTCCTTCTGTTTCTTCTGCCCAGAAACCTTCCCATGTGACCCCCCCCGCCCCCTTCCTTCTTGGAATTGGCAAGCTGAGCCTCCTGCGCTTGAGCCAATTAACTCTCCGCAGCATGCCCTGCCCACTCTTGCTGACGAGCACAAAGGCCTGTGCCCCCCACAAACACATCTGTGCTGTTGCTGAGATTCGGACTGCAGGGGAATGGGTGGCCTCTGAGCACCAAGAGGGCCAGAGGACAAGGCCGTGGGAGCTGCTGTGGCCCATGAGCTGCATGTTGGACCACCCTGACACAGAAAGTGAGTGAATCTCATTCATTTTCCACAGGCGTGCTTCTTTCCCTGCTCCCCAGTAAAGAGCTTTTCATAACATACAGTGGAACCTCGGCTCACGAATGCCTCCGTCCACAACCAAACTGGGTCGCAAACAGAAATTTCAGGAAAATTTTGCCTCTGTTTGTGAACTCCGCACTGGGCGACGACAACAATCGCGCCCATGTTGCCACACGAACACGATCACAACTGCGGCCATCTTCCCTGCACAAGCACGATCGCAATTGCGCCCGTCTTCCCTGCACAAGCACGATCGTGATTGCACCTGTCTTTCCCCCCTCAGCACGATCATGCTCATCTTCCCTGCACAAGCACAATCACGATTGCGATCACGGCCATCTCCCCACCCCTGAGCACAATCGCTATCACACGATTATTATCGTTTGGACTCTCCCTCCAAACAATAACCTCCCCCCACCTAGGTTAGTGTTTTCTACTGTACTTTGTTACTTTGTTGTTCTTTATTACTTTCTTTCACATTTTTGTGATTAAAAAATATTTATAGAACAGATTAACCTTATTTACATTGAACCTTATGGGGAAATTTGACTTGACTCGTGACCAATTCGGGTCGCAACCAGAGTCGTGGAACGGATTAAGTTCATGAGCTGAGGTACCACTGTACTTCTGGTTTTGCCTGCATACTCAGGGGGCTTGGCCCTGTCTAGGGGAGCCTTGCTCGGCTCCTTCAGCTTTTTTCAAACAAGTGGGCTGCTTGGCAACCTGATTTGACTAGCATTTACTCCTATGAAGCAAACAGCTCTTTTTATTTTAAATCCATAGCTCGCAACTAGAAGCCTTAAGCATTTAACTCCCTGAGAAGCATGACATGACAAAAACCTTAATAATTCTCTTCATAATATGCTTTTAGAAATTTCTTTAATTTAGGCAGCAGCATTGTACGATTTCCCTCTGTGCAGCTTCTTCAGCTAGTCCAAAGGGCCATTGCTTTCACTACTACATCCATTTCTATGAAAGTCCTCTTTTAATCAGACTCACCGGGCTAGAAAACCTCAGAACTTTTTTATTAAAAGGGCTGCAAGCTGTCCAGCCAACTTAATTTTTGCAAACAAAGACTTGCTAGCAAAGGTTTGCTTAACTACACTTTTCCGTGAAGTTAATAGCTGAGTTAATGTGCTCTTAAACTGTTTAACAGAGGTGGTCCCTTTCCCCCTTTTCCACTGTTTCCATGTCATGCGTCTCAGCAAAACAGGTCAAGGTTTCCCTGCCACAGCATGTTCTTCCCCCAAGATTCCAGTTTCACTCATGCCAACACAGAAGTGCCCATGCTTAGGAGCTGACACATCTGTTCCTGTATGTCCACATAGAGATGGTCTCTCCCCTGTTAGTGTCCATCTTCCTCTCACTGATTATCACCCAAACAATCCAACCACAGGAGGCAGCTGCAAAGGCTGCCTACGTGACCACTGATTCTAACAAAGGTCACTTTATGCTAGTACAGAGAAGCTCAATTATGTCTTTGAAGACAAATGGGGTGTTTGCAGAGCATTAAAAACCATCCAAAGTGGGAGGAGTCAGGCCCCAAGGAAGATGGCCAGGGACACATTGGCCGTCCATTCACACCTTGATGCCTACATGACCAAGGTGGTTTTGATGCTGCCGGGTTTTCAAGGCTAGCACCATTCTGGAAGAATACCATCAAGCCACTCAAGGAACATGGCAGGCTGTTATCATGGAAGCAGTCTTCCAAGGTCATCATGACTATGAGTTTCTGTTGCAGTCGTCACCAACCAGTTGTTTTCTGGGTGAGTCAGACTACACTTCCCATCACCCACAGCCCACATGGCCAGGGTGCTCACCTGCATTCTTAAATTGTTTCTACAAACATCTCCTTGACATAGGCAGGTTAGGAATAATGTATGTTAAGCCTGGATAAGCCTGGGTCAAAATGACCTGGCCTGCAAGGTACGTCCTGCTATGAAAGCTGCACTTCACTTCACCTCAGCTCACAGCTTGTCTGCCTCTGCTGTGTAGCAGGAGGACTAGACAAAGGTACCTTACGGAGCTATTTTTTGTACTCTATTCTGACTGAATGTGCTGGATCTGAGAACTGTCACAGGCTGGGACTGTAAGATCTTTTGCAGAAAGGTGACACAAATCAATGAATAAAATTGCATGTGAGATTTTGATCCTAATTTTGTATTTCTCCCCAGAATCTCACCCTTTATTTTATGCACTGATTTGTGTCACCCGCCCCCCACTGCCGATCCTTTTAATGTGTAAGTTTAGCATATGAATACACATTTAGAGCATTATTGTGTACAGGCCTAAAAACACATACTACATACTGTATAATACACATTGTATTGTGTATAGTGCTAGCAAAATATTCCTGCTCTTACAAAGTGTAGGCTTTTGCTGACAAAATACTTACATATCAAAAGAATTGGTGGTAGGGGGTAGAAGAGAGGATTCTGAACATCAAAAGGTCATTCTTCCCCTCCAGTGGAAGGGTGGAGGGAATGCATACTCACCCCAAAATATCCCAAGAATCATGCTTTACTTTTCCTCATAGGAATGCATGGCAGTCATTCACTTATATGGCAGCAGATAAAGGGATGACATCAAACAGAAGACTGGGGTGGCAGCTCAACCGGCTTTCTGTCCCTGTTCATACCTGCCACTGGGAACCAAACCTGCTGCATTCAAGCCTTGACTGTTCATGTGACTAGCCCTATTTGAGGTTCTGTTTCTTGGTCACACTGAAGAGTGATAAAATGTTGAAAAATACCCCCCCGCCACACACACACACACACACACACAAGGTTTAGCTTCCTTCAAATGAAATTAGAGGCAAGTCACTTTTTTCCACAGATAGATTGCAACATAGGCAGAAGCACTGTTAACAGTGGTGTATATACTCATTTAACTGCTGCTTCTGGAAATCAGGTTTTGCAGGGCTTTGAAGGTTTTAGAATCTGCAAAACCTCTTTGATGAGAGGTAACAACAGGACACAAAGAAGGACCACAAGCAATAATGTTTCTGATGGAACAGTTTCAACTCTTAAAACTTTCATCTATCTCTGGCTTTTCTTTGCATTATCTTACAATTTCTTTCCAGTCACAAGAAAGGGGGAAAACATTTATAGCAGCTGCAACTAAAATGATTTATTTGATACTTGCATCATTTAAAATTAATTGCTCCGACTTCTTGCTTGTTTTGCTTAACTCATGTGCAAGTCCTGTACTCCATAAATCATACCCTTATACAGTCTTCTGACAGGAACTTCAAGAGTCTGAGAGTTCAAGCTGGCGGGGTGTTTTTTCCTTTTTCTAGTACATTATGCCCATTTAAAAAGACCTGAAGCTTCAGTGTGAAATGCAAGATACCTTTCTTTCTTCTCCCTTAAGCTTGTAAACATCTGTTTGCAATCAGAAGAATATTCTATTTTTACATAAAAGAAATGCTGCTCATCTAATATGACAACTCAAACAAACCCTTGGTTTTTGCTTTTCCATTTTCCAGACAGAATTGGCCTGCTGATTTTATGCATTCAGGAGGTAAACATTCATTTTTTTATCTGAGTGTATCTAGTGATGTAGTGAGACTCGCAATAACTGGGTTCACACAACACAACAGGCAGTGCTATGTGGTAACCACAGTTCACTGTTTTTTAGCATGATCTTCCTGACAGACAATCAAGTGGCTTTTATGTTTTTATATTATCCTGGTTTCCATCCTTCCTGCTCAGTCCTCCTGCTATTGTACATAAATTCAAATTAGAGTACTTTGAATATGAATACCATCACACTGACACAAACCAGCAGGGCATGTTGGTAAAATACATCCAGGATCATATGGTCTCTTCAGGGTGGCTGGTTTTAAAAAGGTCCACCATCTGAAGAGAAGCCCAAGTTGAATAGTAACATTTGACAATAGTGCTGAATCACTTAATGTTAATATTCAGTAACTAATTTAATGATCCTAGCATTAGTTGATAATCATAGCATGTACAAAAGTGCTTTCAAGTGCTCAGGTAGCTCAATACAATGCCCCATGTGCTGTGGATTCAAAACTGAGACTGAAAACACAGTGTCTCACCTAAACCCCACCTAGCAAGCTGGCAGCTCAAGAAATATTTGACACCAAAAATTTTTGATGAACAAGGCACACTCCTAGCCCCTGCATTTTACCACTCTTGCACCTCTTCCATTATACCAGGAATTCTATTTAGCAAACTAAAGTCTAATTATTAACAGTGAACGCTCTCCCCTGCCTTTAAAGAGGTGACAACCCTCAGCTGATGAGAAAGGCAGAAAAATAATCTTTAAAGTTTGAAATGTCAGTTGGGAGACAAATGTACAAACTCTGTAACATGGGCGAGTATAATTACATCCAAATCCCAGCTGTGCGGTGAAAGAACTACAGAGTTTATGACTGAGATGGCATTCAAACTAAGGGCATCTCTAGCTTGCAACTCAGCCTCTGAGATACTAAATCACACATTTTAAAAGATACATTACCATTGGCAAACAGCATATCAATGCAATGTTGACTACCTGCTGCGATTGTGCAGATTGCTTCCTGCTTCCTCAATTACTGCAATTTGACAGGTATTCAGTTGCAAGAAAAAGAAAAAAAACAAGGATCCTGTACCTTTTTAATAGTACTGTGGAGGAAGAATCCCTTTTCTCACCCCTGCGTGATAAACCTGCACCTGCACCTACTAGAATCCCCTCTTTTGTGCAGCAAGCACAGAAGCTTCACTAGGTGAAAAAGGATGTATCAAGCCACTCCTTACACATTAGTTGTCCTTCTAGCACAGTTTCAAGTCCACTGAAAAAAAGAAAAATAATCTGCAATGGAGAGTGCTCCTGGCTTCATTTAAGGATCAGAGGGCAGGCCACCTCCTCTTTACTGGTCTTGCGTTGTTACAAACAGCCTGGTGTCGCCAGAGTGGGGGCTCGCGGGGATGTTGCAGGGCAGGGCACAGGGCTGCTGTGATTCCCACAGTAGCTGCTGCAGGATTCCTTCTCCTGGAGTCCTCTGGTGAAATGCAAAGTAGAAGTAGTTGAGGGTGGTCCGGTCTGGCATGGGCAATAGCAACTCATTTGCTTTACAAAGGACCTGCTCCTGGTGGACATGAAACCACCTGGTCTGATTTGTTGAAATGGAGCGACCCAGCTGCCCTGTGGACACTCTTATGATGAACTCCTGCATGTCCGTGTTGGCTATTTTCTAAAGCCCTGCCTGCAGAGACTCTACTGGAGTGCAAGGGGAAATGTGAGCAGGTTGGGGCAGTCAGTTGGGGAAACCCACTGAAATTGGTGTGGAAGAGAAGAGGCAATCTGGCAAGCGGTCAGGCAGCAGGTGCAGAAGAGGGAACTAGCAAGATGACAGTGGCCTTGGCTTTCAGGTTTTTTCATTTCAGGGATGCTTCTTGTGGCCCACACACACTGTAAGTGGAAGGTTGCAGGTTTAATCCCTGGTATCTCTGGGTAAGCCTGAAACCCTGGAGAGCTGCTGCCAATCTGTGTGGACAGCACTAGGTTGGACGGACCAAGGCTCTGACTCAGTATAAGGTAAGTCAGTGCTCCTTTTCTTTGATTGCTCCTGTATTTTATGTGCTCCCACATGCTCCCATCCATAAGCCTGTCTGCATAGCTACACGTTAAGCGAAAGTGATAAGTCACCTTTGCTAAGCAGAAAAGGCATAGGTCTATAGCTGGATAGGTGACCACAAATGGAAATGAAGCACTGGGTTGGACTTGATGGAAGGTCCCTTCCAACTCTACTTCTATTCTAATTTGTATGTATGAGGTTTTACAAACATTATAACTTGGCTCACTTATATTTACTAATTATAAAACCATTCCACAGTTCTTGTTGTGGTGTGTTTGTGTAAGTGGGAGTGTAAAAACCTGCCCATTTTTTGATGTGAAACTGTGAGAAATATATCAGGTGGGTCACCACTACAACTCTGAGCTTGACACTCAGCAACCCAGCAGATAAATCTCCTACTGGTTAGCTAGGTACCAGGAAAAAAGTTTTACTTCACTGGCTGTGAGTTGACCTACTGCTAATGTTTCCAACTTTTTTTTTCACTTGTTCCTCTCCTGAGTCTTTGACATCTGCTTCACCAAAAAAGGCCTGCTGGTTTCTGCAAATACAGCAACTACTAGGGAAATAGGAGAGCCAGGCTGTTTTCCCTTGGTCACTTGGCAACCCAAGTTGCTTTAAAAATGCTCAAGAGTTGGGCTGATAAAGCTGGTGACCTTAGATTGTCAGGCTGTAGTATCTCCTCTTGCAGCATGGGAAGCCACCCACAAGTCACATTATATGACTCAGTTTCATAGATTGTTGGGGATTATGTAAAGCAGAAAAGGGAAGAACGAGAAATGGCATTGGACCATGGCAGAAAGAGCATTGGGTTCTCTCCCCATGTCAAGAATAATAAGGATGAAAGCCAATCTCCTTTTTAGGAAGCAAGTATTCATTCTTCACATGATCTTTTCTTTGCTTTCTCCTACAACTAGCACTGACCAAAGCAATATATTACCCATGCTCAGATTACTCATGATGTGGATGCCAGATGACTGTATAAACTGAAGGGTTGTTGCTGTTTTTCAATTCCCGGGTTGTTTGATTCCCTCCTCTTTCACCTGCTCCTTTCATATTTCCAAATTCCTTTGTGATGCTGTAGCACTGACATGTGAAACAGCCTGGCCTTTTGAGAATTCTTGCCCACTACTTCTGCAGTCTGGTGAAACAGCCCATGATTCTCAGTTCACATGCTATGACAATCTGTACTTAAGCCCAAAGTACACAGCCCAGCAAAACATCGTAGGTTCTCTTCCTGGGTTGTTCATAGTTAACAAGCCAAGATTAACCTAGTTTCATGTTTGCACATAACTCAGAATTCAACCATTCATACTCAACCCACATAGAAAGCTGCTGTTACATGCAGACCAGATCACCAAGGAGTTCTAATGTAGATTTATGAGACCCTAGAGGTATGCACCCAGATCCCTTACAATGGCATACAGGATACTGGGTCCAATTCCTCAGCTTGTGCTATGCACAGATTTTTTGCTTAGATACCAACCCTACTGGAAATGTTTCATTTGATGTGGTCCAAAGTTTATTAGGAAGGCCCAATAAATTAGCTAATTTTCATGGTATTTGAATACACTGATATGCAAACACTGTTAGCCAATATATTTGGTTAACTATATGGTCATAAAAGCATTCCCTTTGCATGAACTGAGTTAGAAAAGGGAACCCAGAGGGTTGCAAACTTTGCGACCAGCCTTGCTCGGGTGCCTTTTAGCAACCAACTTCATGCCCTGAGCTTTGAAGCCGGCAAAGCTTTCCTGGCCACTTTCCCCCATGCCTGGAAAAGCTTCACCAGGTTAATTCCGGAGGTGCCCAGCAGTGGCTCAGGAGGAGCGGCGGCGATAAAAGGCTCAAAGGCGGGTAGCTCTGGCAGCCAAACTTCCAGGCTCGACCGCCCCCGCGAGCGAGCATCTTTCCCCACCCACAGCGGCGCTGCCAGGGCCACAGGGCAGGACGCAGCCGCTTGCGCCACGGCATGAACCCAGCGGCGCCCGGCTTACCTGGGGCAAGCGGTGCGCCTCCATGTGCCTCCCCCGCCCGCCTTCCCGGCACCAGGGAGAAGAGGGCGCAGCGGCTATTTTTAGGCGCGCCGCTGCTGCCACGCTCGGCCGGTCCCTTCGCGGGCAGCCGAATGTTTTGGCCAGATATGGCTCGGGCGGCCGCCGCTGCCGCGCATCCACAGGGGAGGAGTGGGGTCCCGCGCGGGCGACGGAAAGCGACCCCCGCCCCGTTCCCTACCTGCTGCCGCGCCGGGCTGTGGCCCCGCTGGCGCAGCCGGAGGAGGTCGCGCTCCGCTCGGCCGCCGCTCGAGACGCGCGCGCGGGAGAGGCCGCGAGGAGAGTGCGGGGCTCCGGCCGCCTCCCACCGCTGCTGTCACTCACGCGGCCCGACAGGACGGCGGGCGGAAAGGCCGCCCAGCCCCGCGGGATCCAGCCGCGCCGCCGCCGGCGCGCTCCTGCCCTTCCCTACGAGGGGAAGGGCGGCCCTTCGCCGCCTCCGCACAACTCGAGCGGGGGCGGCCAGGAGAAGCCGGGCGGCCCGGAGCCGGCAGCCGACGCGGTGGTCGAAGGAGCGTGGAGGTCCCTCTCCGTGGCATCGCACTGCCGCTATCCGAACTGCTTAAGCCCGAGCCTCTGTTCGCTGTAACAGGCCTAACCCTTCACATAAAGGTGCAGAGTATTAACCGTGCCTAATTTAAACTGCATTAGTTGCAGGAAGGCAGGTTCTGGCTGTTAGAGCAATACAGCAATGGAGCCACTGGTGGAGAGAAGTTGTGGGCTCTCCTACACCAGAAATATTCAAGAAGCAGTTGGACAGCCACCTGAGAGGGATGGTTTAAAATGGCCTGAGCAGGGGCTGGACCCAATAGCCTTCTCTTCTCCTTCCAGCTCGACCCTTTTATGATTCTACATACTGGAGCAGCTGATCTCCAATGGCCAACTAACTCACTTATTCTGGTGTACTTCTCAAGGATCCAACAAAAGAAAAGAGGGTGATGCTTAATCTCTTTCCCTATGCTGCTGGTTCAAACCACATTCACTGCTGACCAAACTTGTGCCAAGTTCAGGTTAGACCAACCTAGACCAGCCTAGGCTAGACCAACCTAGCTCAGGGTAGACCAAGCAATCATGAATTCTTGTTGCTTAAGTTTCTCCACAGATTTCCTTTTCCCTCTGTTCATTAAAGGCACATTGAACAATGTCATGTGCTTCCGACCTGTGAGTAGCAAAGGGACCAGGGCAACGCTACTAGGTTTGGTTCCCTTTGCTTGACATCAGAGACCAAGTGTGCTTTCACATGAAGCTTTTGGTGTGCAGTCATCCTGCCTCATTCGTGAGATGTCATCATCTTTGTCTTGCTGCATCCTGGTGCTTTCCCACTGCTCCTGTCTTTTAATGTTCCACCAAAATGAAATAATGATAATCAGAGAGGAAAAAAAGGCATAGCTGCACAATATCTTTAGGTTAGTACTGCTTAGAGCCCTCCATCAGCAAGCAACCTTATCATGAATGTTGCTGAGCCAAGATCAGGCACCATGAGCTTGACACAAACACCTCTCCAGCTACCTTTGGTCCAGCTTTGCTCACAGAACTTGGCCTCCACTTCAAGGAAGAGCTGCCTCTGCGACTGGCCAAATGATATGCCTGCCAAGGGTGCATGCAGCCCCCAGCCTTCAAGGACCTTTCCTGTTCCTTTGCTTAATCCTGGCCACTGTTTCTAGTAAGCTGAAGAGCCAAACTCAAAACGAGGACAAAATGGAATAGTGACTTCAGTTAACTCAACTGAACCATTTCCTTTTTTTTCAATTCTGTCTAGGCACAGGCTGCCAAGTTTGTCAGCTCCTAGGATATTTTTTTAAGGATATTACCTAATTGCATTTGACAGAATACTAGTTTGGACTCGAAAACTTTGTATCAACAATAGATTACCCTTTTCTGCAAGAGGCTTGTGTAGCACACTCAAAATTCCTCAATCAGAGTTGTTGAAGGCTGCTTCAGACAACGTTGTGACCCTCCAGTTTTACTTCTGTTATTTTAGGAATTCCTTTGCAGGGGGGAAAATCCTGTTTTGTTTTGTTTTCATTCCGAAACAAAATGCACGTCCTTGTTAGCATAATTACATTATTCTGCTATACCTCAGAACCATGTTGAGATTTTGTAGTGAAAAATATGAAAAGACAGGGAAGGAATAGTTCTTTGTGTAATGATCTCATCTCATTTCTGTGACGAAACCCAAAGTAAAAGGGAAGGGAGAGAACACTTGGGTGCTTGAGTAGCCCAGTCACTGGACTCAGCAACTTTCACCTCAGCCCTGAGTTCCCTTGATCCTTGGCACATCTCTTTCCCCAATACCTCTTTGGACTTCCTTCCATTCGCTATTTAATTTTGCATCAGTTTGCACCACTTCTACTTTACTAATAAAAGTTTTATTCTTACTATTTGTATGTTCTTCACAAGCTGAGGGGAAAAAAACCTTTCCCCTTGTTTTTTGCCCCCAAAGTTGTTTTTTGCTTGCCTGCTTTTCTGAAAAATTGAAAAAAAAAATGATGACAGAATGTTTCTGTCAAGGTGTTAAATATTCACTCTAAAAATGTTTTTTTAAGTATGTGATACGTTTACATAAGACCACATACAGCATCAGATTGTACAAGGCTTGCACACAAAAGACAAGCAAGTCTTAGTACATTGAAACTACAATGCCAAGTACAAGGACAAGATTCATCACTGCCTGTAGGGGCACTGCCATTGTACCCCGAGAAGAAAGCCGTGTTCAGGTCTTTCTTTGCCTCTGAACTTCTGGATGATACCAGTTATGGATTTGTTTCTGTCCACTTGATTAGGCCTCAAAGAACTGTCAGACAGTAGGAAGCAAACAAAGGAGCTGGACAGATTTGAAAGGTAAGAGTTTAAATTCCCATGAATTGAGAAAATTGAACCATATTTTAATTGCCTTATTTCATCTTCAATACCCTTACATAAATCTTAATTCCTACTGATCCAATGCTTTGTTACAACCTTCCCCACTCCATAGCTTAATGTTTATGGACAAACTGAATACAACATTATTCTTTCACTACCTCTGGCATATGGGCGTTTTCACACAGCAAGGTCTTTTGAGGAAAAAAATTGATTTGCTGTGCTGTCAAATGAAGCAAGTAGAATGACAAAACATATCCTTGCATCATGTAAGAAATACCCTGCAGACATTATCCGTGCAGAGAAAAATCAATGGAACACTGTCTTGTGGTTCTTAAAGATGGATGGATGAAGGTGAAGGGAGAAGAAATCATGAAATTTGTGAGAACTTTTCAAGCACCTTTACTCAGAAGCAATGAAATGCATGAAGGCAGACATATTGCTGTGTGTATTAGTTATAAAAGTCCTACAGAAAAGTGAGAGGATGGTAGCCAGAAAAGCCACCCAGAACTGCTGGATCCAGCTGCAGCAATGTACGCCCACCCTTCCCTTGTGAGATAATGGGGAGCTCTTCGCTCAGCTTGGATGGGGGCAGCCAGAAGTGAGATGGCTCAGAGAACCCATCCAATCCTGTGTTTGCTTCAACAGGCCTAACTCTCCTCATATAAATGTACAGATGCCTTATTTACAGATGCATCAATTCCTGTGCCCATTTCCCAAGGCTGGCCCAAGACTTTTTCCTACCTGAGGCAAAGAGCAAGATGGCACTCACTCCACATCCTGTGTAGAGAAAGTAGTTGCAGTTCAAATTCCTGTACTATAGTTTAACTATGGATTGTTAACCATGAACAATTCAGACTTCACTACTCACCAGCTATGGATTCTTTTCCATAGTACCAGATTTGCACAGAACAAGCATCTATGATAAAAGAATTTGCATTCAACCCATACATTGGATTGTTTTTGTGTACCAGATCCATGTATGATGCGCTGTGCCATTTCCTGGGGCATGTGAGGTTGAGATGGCTCCCCTTATTCGTGGGCCTTTTTGTTGTTTGACATGTGAGATTACCTTGACTGTCTGTCTGAAGAGGAACAAAAATATGTAGAACCCCTTGAATCAATACTTCAGCCCTGAACTAATTTGTTATTGTTAATTATGTTGCCCCCTGGTTTAAGGGTTAACCATGAAGAAACCAAACTTCACACCCAAGAACTTTTGAGTTACCTTCAATTTGGTTAACAACCCACAGCTAAACCACAATGTGGATTTGCACATAATGAAATCCATGATACAACAACCCACAATTCATTGACAACCCATACTCTGGATTGTTGTTACATGCAAACCAGGTTTTAGTGTAGTTCCCACAGGAGTTCTGCCTTGAAATACTGCTAGAGCGGCTGTTGTGTTCTGCTTTTATGCTGCCACTGCTTTTGTGCTTTCAACATTTTCTACTATGCTGTAAAATTCTCTAAAATCTTGACCGGAAATGCTATTCAGTTGCTTCTCTGGATTAAAAAAATCACTAAAATAATGCTCAGGCTAAAACAATCTATGAAAGGCAAGTTTGTCAAGAAGCTGAATTCTGTTGCACCACCATGTTGTATGCACTTTCTCCATTCCTGTGGAATTGTAGCATGCACAGTGGTATTTGTAAGTTGCTGCCAAGCCAGACACTGAACTCTAAATGGAGAATTACAGCATGCTTCTTTCAGGCACCCAATGCAATGCATGTACACTACAAGCCAAGTATTATAAGTAGCAGATACTAAATTTTGCATTAATATGGTCTACTATTCCTGCCTGCTCTTGGAAGGTAAGCAGGGTTGGGCCTGGTTGAATTCTGGATGGGTGACTTAGTATGTTGTGAACCACCCAAAGAGCTTCAGCTATGGACAATATAGAAATGTAGTAATAATATCAAACCCACATCTCTAAATTCAAACTCTGTCCAATCTTTGAACTGCCTCTGTCTCTGCAGAAACACAAATAAGTTAAGATAGATTGGAAATTTGAATAGCTGTGCATACAGCATGAACTAGATTTCTGCCTGTAGCAGAACACTATGAAGGGTCCAGACTTCTGTGAAACTCGTCAGCTGTGTAAATCCCATACTGACAAAGTGCTGGCAAACAGTTGCAGGCCTTTGGGGATGTTTACCAGGCATACTTTATGCACCACTTTCTTAGATAGGTATCTTTTTAGTGTGCAAACAATCTAACACCAAGTAAAAATGCATGCATTGCTGATAGGTTTGGAAGCAGGATGGCTGTGGAGCGGCCACATGACAGCAAACCTGGATCTACTGTCACAATGCAAGACATGTCCAGTATACAATCCTCAAAGCACATGTATAAACAGAGTTTAGAATTCTGCTAGTAATCAGATCTTACCTAATTTGTGACCTCTGAGTTGACCCTATAAAGTATTGCCCCTGATATGGATTTGGGGGGAGATTATGGTCAGCACCACTTTTTATTATACTTCATATCTGCCATAACTGGGTGAGCAGATTATGAAGTATAGATGCCACCATGACCCAGAGATGACAGGATCCAATTACATTAGCGGGCCTTGTAAGGACACACTGGGAAAAGATACTAGTTGTACGTGACTTGGAGTCCAAGACATACTCAAACAAGTGTGATTCCAAGTGTACAGGTAACTGATGCACCAGTTTAATTCATAGGACTGTGGGCAGAGTAGAAGAGAGATGGAAGAAAAGGCACTAGCCTCAGTTACCAGAATGAAGTTGTCTTGGCAGCTATTCAATGTGACGCAGAAAGAAAGTGTTCCAACAGAGTAAGTTAAATGATTTATTTATATAGATAACCTTCTAGCATTAAACAGTGCAAAAATCAGAAATAAACCAAAAATTTTAGTCACAGCTATGTTAACATTCATATTCTTATTGCTGGAGGGTTTTATTTAACGATTAGTTTGCTTTTGCAATCTCCATACAATACTGAGTCATAATATCATGAATCCAAATATCAGTGTCTGGAAGAGATGTGTCAACTAAGTAAACAACTACTTTTCGGTCCCATGGGTTAGCTCCATCAATAACTGCTTGAACTTGTGCCACCAAAGCTTTCTTCTCAACGTGATTTCGAAAGACTATGGATGCCTCCTCTGACCACTGCTGCCACTCTACTCCTGGCGGGGAAAGCACAGAGCCAAGTTAAAAACAACCATAAAACTGGCAAGAAGCTGTGCAGAGCTTGATCCCTGCTCACAACAGCAAGCAATCTGGCAGCTCGTAATCCTGAGCGAACAAGGCTGCTCAGTCAGCTGCATCCACCTGAAGATCTGGCTCTTCTGTATTTAACTGCACCTCATTATTTTCTACCTTTAAGCCATGATGGTAGGAATTTAAAAGAAAGCCAAGTCCTGGTGCTTAAAAGGTTCAGATACTGTGGCTAGAGTCATATAGGAATGAACACGACGGAACGGAAACCCCAGTTTAGAAAGTCTAACTTGTAAGTGACTCCTTATATTGGGTTTACTCTTAAAACAACACCTAGGGATGAGGGTATCCAAATATATGCAGATTTATGCAAAAAGGAAAGTTTCTTTTGAAGGAGCTATGGCAAAGAAATCCTGAGCATATAAAGGATGCTTCTTCTTCGTGACATGTGTGATCTTATGCCCAAGGCCTCATCTTCAGCCTGCAAGTGACAAAGCACCTACAAACGCAGCACCATGAGCAAGAGGAGGCCTGGGGCAAAACTGCAGGCAGAACAAAACCATTTGCAACCACATGACCCCACCACACTACAAATGCGGCCACCACTTGATGCCTTGGTGCATGGACACATGCTGTGACAGTGAAGGTGTGACATTCAGTGGTAAAGACTGTTGAGTGAGAGATTCTTCTGGCTTTGCATCTCCAGTTCTGGCAATGAAACAAGAGCAGAGCATTCTTGTGAGCTGCCAACTTGGTGCCTCTCTGGCTACTGCCTCTATTGAGTTTACTTTTTGTTTCCTTCCTGAACCCTGATACCTCCATTTCTGTTCCAAGATACAACACCTAGCTATTAGAGGCTGAGCAGTGCAGCCTAACTGGTGGAATAGGGCAAAATCCGGAAGGAAACTACACAGCAAGGGGTGCCTGCTTCTAAACTGGAGGTGAAGGCATCATGATCAGTGTCAAGCTGGGAAAAGGGGCTCTCATTCCTGCCTTGTGCTAGCAGAAACACCACAATGCAGTTTTTAAAACTTGGGAGACGGGCGTTATTGGCTATATGGAATAGCTGGCAGCAATATATCCCAACTACCCTGTTTCCCCGAAAATAAGACCTAACTTGAAAATAAGCCCTAGTATGATTTTTCAGGATGCTCATAATATAAGCCCTTCCCCAAAAATAAGCCCCAGTTAAGATCATCAGCCAGACGGATGCATTTAGTACAACCATTGCAACACAATTCGGGGTTTGGAGAGTTATTTTGATGACATGTTCCAGAAGATGATGACATGACTGTACTTGAATAAATGTAGATTTTTGTGCATGAATAAATGAATAAATGTAGATTGTTGTACATGAAAAAATAAGACATCACCTGAAAATAAGCTCTAGTGTGTCTTTTGGAGCAAAAATTAATATAAGACCTAGTCTTATTTTCAGGGAAATACGGTATATAGCGATCAATTCACACACTCTATAGCAGGGTCTTAAAGCACGATGATAAAGATTTAAAAGTCACCTCACCAATGTAGAGTCCTACATGGATGGCTTCATCCATGTTCTGATAATACCCAGGTCAGTCTATTACAATTCACTGCATGTGGTGCTGTCTTTGAGGAACCAGCAGAAATTGCATTTGGTAAAAATACAGCTTCTAGAGTATTGCTTGGGACCAGTCAAATGGAACATGTCTTGACAATTTTAAAATAGCTACAGTACCTCCCAGTCAGTTTCTAAGTATGATTCAAACTACTGGCTTTCACTACTGAACCTCTCCTTTATGGCTTGGGACTCTGCTGTTCAAAAGAATATCTTACTCCAGTGACAGTGCCCTCTTTCTAAACTTTCTCTGGCTACTTCCACTGGCAGATATTTAGAACAGGAGTGAACCGAGAAAAGGGCATTTTCAGCAGGGTGCCAGGAAGACTCAGCTAGCACCAAACACTGTGGCTTTAAGCCATTGAGTAAAGCTGCTTTTCAATTTATTTCAGCCTTTTAAGATTTTAACTGCTAAATTTTTTAATTGCTTTAGTAGCCAATACTATCTTCTGCTTAAATGTCTATACTTCTGTATATGTAATTATTTCAAACACTATAATCTACCATGGAAATCTAACCATTTTAAGATAAAAAATAATAAGATAGATTAACTGGGTGCTTCACCAGAAATGCTAAAAATGTAATTCTAATTATTTTGAAGCTTTGGTATGGATTCTTTTTGCAGGAACTCCTGACTGGCCAATGTTCCTTGGAGCACAAATCACCCAAATTCCCTGCTTAACACCTGATACAAACACTTCTATGGCAGGTTCTTTGCAAACCAGCTTGATTTATTGTTAGACTCCAGACATTCTCACACATATGCCATACTGGCAGATTTACATCTAGTTTAAATGTAAAGTATATTTATGTCTATACGTCTAATGGTTTCCTACTTGAGAACAAAATCTGTTATGAAAATAATATGGTTTGACTGAACCAGATGTATGACCCTTAAGAAGAGGTAGTAACCAGACCGGTGGTGGTGAACCTATAGCACACGTGCCACAGTGGGCACGCAGTGCCCTCCTCTGTCTGCACATGAGCCAAGTCGCCCCAGCATCGCCCCAGCAGCCGAGCATTGGATAACAGCGCACATGCTCAGAAAGGAGTAGTGGTGCCATGTGACGACATCACAAGCTGCAACTCGTCCGAGCTTTCCCATGGCTGGTCAGTGCACTGCCAAGGATATATACGTTTTTCTTGGACCTGCTGTTTTCACGTTTTATTGCAGTGTTGGCACTTTTCAATAAATAAATGGGTTTTGGGTTGCAGTCTGGGCACTTGGTCTCTAAAAGGTTCACCATTACTGGGTTAGGGTTAGAAAAACAAGGTGTCCTGCTAAGATTTTGATGGTTGGAATGTGCTTAGAATCGGCAGAAATGATGAGCTGTGCAGAAAAAGCTACTCAAGGCTTTTTCCAAATCGCCCTCTTTTTAATGAACTTTAGCCCCATATTAGGGTTAGGGGTGTGCACCAGGGTAGGGTTAGGGTTAGAAAAATGAGGTGTCCTGGCATGATCATGATGGTTGTAATGTGTTTAGAATGGGGAGAAATGATGAGCTGTGCAGAAAACTCTACCCAAGGAAGGCTTTTTCAAAATCACCCTCTTTTCAATGGAGCTTTAGCCCTATAGTAGGGTTAGGGGTGTGCACTAGGGCTAGGGTTAGGCCAGTGGTGGTGAACCATTGGCATGCATGCCACAGCGGGCATGCAGAACCCTCTCTGTCGGCACGTGAGCCCAGTCGCCCCAGCATCACCCCAGCAGTCGCGCGTCAGATAACAGCGCACATAGGGGCCATGCACATGCTCGGAAAGGAGTTGCGGCACCAGGCAATGACATCACGTGCCATGACTCATTAGCCGCAACTCATCCGAGCTTTTGCATGGCCGGTCAGTGCGCTGCCAAAGATATATATATGTATGTATGCATGCATATGTATTTTTTCTTGGACTGGCTGTGAGTTGTTTCTTCTAAACTAAAAACTCAGTTTTCAGTTTTTATTGTAGTGTTTGCACTTTGCGACAAATAAGTGGGTTTTGGGTTGCCATTTGCACACTCAGTCTCTAAAAGGTTCGCCATCACTGATCTAGACTAAGCTTTGGGTTCAATTTTTGAATGGAAACCGCCTTCATTGCTCTGAGGGATGGGCTTGCTGAGAGAAGCATAGGAGAAGTACGACCGTGTGGATTCTTCTGGACCTCTCAGTGGTCTCAGTATTAAAAAATACCACTGACCATGGTACACATCTGGACAGGTTGTCTGAGTCCGGAACAGGGGGCACTGCATTGATTTTATCATGTTGTATTTATGATTTTAATTGCTGTGAATTGGCCAGGCGGCTTTAGCTATTGGAAGTACAGAAGTGCAATAAATAAATTAAAATAAATAACATGTCAAGGTTTACTGAGCTTAATGTTCTTTACTGTACTCCACTTTGGCTTTTTGTTCTGTCAACTCCACGTGTGTTGTTTTAGTGCTTAAGAATGTGCCACCTACCTGCAAGTTGGGCTGTTATGGCCTGAAATGGCAGCTTTCTGAACACATCCAACAAAGGCCTGACATTCTGGATGCCGACAAGCTCGTGTTTACCATAGTCCAGCTCATACACCGACACCAATCCATTTGCTAACACTCCTTTTATTAACACCCTGTGCCACCTAAAAAGCAAATAACAGAATCCGGATGACAGGAACATGATGAATTTGAGAGGAAGTATCTAGTATTAAGGACCAGATCTTACTGTTGTTGCTAGTTAGATGCCTTTTAAGTGGAGTAATCAGTAAGTTAGCATTTCTATGGTAGATGACACACATAGAGGACAAATGGGAATGGACTCTCTCTGAGAGGGGTTCTCAATTATTCATTATACAGTAACACCTCTGTGAGACAGTAAGGCCCTGTTTGGCCCATTCTGACCTCCAGCAGCTGCTTGTGCCCTTCAGAACACACTCTTCTAGCTTCTGTTGTTCAAGGACACCTTTGCTGTCTTGACTACACCCTTCTTCACTGGAGCTTTGTGGCTTTGAGAAGTCAAAACTCATCTTTACATTTCACACTTGAAAAGGAAAATTGGGGGCTTCCTCAGGGAAGAGGGGTGTTTTCCCTTGCCAGAGATGTTAGGAGAGGGCTTTTTGGGGTACTCTAAATTACTGGTTAAAGGAACATAAATTTATTTGTCCATAGTTATCTTTAAAAAAAACTGCCTGAAATACTTAAGATCCCAAGAAACTACACAGAGAGGGAACAAAGGAGCAGCAAAGGGACACTGAAGCAAGACATGCTAGGTTAAGAAAGTAAACTCAAAAGGAGGAAATGTAAAGGGAGCAGGAGAAAGGGAGGGACAAATCTTTAACTTTGAAGACTAAGTAACACCTCTGTGTTCAGGAGCAATATCCCCTAATATACTGGACAGTAGGGATGAACAGCAGAGAAGTATGCTGCTTTTATGCCCTATGTGTGAACTTTCCAGAAGGATCTGACTAGACACTGCTGGTACAGAGAGACCTTTTGTCTGATCCAGCAGAATCGCTCTTAGATCCTGAAACGCTGGGTCTATATCCAATCCAACGTTAATGTAACCATATTCCTCAATACAACACAGTATTTATGGAAGCCACTTACTTGTTTTTCACTTTTGCAGCATACAGCTTGTTCTTTTCAACAGCAATAGGTCGCTCATCTGCTGTGCTATAGTACAAAAGCATCTCTTCCACCAGAACTTCTAAATTGTGCATCTCTTGCCAGGACTGGAGGACAAAGTAGCCAGGGTGGCAGGCCAGTGAGACAAAGACATCCATTTGCTCATACAGTTGGGCCAGTGGCAGAGGTGGAGGCACGGTCGAGGCTGCTGCAACATTGTTTGGCTCGGCAGAACTGCTGAAACCCCTCCTGACACCCAAGCTTGCCAGCTCAGTTGAGTCTGTTTCTCCCTTGCCAGGGATATTGCTGGGCGACACACTCAGAAAGACATCCTTCTGGTGCTTCCACAAGTCTGCATTAGTGATCTGCCTATTTATACTCCGGTCTGGGTCTGGGAAGTTCTTTGGCGTAAATAAATAGATGTGTGCAATCCTTTCATCCAGTTTAACAACCTGAAAAGGTGTGGAGAAGGGGATACAGAGAAGATTTGCGTCAATATTAAGAAGTTACCTAGAGCAGGCCACCAAGTGAAAAGAAAGCCCTAGGCCAGCGGTCCTCGAACTTTTTCAATAGGGGGCAAGTTGAAAGGCTGGGGTGACTGTTGTGGGCCGATGAGGTGGGGGTGCCTGGGGGCGTGGGTTGGTGAGGTGCCGTCGGGCACACGCGAGGCAGCATCGGGCACACACGCTTGCTTGCTTGCTTGGAGATCTCCCAGTAAGTCCATCTCCGAGCGAGCAAGCCACCACCTCCCCACCAGTGCTGCGAGGCAGCGGTGAGCGTGCGCATATTGGGAGGCAGGCAGCAGCAGCAGCTTCCTCACTCAGAGACCATCTCCGAGTGAGCAAGCCACCGACTCCCCACCCGTGCAGCAAGTGCGCACATGGGCGGCGGCGCAGGCTGGATAGATGGCCATGGCGGGCCAGATATGTCCCGCGGGCCGTAGTTTGAGGACCCATGTCCTAGGCAGTCATATGAAATTGAAACATTCATTCAATCAAATGCAGGACTGCATAGTTGAACAGAATGGCCAAATATAGTAGGGTAATTCTAATGACAATGCTCACAAGGCCAGTACCTTGCACAAGAAGGCAAGTAAGAAGAGATTCCATGGACAATCTCTGCCTAGATTTTACTCCCACCACATTACTTTGCTAGTAGCACAAGAAAAAACACGCAACAGTTTTTTAAAAGCCACAAATCATGGATGTTCTTTCCTGTGCAAAAGTCCCTTTTCTACACGAAAGATGTGTGGGCTATGTTATTACTATAGCCCCATACTCAGCAAAGCTGAGAATTCTCTAAACTTAAGTCAGTATGATCTTCATATTGCAGTTGGATGAGGGAAGAGAACAGAGGCTTCGTAAATTCGTGGCAGAGCTGAGATTTGATTCACAGATTTCTTGGTGCAGAGTTCAATTCTTAGGTCTATACTAGCCTCCTAGTCAGATTTATACTAATTTCACTGTAAACAACCTAGTCAGGACAAGATAGATGTTCTGCTTTGCACGTTAGCACAACTCCCCCACCCCCGCAAAAAAAAAAAAAAAAAAAACCCTGCAGGAAAGAAAAAGTATCTGGTCATTTTTGGCACCTTTCCAGTTAGGGTACTTCATTGAGATTACAGGCTGGGTTCAACAAGGTGCTTATGCCCCTGCAAATTCTTTTCTACTCCTCCAATTTACTGCCACAAGTGGCAGATTCTACCAATTCCATTGGACAAATTGGTCCCAATAAGGGAAATTCAGTGCTGCTTAATGTAAGTCTTGAAATGAACAGAAGAAACACGGAGTTCTGGAAGGAGGCAAGTTGGTGGGGCACCTTTATGTGAACTCTGCCAACCTGCTTCTTTTCAGAATTTAGCATTTCTGTTCCTCCTGGGTTGCCACAGAGGTTCTAAAGTTTGTTGTGCAAGAAGTGGGGGCTGCGTATGCAATACGATCAGCAAGAGGAAAGCGAATTGACAAGGATTCAAGCATCCCATTAGAAATCACTTTCAGTTTCCCAATAGATGATATGTTATTCTGTCAAATAATGAATCTTAGTTTTAGTCTCCCAAACATCATTATACCAACATTTGACAATTGCATTACATGGATGTAAAGGATAGTATTTAGGCCTAAATGCTTTCTTTGGCCAGATTAAATGTAGAATGAGTAGCAAGCAGGAGACACTGAAGGGAAGCAAATTCATATAAAGACTCAATGGTGGGAAAATTCAACAAGTGCAAGATTTCCTAAGCCACATCAAAATAAAAACAGAAATGCCAAATACCAGAGGCAGTCCTCAAGTTACAGAAGTCCAAGTTATGAACAACCCATACTTAAGAACTGCCATAAAGCCTATTAACTTTTTAAAAATCACCATTACCATGGAGAGAGGAAGTGAAAGAGGAGAGAGGGAGGGCCTCCAAAGCATCACCAGAGAGAGAGAGAGAGAGAGAGAGAGAGAGAGAGAGAGAGAGAG